TTTTCTCCTTGCCACCATTGAGATTATACAACAGCCAAGTGTCGACAGTACCGAATGCCAGGTTACCAGCATCATAGGCCGTCTTCACCTCTGGTACATTGCGGAGTAACCAGACCAACTTGGCAGACGAAGAGTACGTTGATATGGGCAGACCACATATTTCTTGCAGCTGATCGGCCCCTTTGTCCTTGAACTCTCTGACTATGGACTTGGTACGAGTATCTGGCCAAGCTATGGCGTTGTATAGCGGCTTACCGGTCTCCCAGTCCCAAACGACGGTGGTTTCTCGTTGGTTGGTAACTCCGATTACTTCAATCTCACTGATATCGTGGCCATTATTGATAAATGTCTTCGTTGCCTGCTCGATGCACTTTTGTGCAGAGGAGACAATCTCTGCTGGATCTTGTTCATGCCACCTATAAGGAATCCGTTAGCAAGACACTTGGATCGATTGAGAAGAAAGGGGAAGAAAACGAGACGAACCCAGGCTGGTCATGTACCCGTCCAAGCTCCGTCTGATGGGAGGCAGCAATGCTCCCTTGCAGGTCAAATATGATAAACCGAGTGCTGGTAGTGCCCTGGTCAATGGCTCCAATGAACCTGGACGGCCGCTCCTCCCGGCTGGGTAATATGGCATTGCGAACAGCAAAAGTGTCCAGTCCGTCTTCAAAGGTATCTGCTAGTCCCTTGACGACCTCTATGGCGCTCTCTCGAAGAGCAGCAAGCGAGCTCTTGGTCGACTTCTCCTCGGCCATGACTCGTATACGAGCTTCTGCTCTGATCTTGTGGGGTGAAGGAAACCGGGGAAGCCGTCTACACACCACCAGCGCCACAATCAATAGGTCCACCGGCAGCCAACATCTGTAGAATAGCAGCGAGAGACGAGTAGAAGGATATGAGGTCGCCGTAGACGGAGCGTGAAGAGCGAATGCTTTATACGACGAAACCCGGGGAGAGGATGTTTGTGCGAAGAAGTCTCTGCCTGATCACGCAGTCGCGGGGGGTTGTTGTGGTTCCTGTGGATTAAGCGCCGGCGGGGCGAGCACAGCCCAAAACAGGTAGCCGGCTTTCCGATGCGACGCGGCAGATGACACGATGGTACGATGACGAAGCCATGGCCGGGGCAGGTATAGGGGACAAGCATAGCATGAAAGTGACGATGGTGAGGCTGCTGGTTGATGGAAACGAAAGACAGCGCCAGCAGAGACGTCGTGAGATCAAGCTCTGCGGTGTTACGGTCTCCGGGCTCAACCAGAACATGCAGTGAGATCGGATGCGAGATCCGAAGCAGTAGAAGATGAAGAAAGACGAAGAAGACCCTTGACGGCGCTACGCTGCGAATCACAGTGACGATCTAGCCGCGCTTGCACAGAATCCGGGGATGCTGCCCTCGATCCCAGCGCCAGGGGAGCTCGCTATGGTGGCACTCTGATTTGTCGGGCTGGGCGGCACACAAACGGACTATTGATTCGGCCTAGGCTGGATGGATGGCATGCAGGATCGGGCAGATGATGTGCAGGATGCGCTTCTCGGCTGGCCGGGTAGTGTGCCATACGACTTGTGCTTGTGTGAGGCAGGCTATAGTGTTGGCTATATGCGTGGCTGAGGAACAAAGGGAAGGGTTGATATCAAATAAATAGACGTTTTTAACTACAGGTCTAGTCTAAGAAACAAAGGAAAGTCGACCGTTCAGGCTTTTGAGATTATCTTGTTTTTTTTTTTTTTTGATGTGTGTGTGGGTTAATTTACAAGGCACAGGTAAACGGGCTTAGTTTCCAACAAGAGGGGCGGACAGGAAAATAAACTGGGATATGGCGGACAGACGGGCAGGAAAAAGAAAGGAGAGTCGGGTTTACTCGGCCTCCTCAGCAGCAGCAGCCTGGGCCTTAGCAAGGTCCTTCTCTCGGGCAGCCTGGAGAGCCTTGACTTTCTCGGTGATGCCGTGCTCAGAGGTGAAGTGGGAAGCAAGCTGCTCTCGGCCGACCAAGCTGCAGACGATGGCGGCGCCAACGACGAAGGTAAGGACGAAACGGTACATGCCGTACCAAGCTGGAACCCACCCCTTGACGGCGGCACGGGTGTCGTTGTAGTACAGGAAGGTGAAGGCGAAGAACTGGGTGATCAAGGCGTACTCAACCGGGAGAAGGAGAGTAGGCCAGGCGACAGCTGGGGCAACGACACCGGTGGCATAGCGGCGGAAACCGTGCTTTCCACCGTATCCAGCCCACTCCATACCCCAGTGGACGGCTCCGAGGAAGGAGAGGATCTATATCTAGTCAGATACCTCCGTCATTGTAGTCATGGTTTAGAGAGAATGAGTAAAACATACCACAGCGCCGTAGCCAACCTGGATAGGCTCAATGAGGTTCATCATAGCCTGGGCAGTCTCAACAGAGATGTAGTGGGTAGTTCCGAGAGTGACAGCGTTGTTCATCTCCCAGGAGAGGAAAACAGTCTGGAGCGAGGTCACGACGTAAGGGATGACACCGGCCAGGCCATAGTACAGAGCCTCCTTGGGGACACCCTCCAAGCTGAAGGTATCCTTGATAACTTTCTAGAGCAATGTTAGTATCAATGCTATAGCTACTACCAATTGGAGATATAAGTCAGGAGTTCAGCCTACCACATCGTTCTTCACACCAGCCATCATATCAACATCGGGCTCTTCGATCAGGGTCTTCTTAGCCTCCTATTTTTAATTTTAAAAAAACCAGTTAGTCTTCTATCCACCTAAAAATCTACACCGGCCTAATGACATTACATTATATGGTCACTTACAGTGGAAGAATAGCGGACAAGGGCGGTGGTGACTGGCTGGCGGAAAGGCGAAAGCGCCATGGAAGTTGACCGCGGGCCAGTCCATTGCCTGGCAGAGGTGGTCAACTGGGCCTTGAAAGCAGTGTTAGTCCAGGCACTTCGAGCAATCGAAGCGTTTGAGCTCGATACGGCTCTGAGCACAGAGCGCGCGGCAGCTGTTCGGTACAACATGGCGAGGGTCGAAGAACCGTAGTAGTTGGAAGTTGGTCGGACTGAAGCGGAAGAAGTCGGCGGGCAAGCGCAGGAGGCAGAGATAACCGGCCAGGCAGCGGAGGAAAGCTGTCAAAGCACGATAGAGGAGTGGAGATGGGTGTCCCGTGTGTACTGGTCGTACCCGAGCGATGAAGATGTGCCAATTGAAGCTGAAGTTGTCGCTTTTCCGACACACAATTTGCTCGTCGTCGCTTCAAGTTTGATGTCGAACCTGTCGGGATGTTGACGCTTAGTCAGCGGATAAAGGACGGGCCGATATGACTTAGTAAGCATGGACGACCAAATTCCAGCGCCAGCGAGCTGCAAGTCGCAAGTAGATGACAAGGACGACGCCGACGCCGATGAGAGAGGAGATCGAGAGACATATGGAGGGTCGATGAGGAGAGATGGGCTGCCGGAGGAGAGAAGATGGTCACAGAGCTGAGGGAGAGGAGAGGGGGACCAGGAGGAACAAGAAGAGAGGAGAGCTCATGGTGCTGTACTAAGAAGCACTATATGGACGACGGTGACCTCGATTGCCTCGCATCGACTCCGATCCGGGTATTTGGAAATTCGAAATAATACAATAACTGGCCCAGCCAAGTGAGAATTCGTGGCGTCAAGGAGGATGTCGAGCAATTGCACCTAGCCGAGCCGTCTGCATCGGGCGTAATGGCAGATATTGATATCTGCCAGCAGCCGTGTAAGCTGCCATCACGCGAGATGCACACGACCGAATGGCACCACGACTGAGCAACACTCGACAAAACCTCCAAAAATACAAAACCTACAGGGAGGAGAGTCCCTTCATCCTCATTATATATACAGTTACTGGATTCTCACCTAGAATGAGGGTCGATTAAAACGGTATCCAGTAGTGGCGCCACCTTTTTGACACTTGCCTTATGTCCGGCCATGGACCATTCGCAGCCCTTACATTAGACAGAAAACGGTTGGGAGACGAGACCGCTCCGGCGGATCAGCGTACGGAGTACGGAGAAAATGCAGGAACTCGTTTACTGCTGGAGACATGTCCTTGAAGCAGGCCCATATGCGGTTCTCCGATGGTGTTGGTATGAAGGGAAACCGACAGGAACGAATCTTTATTCAAAAGCCACGCTATAATCGAAGAGTAGAGTTATATGAGAGTCGATAACGGATACTCGACAGTAAATCGCCGTAACTTGGGGGTCTGCTTCATGAACGAAGCAGAGAAGACTACCTGTAGATGACCATAGTCAACCGAATAGATAGCCAGTTTGGATTGTTCAACTTCAATATGCAATAGCCTCAAAGGGCCACATCGCTAACTGTACTGCATCTTCATGCAGGCAGCCTCTCGCCTGCAGTACCGCCATCTTGCTTGGTCTCCTTGCAAGAAAAAGTGGTGGAGCATCGACAAGGCATGGAAACGAACATCTACGTCACTCAAAATCGCCCAACTTTCGCTCCTCCACACGACGAACGAGCAAACAACTCGAGATCTTTCACGACCTACAACATACAACTCTCGCTGCCATACACTACACAAGAGCACCGAGTCGTTTGAGGCAAAAGTGAATCTGTCTATTCTCCTGGTCTGCAATTGACTGTGTCGACCCTCACTTTGCGTCAGAGGCTGCCCGGTTTTCCTGTGGTTGACGAGGGGTGCATCTCTTAATGACGGTTAGAACTCCAACCACCACCAAACTATTCAACGTCGCAGCACTGGTTTTACTGACCCCAAGTCTATTTGAACAGGAATAAAATCGTTAAATATTGTTGAATCGCCCATGGTCTCCGAAAACCTATCTCAGTACAGAACCTTGTACCGGGTCGAGATTGCTGTGGTCAACTACGTGAATCGGCCATAGCCACGACGCCGCCATGTTAGAAGGGATAGTTGCGAACCTGTTGAACAGGTTCTTGGGGATGTATGTGAAGAACTTTGATGCAGGACAGCTTAATGTCGGTATATGGTCCGGTGATGTCAAACTACGAGATCTGGAACTTCGCCGCGAGGCACTTGACCAACTACATCTACCGCTGAACGTTATCGAGGGCCATCTCGGCGAACTCACGCTCTCTATTCCATGGTCTAATCTTCGAGGGAAGCCTGTGAAAGTGCATATTCAAGATGTGTTCCTCCTTGCGGCGCCGAAGGAGGATTCCACCTATGACCCAGAAGAAGAGAGGAAGAGAGAGCATGCGGTTAAGATGGAGAAGCTTGAAAGTGCTGAGCTTATCAAGGAGCAGAATACCGAGGGTATGAGCCAGGAGGAGCAACAGAAGAACCAGAGCTTTACGCAGAGCTTGATTACTGCCATCGTCAACAATCTCCAGGTGGCTATCAAGAACGTTCATTTTCGTTATGAAGATGCCATTGCTGCTCCTGGACATCCGTTCGCCGCGGGTGTCACGATCAAGGAACTTAGTGCTGTCAGCACGGATTCAAATTGGAAACCTACCTTTATACAGTCGACGTCTACCAGCAATTATAAACTTGCTGTCCTGAACTCTCTAGCAGTCTACTGGAACACAGATGCAGAGCTCTTTGCGCCCGATCATGGAGCTTCTGCAGAGTCAGGAGAAGCTGGAGATACTGATGCCCCGGTATTCAGCCATGCTGATTTGCTAGAGAAATTCCGAGATGCTGTTGCTACGGGTGAGAACAATCAGTATATTCTCAAGCCTGTTAGCGGCAAAGCTGGTCTGGAATTAGATACCTCCCAGAATGTCGATCATCCGCGAGCCAAAGCTAAATTGATATTCGATGAACTTGGCTTTGTGCTCGACGACCATCAATACCGTGATGCTTTGATGCTAGTCGACCTCTTTCATTACTTCATTCAGCATCGAGAGTATCGAAGCTTGATGCCTGCTTGTCGGCCAAAGGAAGATCCCCGTGCCTGGTTCAGGTTTGCTGGTCAAGCCATTCTCAGTAAAATCCACGAACGAAACCGCAAATGGACTTGGGGCTATATAAAAGAACGGAGGGATAATCGTATCCGGTATATCGAGTTGTTTAAAATGAGAAAGAGAGAGGACCCCATGTCACCTGCGGAAACGGAGGAGATGAAAGCTCTTGAAGAGAAGTTGTCGTACGAAGACCTGCGGTTTTGGCGGTCCCTTGCTAGAAACCAGCTAAGAAAAGAGAGGATTGAATGTCCGAAGAAGGTTGTCAGACAGCAGACCTGGTCTGAGTGGATATGGGGAACGAGTCCAAAGGAGGAAGACCAGCCCACGTCCATGACGGAAGAACAACGACAGGAACTGTATCAAGCTATAGACTGGGATGAGAAGAAAGCTATAGCTGATGCGGTTGATCTCCCACGAGACTCTGTCAAGTTCCAGGTAGACTCGAGCCTCCGAGCTGGCAGCTTCACCTTAAAGCGAGATCCTCACGGCAAGGCGGATGAGATATTAAAGCTGGTCTTCGAGAACTTCCAGGCAAAGGCACTACAGCGGCCGGACTCGTTCTTGGTCCAGGTTGATCTCGGTGGGCTGCGACTGTTCGATCATACCACGGACAACACTGCCTTCCCTCAGATTGTCCGTGTTAAAGATAGCTATTCCATGCCAAGCGAGAATGCTGAAGAAATTACCGAAATGGAAATACCAGAATCCCCTGATGTTGAAAAGATAGACCGCGAGAACGATGATAGCCTGTTCTATCTCCAGTTTGAATCAAACCCCCTAGATGGGAGCGCGGATTCTGCTCTTCGCATGAAACTCAAAAGTCTTGAAGTTATCTATACCCCGACGGTATTAGTTGAAATCGTCAAGTTCTTCCGCCCTCCGGAACGACATATGGAATCAATCGGCGCTCTCCTGGAAACTGCGGGAGCAACCGTTGCGGAAATACGTCAACAGACAAGAGCTGGACTGGAGTTTGCCCTTGAAGAGCACAAGACCATTAACGCTCAGCTGGACATCCAGGCTCCACTTATTATTATACCTGAGAGCATCACTACAGGTGATAGTATGTGTCTAATCTTTGATGCCGGTAGAGTGAGCGTGATCAGCAAGCTGGTCGACAAGGAGACTCTGAAGATGATTCAGAGCAAGCAAGGCACTGAAATCGGCGACGATGACCTCAGCCAACTCAAATCCCTGATGTATGACAAGTTTTTGCTCAAGCTCGACTCAACACAAGTTCTTATTGGTAAAGGCATTGAAGCAACCAAAGCTGAGCTAGACCCAAAAACGGAATCGAAGAACCTGCATATCATGGACCGGATAAATATGGACTTTGTGCTTGAGTTATGCATCGCCCCCAAGTCAACGCTCACCAGGACACGGATATCAGGCCATCTTCCAGAATTCCACGCCTCTATGTCGGATACGAAGTACAAAAATCTCATGAGACTGATTGACATTGCTATCCCGAGATTCGACACAGATGAGTCGTCTACCAATTCAGCGGAGAAAGTCGTACAGCCAGAAACTACATCAGCAGAAACCAGAGCCAGGTCACAGTCGATTCAATTCCCTCGACAAAAAGACGTACCTGTCTTGCAGTCGGAAAATGACATCGCAGGCCCCGATGATAAGAAATCAGCAGAATCAAAGGTTCCTAAAAACATACATCGACGTATGTTTGAATTCAAGTTTACCGTCGATACCCTGAGGGGCTCATTATATCGATCTGACCCCAGCGATGAAAGAAAGGATAGACTGCTGGTTGAACTGGTGGCTGAACACTTCCATCTCGACTATAATCTCAGAGAATACGACATGGCTGCTGACATTGTTCTGAAATCTTTGAGTATCGAAGATTATATCGAAGAGCATTCGTCTGCCCCCGAATTTAAGAAAATCGTTACATCCAGGGGCTTCGATGCCAATGAAGAGAAGGACTTGTTCACTCTAAAATTTATCAGAGTTAATCCCAGCTCTCCTGAGTTCGTTTCGGTGTATGATGGCGTTGAAATGAACCTCGACCTAGTAGTGTCGACCATTAATTTGATTGTTACTCGGAAGACATTGCTTACCCTACTGGATTTCATTTTAATTACTTTCACCAACCAGAATCCACAGGACCAGGCTCAAAGCTCCCATGAACAAGCTGCCTCCAATGACTCAAAGGAAGCTCCGAAGCCAGCTAATACAGGGAAAATTCGAATAAGCTCAAAGTTAGAGAGGATTTCCCTTATTTTGAATGACGATGGCATTCGTCTAGCCACCCTCAGTCTGAATACTGCGGATGTTGGAATATTCCTTGCCAATGAAACAATGCTGATCAAATCGAGAATGGGCAGTCTGACCTTATTCGATGATATCAAAGAAAACGGCAAGTCGTCAACAGTCCGTCGGCTCATGAGTATTGAAGGGGACGATTTCGCGGATTTCCGCTACCAAACTTTCAACCCGAAACTTAAAGGCTATCCTGGTTACGATTCAGAGGTAGCTTTACGATCTGGTTCGATCAAAATAAACTTCATCGACGAGCCGTACCGAAGGGTTATTAATTTCCTAGTTAAGTTTGGGAAGATGCAAAGTATATTCAATGCAGCCCGTCAGGCCGCAGCCAACCAAGCTACACAAATCCAAGAAAGCTCATCACTGATGCATTTCGATATTATGGTCAAGACGCCCATCCTGGTGTTTCCCCGGATAACCGACCGAGATGGACCTCGAGATTTCATCACCGCTCATTTGGGAGAGATATATGCTAGCAACGAGTTTTCTCAAGCTGATCATGGTGAAGCGAAGTACCTGGTTAACACCATTGCCGCTGGAGTCCGTCATATCCGCCTCACGTCTACTTTCTACTACTCAGAAGATGTCTGTGAAGAATTGGAGATGATTGAGAAGGTGGATATGGATTTCAATATCAAATATGTTCAAGAACCCATTGACAATTCCATACCTGTTATGCGTGTCGATGGCTCTATGTCACCCACCAATCTTCGGATTTCGCAAATGCAGCTTAAATTCCTCCTTGAGCTATCTAAAACCATCCCGGCTGCGTTTTCACCTGACCAAGAACTTCAAGAAGGACAAGCCCAACAGGCCCTACCCGAACTATCTGCGGGGTTAAGTACAGCCGCTAGTTCAGACAAATCCAACGAGTCCAAGGCACTCACGGACGGATCTGGTAAAAATGCCACAGAGCCCAAAAAGTCAATTCAACTCGAATTAGGATTCAGCGTGGAAACTGTTGGGTTAGAACTGCTCCTTGTGAACGAGGAGGCGCCGGTTCGATCTCTCGATGATGTTAGCCTGTCTAAGTTCTTCTTGAGCAATACCAATGTGAAGCTCCGGATGTTGAACAATGGCTCCCTCGAGTCTGAACTGCTTATTCATTCCTTTAATGTCCGAGACAGCAGATCAAAGGAGACAAACCGGTTCCGTAAGATTATGTCCCTGGTTAATACCGAAGTTCAGCAACAGTTTATGGCCAGTCTTTCCATGTCCGGTGGTACCGAGCGTCAATTAGTGGTAATGGTAACAATCGATAGCCCGCGTATCATATTCGCTGTTGATTATCTATTCTCTCTCAAATCATTTGCAACAGCGGCATTCCCTGCAGAGCCAGAGACAGATGCTTCGGAAAGCTCAGATGAAGAGTCCTCGGGCCCGGCTGTGTCGCGTGAAAACCCGCCGTCTAAACCAGCGACTATTCCTTCAAGCGCCATGACAGCAGAAAACAAATCTTCCCTTACAATGTCCTTCAGATTCAACATGGTTGATTCTCAAGTCATCCTGGTAGCTAACCCAACGATTGCGAACACAGAAGCTATCGTCCTGGGGGCTAAACAAATAGTCTATTCCCAGCAGAATGCGTCTACTCTTCAAATCACCAAGGTCGGCATGTTCCTTTGCCGTATGGATAAATTTGAGACTAGTAGACTGCGTATTCTGGACGACTTCTCGCTAGAATTATCCATGGATACTCAGAGTAAAAGCAAAAGTTTCTCTACGACAAGGATTGACATGCATGTGGAGCCATTGATTCTTCGGTTGTCACCACGAGATATCCTGCTTGCTCTGCAAATAATGAACAGAGTATCTGAGATGACTTCACCGACACAGCCTCAGAATGCAGCAAGCGAGTCGAAAGCCATTGCTGCTAAACCTACACAAGCAGATCTACAGTCGCCAAGTACCCCTGTTCAATCTCGATTGACTGCCGCAGATAGAATTCAACAGTCATCCATAGTGAAGAAGGAAGAAATGTCCATTCAAATGGATGGTATTAGAGTTATACTGATTGGCGATGTACACATACTTCCCTTGCTTGACTGGAGTGTGCAGTCATTCCGAGTCGATGTTAGAGACTGGTCTGCGAATATGAGTGCTGATACCACTTTTGACACCTTCATCAACGTTTACAATTTCTCGAAGTCTACTTGGGAGCCGTTGATTGAGCCATGGCAGCTTGGATTCCATATGTCGAAAGAACTAAGCCCTGACATATTCTCTATTGATGCCTACTCCCATAAGAACATGGAGTTAACAATCACATCTGCAACAATTGCTTTGGCGTCTAAAACAATGCAATTCTTGTCTGCTGATGAAGACGTTCTTTCAAAGCCCAGAGGTACAGATACTCCTTATCGAATACGAAACTATACCGGCTTTGAATTGCGAGTATGGGCAGACACTGGCAATGGAGAGGAGGGGCATGCCTGTACCCTTGAAGACGGTGAAGAATACCCCTGGAGGTTTGAGGACCCAACTACTATGCGAGAGAATCTTACTCCGGAGGGCAACGCCGGTACGGTAGGAATTAAGCTTGAGGGCAGTGGATTCGATAGCATCAGCCGCATCCCCCTCATCCGTGAAGGGGAAACGCTTTATAATCTGAAGCCAAAGAAAGATAAAGTGCTACATAAGTTGCTGGTGGAAGTCAGCTTGGGGACGGATTATGTCAAGTATATCACCTTCAGATCCCCCCTTGTGGTGGAGAATAAGACACAAATACCGGTTGAGGTTGGGGTATATAGCCCCGAGGAGGGACATCTTCTTAAGATTGAAAAAATACTTCCCGGTGATTCACGTCCAGCACCAGTGGGTGCCGCCTACCTACATTCCCTCGTTGTGCGCCCTGACCAAGGCTTCGGGTACAATTGGTCAAACGAGAGGCTCTTCTGGAAAGATTTGCTGAGACGACCCACGAGAACCCTCAAATGTCAGAGTGAGAATGGACAGCAATCTCCGCCATTCTATTTCCAGATGAATGCTACTTTTGACAAGAATGATCCTCTTCTGCCCGTATATCCGTACATGCGGGTTCGTGTCTCTGCCCCCATTGAGATCCAAAACTTACTTCCATATGACTTCAAGTATCGCATATACGACAAAAACTTGAAGAAAGATTGGACGAACTTCCTTAGAAAAGGAGGAGTGAGTCCGGTTCACGTCGTGGAGCTTTCTCATGTACTCCTCCTAAGTATTGACATGCAGGATACAGCATTCAGGCAATGCGAGTTTGCAATAGTCAACGGGAATGTCCAAGAAGATTTCAGGAGAGAGTCTACCCTTACTGTTCAAGATGATCAAGGCCAAGAATTGAAATTAGGCCTTCACTACTTTACCGTTCCCGATAGTGGTGGTGCCTTTAAGGTCTCTGTGTTCAGTCCCTATCTTGTGCTGAACAAAACCGGACTCGATCTCAATATACAAAGCAAAGGCGTCTTCCATGGAGGCAGGTCTGCAGCGGGTCGGGCTATAAAAACAGACGCAACGAATGGAGTCCGTTCTGCCATTCCTTATATGTATTCTTATCCAACAGATGACCGTAAGAACCGGTCAGTCTTGAGAGTTGTTGGCTCTTCGTGGAGCAAGCCTCAGAGCTTCGAAGCCATAGGAAGCAGTTTCGAGGTTACCTTACCAGGTTCCAACGGCCGAACCGAGTATCACGCAGGCGTGACGGTAGAAGAGGGGACTGGGAAATACAAGGTCACTAAAATAGTTACAGTATCCCCCAGGTTCATACTCGACAACAGGCTGGATGAAGAATTGGCTGCTCGTGAACCAGGCTCTTCCAATGTTATCTCACTAAAGCCTCGTGAACTTGTTCCGCTGCATTTCCTCAGGCAGGCGGCTGAAAAACAACTTTGCTTCTGCTTCCCTGGTGTTAACAATCAGTGGTCCTCCTTGTTCAACATTGCTGACCTAGGAATAACCTATGTGAAATTGGCAAAGGCAAACCAGCGCCAGAGATTACTCAAAGTTGAAGTGCTCATGGAAGGTGCTACAATATTCTTACGCATTAGTATGGAGGCAGTACACTGGCCGTATTCTATGAAGAATGAATCGGATGCAGAATTCATATTCTTCCAAGCGGTATGACGTTAACTCCTGGAACCTGTTTTCAATATCAAACTAACTTGTATTAGAATCCAAATGTTAGCGAGGATGAAGATGATCGTAGCACTACCTGGCGGCCTATCCGTTACCGTCTTCCGCCCCGCAGTATCATGCCTTACGCATGGGATTATCCTGCCGCTAAAAACAAGTCTCTTGTTCTGCTATGTCGGGGAAAGGAAAGGTATATCAAACTCGCTGAAATGGGCAACTTGATACCAATGAAGCTCCCGCCAACCCATGATTTGCCTCAAAAGATTATTGATATCCGCATTGAAGCAGAAGGCCCTACGCAAACTCTTGTCTTATCTAATTTCCGACCATCAAGGAGTGTATATAGGCAGCAAAAGCCTGCCTCTTCTCAAACCAGCGTGTCCACTGGATTTGAGGTCAAGGAGATCAACTCGGACATTACGTTCAAGGCCCAACTACGATTAAACGGTATCGGGATTTCCTTGGTCAACCAGAACTTGAGGGAGCTCGTGTATATCACTTTCCGCGAGATAGATCTCAAGCTCAGCGAATCCAAGATCTACCAGACGGTCAACACCACTATAAAGTGGATACAAGTTGATAATCAATTATATGGCGGAATATTCCCAATTCTTCTATACCCAAGCGTTGTCCCGAAAACTGGTAGGGAGATGGAGGCGCATCCAATTTTCACAGCTACGGTTACCCGGGTTAAAGATGACTCATATGGAGTCTTGTATGTGAAGTATGCTTCACTACTTGTTCAGCAGATGACTCTTGAACTCGATGAAGATTTCATTTTTGCCCTCCTCGACTTTGTGAAGGTTCCAGGCGCCGCTTGGTCCGAGGAACGTGAGGACCCCATCTGTGAGGCTGAACTTGGCATTCCAGAACCAAAACACGAAGCACAAGGGCAGGACGTATATTTTGAGGTCCTCCACTTGCATCCTATGCAGCTTGATCTGTCCTTCGTTCGTACAGAACGAGTCAATGTTGAGGATACGACAGAGTCGTCTAACCCATTGATGTTCTTCGTCAACGTCATGACTATGTCAATTGGTAACGTTAATGATGCTCCGGTTAGATTAAACGCACTGCTTCTGGAGAACGCAAGAGTGTCTATACCGATGCTTGTTTCGAATATCACAAACCACTATACTCAAGAATTTCTTCGTCAAGTCCACGTTGTTATTGGCTCTGCGGATTTCCTAGGTAATCCTGTTGGCTTGTTTAACACCGTGAGTTCTGGAGTTGCCGATATATTCTATGAGCCATATCAAGGGTTCGTCATGTCCGACAGACCTCAGGAGCTAGGCCTCGGAATTGCCAAGGGTGCCACTTCATTCGTCAAGAAGTCAGTGTTTGGAATCACGGACAGTCTTACAAAGTTCACGGGAAGCGTTTCCAAAGGTCTCGCTGCCGCAACACTGGATAAAGAGTTTCAGGATCAGCGAAGGATGTCTAGAGCCCGAAATAGGCCAAAGCATGCTCTCTATGGAGTGACTGCAGGTGGCAGTGCTTTTGCTACCAGCATGGCAAGTGGAATTGGTGGTCTTGCGCGTCATCCACTGGAGGGTGCTGAAAAAGAAGGATTCCAGGGATTTGTTAAAGGTGTCGGGAAAGGATTCTTAGGACTTGCAACAAAGCCAGCACTTGGTGCTTTTGATCTAGCTTCTAGTAAGTACTCACTCAGTCCCTTTCCTTTGTATGTCTATTGAACAGACTTATCTAACTTTAACGCAGATCTTGCTGAAGGAGTAAGAAATACGACTACAGTTTTCGATGCCGGTGGTCTTGACCGAGTTCGTTTAACTCGCTTCATTGGCCGAGCTGGAATTGTCAAGCCGTATTCTCAGCGAGAAGCACTAGGCCAATTCTGGCTCAAAACGACAGACGATGGCAAATACTTCAACGAGGAATATATTGCTCATCTGGAGTTCCCTGGCAAAGATATGCTTGTGTTATTGACGTATGATCGAATCATGCTTGTCCGATCAAAGCGTCTCACAACAGAATGGGACATCAAATTGACCGATATTCAAAAGATATCAAAGGAGAGAACGGGAATGACCATAACGCTAAAGGGCGGCACCAACGGACCATTCATACCGGTACAGGATGAGAGTGGAAGAAACTGGTTCTACAAACAAATTGCTATTGGTATGTTTACTCATCATCATTTCTCCTGGTAAGTTGAGCATATTCAGTAACTAATTAATCCCTGGTTGATAGCTGTCAACGCATTTAATGAGAAGTATAGTGCCAAGGGATAGCGTTTGCCAGCCGTTTCCAAGGCACGGAAATGAGAGATGCAAAAAATAACATTCATGAGGAACTCAATATTCTTACATACATCCAATGTCCTTCCATATTTCTTAGCTACATTCATCTTGTGTATTGGTAATTCTAATTACTGTGATTGATCTTTATGGAGCTTTTTTCTCGGTTATGGCAAAAGGTTATTAATATAAATGGCACCTTACGATTCTGTGTACAGTTAACACAATGAAAAGTAGACTACCCTAGCTATAGACGTTTAATTTTCTGGACTATATATGTTTTGCAGAGCAGGTGCTCAAGTAATACGGCTTCAGAAGGTCTAAAGACGGGATGTACGACAAGCCCCCTCCACTGCCAAGACCGCGTCCGCCCTGTTGGGTGCGGCAACGTGCCGCTCCCGTCTTCCCGCTCTCACAAGAAGCTTAGGCACTCCATATTTCGACCACTTGCTTTTCCTCTAGCGTTATTTACCGCCTTCGGATATCCTTAGACGCAACTAGGCTGCTGTAGGTTAGCAGGCTTTGGTAGGCAGAGGACTTGTGTTGATCATGCGCTAGTTATTTATAATTTTTAACATGATTTATACGACCGCCTTGACCATTCAGAGGTATACGCAACCGGGTATTTAGTTGCTCTTCGGCTAACAGTTAGATCTCATTATATAGTGCTAAAAGTAGCATGTTGAAATGGTAAACTAATACACTAATACAGAGTATGAAGTACGTGGACGTGTTGCTCCTCATTTCAGTCAACGATTTAAGGTGCAACCCCCCGAGCTTTATTGAAGTCCGCATTCCACCTTGAACCTACTTTGAGGCCTTTGACGGTTAAACTCCTAGAGATATGTAATAAAGACTATATCGTTGGCTATATGATTTAGTCGGCAGTCACGATTGCCGGAAAGGCCTGCTGCTGCTTTACAAGGTTGTTCACCTCCTGGCGGTGTAACTGTTTGATATAAGTAGTTACCCACACAGGGCAAGCTCATGACCTGCAGGGTTACTTATATGGGTCACAATACAAGCGCGGGGAGTTGGATCGAATCAAGCAACAAGCTCAGGTATGGTTTGGGAAAGAAGGATCGTATCCTGGCAGTGGGAATGTACGTCGGACAGGCAAAGGAGGCACTTCTGTCACGTATTGACTTGCTCAAATAGGATGGATCTCGCGAGTGTGTAAGCTCACCCAACTGGCAGGCCTTCAGAAATACTTTTGTATATCCCAGCTTAAACTTAGCATGAAGTCGCCCGATATCCCGAGCATTCTCTGGTCCAATAGCTATGAGGTGGAGTGGATGTCGACGATTACATAAATGGAGACCACTGATACCTTGACGGAGAATACGGAGCTGGCTCCCCGTGATACAGGACCATGTCTGACTCACGGGGAATGTTGCTCCGTGATGGGGCTAAAGCCGCGGCAACCAGCGATCTGCCAACAGCTGGTAATTCAACAAGCCAAATATTCACGCCTGTCAGTCCACGAGGTCATGCATCGGAAGTCGTAGTCATAAGTAGGGCGTCAGAAAGAGACTTGGCTGCTTGTCACCAGCTGCATATCAAGGAGGTGAAATCCAACGTGTCCAAGAAGGTTTTTGATATTAAAGGGCGTCCATTGCCGATCAGGTGATCGGCTACAGCATCCATGTAACAATACGGAGTACTTTTCGAAGGATGTCCACGGCAACGGCTGACCCCGTCACGGCGCCAGAGCCGTTTTAACCTCTGCAGGCCTCCTTGTCCAGCTGATATATGAGGTTTTAAAAGGCCAATTACTAGGCCAGACGAAGGCCAGGGACCAAAAACTCTGCCATGATACAAAACAAGATCGCAGTTTCAAGCAGAAAGAAAAAAACAACGGAAAAACAACAAAAACAAAAAAAATCGGATGCACTGCCACCTGGAAGGATTAATGGACCAATAAAAATCTGCAGCAAGCCGCAAGTCCCGCCAATAAACTTCGGCCGATGTAATCATGCAGAAAGCGAGATCTGTACGGGCGATACGGCGTTACACGCTAGCCTTCTTGGGGCCTGGAGCTGTCGCACCCAGGTCTCATAATGGGCGGGCGGTTATTGGCTTGCAGCCGTAATATGTCAGCAGACTGCACCAGCCGCGGGCGTATCGTATGGTAACCGCCGCCACTGCCCGAGCTAAAGGCGGCATGTAATTAATATCCGGCCCAGTTTCTGCCGGCTTACCTAATCATATTACGGCCCTTTACCCGATCGGGAAGGCTTGCTGTCCTATTTTTCTCTTCGTCTTTTCCGCCGGCTCCAACTTCGACCTCAATCGTCTTTCTCTCGCAACGTCCGTCTTGACTCTGCCTGCTTTTGTCTCGCGATATCCTGCATTCGAGCTTCTATCTCGCCCTGTCTGCGAGCAATTGACTGGTTCTACCCGTACGTATCCTCGTCTGTCTTTCCCCTGCAAGCCAGCCCCTTTTAGCTGCCCGGAGTAGCTGTGTCGTGTGAGTTTATGGGAGGTTGTATGCAGCTCATGAGCTGATCTATTGATTGTTGCTTTTTCTACGATGCCGTCCGAGCCTCTTTGGTCGTTCAGCCCATATTATCTCCCTAGTACTCGCTGAGATCTGTTCTATTACTTTTTTTCCCCTCTCTCAGAGGTTGTTTTCTAAATCCTAACTAACGGAAGAATTAAAAAAGCAGATCCTGAATTATACTTACACTTGTCTCTCTTGAACAAAGGGAGACGTTCTGATGACCTCGAGTTCGTGTGAGGCGGAACGGCAGATATAGTCGATAATTCCAGCCTCTTTCGACATCCATTATATACTCCCATACTTTTGGTGTCCTCTTTGGCTGGTGTATTTGAACTTCTTTTTGCATCCCTTTGAAACGGGACTAAAACGTCGATAAAAAAAACATACTAGATCGGGCGGTCCGGAAAATCATATCTTATAGGTATGAAGAAACAAAGCAGAAGGACTTTTAGCATGTTATTAGAGACAGATGGGCTAACCGGCACTTCTTCGCATTAGAACGTCTTTTTTTTTTTCCATTTTCTAATATATTTGTGAATATGTTTCGAACAACAAGAGCTGTGACGCTGAAGGCGTCCGGAGCTTCTTCCCTTCTCAGGCAATCGTATACTCGCTCGATATGTTCTGGAGCAAGGTCAAATCTTCAGCTGACAGCCCGGAAACCTCTGGGTATTGTTTGTGCCAGAAAAGCCTGGGAGCAGACCAGGGGTTATGCCGTTGCGACTGGCGAGACCAGCAAAGGAGTCGTTCGTATATCCTCTCTATTGCCGTTGAAAAAAATAATTACTTTTCGGGCTAATTAGCTTGTGTACATAGGACCCAAATGACTCTTTCCTCCAGGGCAACACCGCTAACTACATCGATGAGATGTACATGGCCTGGAAGGAGGACCCTCAAAGTGTCCACGTTTCATGGCGTACCTACTTCCATAACATGGAGGAGGGTAAGATGCCCATCTCGCAAGCCTTCCAGCCTCCACCTACCATTGTCCCTACTCCTACCGGCGGTGTTCCTCAACACATGCCCGGAAACGCAGCCGGAACGAATGTCTCCAACCACTTGAAGGTCCAGCTTCTTGTCCGCGCGTATCAGGCTCGTGGACACCATAAGGCAAAGATTGACCCTCTCGGTATCCGCGGTGAGGCCGATTCTTTTGGATACAGCAAGCCAAAGGAACTCGAGCTGTCGCATTATGGCTTCACTGAGAAGGACCTTGACGAGGAATTTGCTCTTGGCCCAGGAATCCTCCCTCGCTTTGAGACTGAGACCCGCAAGAAGATGACTCTTCGTGAGATTATTGATGCCTGCGAAAAGATCTACTGTGGCTCTTTCGGCGTGGAATACATCCACATTCCTGACCGCGTTCCTTGTGACTGGATCCGTGACCGTATCGAAATTCCTCAGCCATACAAGTACTCTGTCGATGAGAAGCGCCGCATTCTAGATCGTCTTATCTGGAGTTCCAGCTTCGAAGCCTTTTTGGCCACTAAGTTCCCCAATGACAAGCGCTTCGGTCTGGAAGGTTGCGAGACCCTGGTACCCGGCATGAAGGCATTGATTGATCGAAGTGTTGACTATGGAGTCAAGGATATTGTCATCGGTATGCCTCACCGTGGCCGATTGAACGTTCTCAGCAACGTCGTTCGTAAGCCCAATGAGTCTATCTTCAGCGAGTTTAGCGGTAGCGCCGAACCATCTGATGAGGGCTCGGGAGATGTCAAGTACCATCTTGGTATGAACTTCGAGCGCCCAACTCCCTCTGGAAAGCGCGTTCAGCTATCCCTCGTTGCAAATCCCTCTCATTTGGAAGCCGAAGACCCAGTTGTTCTTGGAAAAACTCGCTCCATTCAGCACTACAACAACGATGAAAAAGAATTCAACACTGCCATGGGTGTCCTTCTTCACGGTGATGCCGCATTCGCTGCCCAGGGTATCGTTTATGAGACCATGGGTTTCCATTCGCTACCTGCCTACTCCACTGGAGGAACCATCCATATCGTCGTTAACAACCAGATCGGTTTCACCACTGACCCCCGTTTTGCCCGATCCACCCCTTACTGCTCCGATATCGCCAAGGCCATCGATGCTCCAGTCTTCCACGTGAACGGTGATGATGTCGAAGCTCTTAACCACGTCTGCCAGTTGGCCGCCGACTGGCGTGCCCAGTTCAAGAGTGATGTTGTCATTGACATCGTTTGCTACCGTAAGCAAGGCCACAACGAAACCGATCAGCCCGCCTTTACCCAGCCTCTTATGTACAAGCGCATTGCCTCCCAGCAGAGCCAGATCGATAAGTATGTTGAGAAGCTATTAAAGGAGAAGACCTTCACCAAGGAGGATATCGATGAACACAAGAAATGGGTCTGGGGAATGCTCAACGACAGCTTCGAGCGCAGCAAAGACTACACCCCAACCAGTCGAGAGTGGCTCACTTCCGCCTGGAACGGATTCAAAACCCCCAAAGAGCTTGCCACTGAGGTCCTCGGTCACCCTCCTACCGGTGTCGAAGCAGAGACCCTCCAGATGATTGGTGCTAAGCTTGGAAGCATTCCTGAGAACTTTACTCCACACCGCAACCTAAAGCGTATCTTGGCCAACCGGGAGAAATCCATCAAGGAAGGCAAAAATATCGACTGGTCCACTGCTGAAGCTCTTGCTTTTGGTACCTTGTGTAAGGAGGGCCACCACGTCCGCGTGTCTGGCCAGGATGTTGAGCGTGGCACCTTCTCTCAGCGTCACGCCGTCCTCCACGACCAAGAGAACGAGAGCACCTACACTGCTCTCCAGCACATCAGCCCCGACCAAGGATCCTTTGTCATTTCCAACTCCTCCCTCAGTGAATATGGAGCGTAAGTTCCCCCTTATACCGATGTGTTGTTATCAGGCTAACTAATATTTCCAGTCTCGGCTTCGAATATGGCTACTCGCTAACCTCTCCTAACGCGCTTGTCATGTGGGAAGCTCAGTTCGGTGACTTCGCCAACAACGCCCAATGTATCATTGATCAGTTCATTGCCTCTGGTGAATCGAAATGGGTTCAGCGATCTGGTCTCGTCATGTCTTTGCCCCATGGATATGACGGTCAGGGCCCTGAGCACTCTTCCGGCAGACTGGAACGTTACCTCCAGCTTTGCAATGAGGATCCTCGCGTTTACCCAGCCGCCGACAAGATTGACAGACAACACCAGGACTGCAACATGCAGATTGCCTACATGACCTCCCCCGCCAACTTGTTCCACATCCTCCGTCGACAGATAAACCGTCAATTCCGAAAACGTAAGTTTATTTTTGTCTTGACTATTTTAAATATATCAGGCAAGTACTAATTGCCTCCAATAGCATTGATCATTTTCTTCTCGAAATCCCTTCTCCGTCACCCAAGCTGCCGATCCTCCATCGAGGAATTCACTGGCGACTCCCATTTCCGCTGGATTATCCCTGACGACCAACATGGCAAACAGATTGATGAGCCTGAGAAAATCGAGCGTGTGATTATGTGCTCCGGTCAAGTCTGGGCTGCCCTTACCAAGCATCGTGAGACGAACGGTATCAGGAACACCGCCATCACCCGTATCGAACAGATGCACCCCTTCCCCTGGCAACAGCTGAAGGAGAACCTCGACAGCTACCCCAACGCCAAGGATATTGTCTTCTGTCAAGAGGAACCTCTCAACGCCGGAAGCTGGAGCTACATGCAACCCCGCATTGAGACCCTCCTCAACGAGACTGTCCACCACAACAGGCGCCATGTCCTGTACGCCGGTCGTAACCCAAGCGCTAGTGTGGCCACTGGCTTGAAGAGCAGTCACATCAAGGAAGAGCAAGATCTATTACATGACGCTTTCACCGTACACCAGGAAAAGCTCAAGGGCGAGTAGATCGCACAAGAAACTAAACAGAAAGCAGATGGGAGCTGAAGTGTCTCCCATTGAAGATAGCATTTCTACATGCATGAGTGTGATGGCCTTTCATTTGTCCTTTTCACAACCACCTTTGTTTCTATAGTGTATAAATCCGAATAATTTCCCTTTATCGCATCCATTCCCGTCCTTTTGCATCGTTGTTCTTCCCTTTATATAAGTGCTATACAAAACCCGAAGCTAGAGTTCTTGCTCACTAAACCTCATTGCTGAGCTAACACTACGTCATCAGCAGCAGCGCAAGATGCGTTTCAATTTACAATCCCATAGCCATCAATGGCCACGTTCAATATTCTTTTGGAGAAGATACACGCCCTAATACATCGAACTCATCTCTATATCTAGAACCTATCCGGCACGAAATAATTGAAAAATAGCAATAAGCAGGCTATTTTTAATAACAAACCTTGTTTTAATTACATAAGCAAACTTCTTCCGCGCTAAACCCGAATAGGCTCCACTGCGGAAAGCTTCAAAGTCACGCTTCTTTTCTGCGTCTTCGTCGGCTTCTTCGACTTCACGACTTCAGCTTTACAACTTCGCCAGGCGGCTGGTCTTTTGCTGCGCTTTTCCTTCGCTTAGAAAGCTGTTCCGGGGCGCGGCCTTGGCCTCAGATTCGTTTTTGCGTCTAGACAAGTCACTTTCTATCTACCGTTCCGCTACCACAAGCGTAGCTCGTTCACACTCTCTCGCGATGGCGTCGAGCAGCATGCCCACCGGCGGCAATGCCAGCAACATACGCCAAACCGCTCGTCAAACCCGGACGAACCCTTCTAGACAGTCTAAGACCGCTGGCCGCACGTCGCTTATCGGTGGACTTGCCGGTGGCCCCTCGAGCCTTGGGGGAGGACATGGAGCCAACGGTTCTGTGCACGGCAACTCGGTACCAGCGGGGATCTATCCGGGAATCACTCACTTTAGCGATGCTATCGATGCACTTCCTAGAGAGTTCCGGAGACATAATTCGCTTTTGAACGAGGTTGATGGCAAAGCGTGGGCGCTGGAGGAGCAGTTGTCTAAATTGCTTACCACGGCAACGAAGCTGATCTCCGTAGACTACGATGCTCCCAGGCCGAAGCAGGTACGCTTTCAACTCCCCAGTGCCTTCTGCTGGCCGTTCTGAACACATTAGGCGAGCTCAGGATGGCTTGCTAACTGAATCTCACCTTAGGTTGATGTCACACCGACGAGACAGGTTTTTCAGAGCATCCGTTCTACTCTCGGCGACCTCCTAGGAACCATCGATGAAAAGAATCATGTTGCACGCAACGCAAATGCGACACTCCAACGAGATGTCAGTCGACTTGATGCTATCTATCCGCATGTACAACGAGAAGTGAGTGACGAAGCTCGGCTCGGGAGTTTAACGCACTGGGCATATATCAACAAACCTACACCGAAAACAAGTGCTAGTGCTGTCAATGAACGCCCTAGGAGAGATACAGCAGGTGCAAACAGCCATAGAGCCGCCCACGGAGATGCGGATAACGAACCAAAGAAAGAGCCAGTTCGCCGACAACGTCGAACCCAAGCAGAGATTGAAGCAGATGAGGCTCGAGGCATCACCGTACGAAGAGGCAAGCCAGGGCCGAAAAGTAGAACTGCAGACAACCAATCCAGTGAGCAGGCTTTGACTGCTGGGGGTGCCCCCGGGATTGTGACTGCGAAACGCCGAAAGGTAGAGCATACTCAATCTATGGCAGCAACAGCTATGGAGCGATCAGCCAGTACTGCAACAAATGCTGGTGGCCGAGCCGGATCAAAAGAGAGCCCTGCGCCAGATGCTGTGAAAAAGAGAACAAGGGCCCCTAATGTTAATTCAGCCGCACGAAAAAGGTATGTCTATTCCACCTGGAAATCACCATATCCCTGCCCCAGTATTTGGGGAGGAGTTAGCTGCCTTTGCGCCTACTCCTGCTTCCATAATGCAAAACGGGCTTACTTCCTTCCAGCCGCCAGCATATACCTCTTGTTGAAAGCGCGCTATTACCATGAAGAAATTCGAACTAACAAATTATTATTTTAATAAAAGTAGAACGAATACTGTATCATCGAACGCGGGCTCTCCAGCCGTTGCCGGTGCATTGAACGTCTCTCAGCTCGGTCACACGTCTAACAGTCCTGCACCAGCATCTTCCCTTCGCGCTCAATCACGGCCACAACAGAATCAGACTCCGGCTTCTCGCCAACGGCCGTCTTCGTCTGCTTCGAATCGCAATCCTAGTATGTTTTTAGAGTCTACAAATAACTTTCTTCGATGATACCGTTGTCTAACGCTAGAATGATAGAAAAAGACCTGTTGGATGCCAGACCTCCATCTGCGAAAGGTGCAGCGAGTCCCAGAATTGACACGTTAGCAAGCAGATCAAATGGGGACAGCATAAGAAACAGCCCAAAGACAGCTACCCTTGAGCTCAAACATGAAGACGCTAGCTCCATGGGCCCTGTAGGAACCTCTAGCCACATGCATGATGGTAAAGCAGACTACTCGAACCTCCCAGAACTGAACACCGGTGTTTCCACAAAACGGTCGTCCAAGAACTCGACACCTGTTTCCACCACATATGCCGAGTCACAGCAAAGGTCACGCCCGTCTAGGACGGGTGATGGCCCTAAGCGGTCTCATAAGAAAACCGGCAGTATATCAACTGCTCGGCAGATGGCTTTATCCGCGGCTGCCGATGAAGCTGCTGATGAACCTCGCAATGCAGAAGGAGATGACCCAATGGAGCCACGTTACTGCTACTGTAACGAAGTCAGCTTCGGAGAAATGGTGGCATGCGATAACCCGAACTGCCCCCGAGAATGGTTCCATCTCTCGTGTGTTGGATTGACCAAACCACCATCCAAGAGTGGTGAGTATTTTAGCTTCTTTAACATAACTAGAGTTTACGGTCATGGCTAATTTTCCACTTTCTTAGTTGTATGGTACTGCAACGAATGCAAGGACGGCGCGAGAAAGGCGAAGTCAGGCAATGGGAAGTAGTACAAGTCTATCTTCTTTCGTTTTTTGGAGTTTCTTCGTTGGTTATTTCATTGCATTACGATTGGGCATAGTTTCAAGGCAGAGGAGGCGGCGGCTCTATTTTATATCCAGCGTTATAGGCGTGTTCGCTTTTACTAGTTCGACATACTATCAGGCGTGATACTCGACCTATTATTAGCCTTGGACTTCGGTCTCTACTCTATTTCTTCGCGCTACGCTTTACCCGGTGGATATGTAATATCGAATTTTGTACATGCTAGATACTCAGAAGGTTCCCCTAAACCGGTCTAATATCTGTCCAGCCAGCGGCCTTCGCTGCTCTACTTCTTGCGCACCACCAACCCCACTGCCAGCACTACCTGTACTTCTTCTGCCCCCATCAGTGTCTGTGCTAGCAACAGCAACAAAGGCAGCTCTAGATTCACCCTCTAGCCTTCGCCGTAGCCCTTCTAACCGCTCTGGATCTCTGCTTCCTGTCCCAGAAGAGGAAGCATCACCATCACCCCTATTTCTCGGAATTCCACGCCGTCTCTGACGTTCCGGCGAGCCACCATATATCCAACCCGGTATTCTCCATGATGATATCTTGCTTGGAAGCAGCTCAGCACGCCATGCGTAGCCTATCACCCAGCCTATGAATGCCGGCAGTATAGTGTGGGGCAACTGTGACAAGGCCAGTTGGAATGCAAGGAAATATATTGTCGATTTGTCACTGAATTTAATGGCTGATCCATTACCCGATGAGCTGGTTAACAAACGGTACTTGTACGTCGTGGGGATAGTGGCGTGGTACTGCGCGAGTATGGCGAAGAGAATTGCAGTTGGTCCAGCGGGGAGATGGTTCAATGTATTCAAAGATAGCGGGCGGACCACAATCGTGAGAATAAGAGGTGGGAGAAGAGTTGTAAACGGAAGGGTGCTAAGAATAAAGCTCTATAGTATGGTATAGTCAGTAATTGAGTTATTTCATCTATCATCCTTTCAGAGATCCTCACCGCGAACTTTCTCGATCCCCATAGCCGTTCTATGACTCGTAGGCTATAGATAACCATTCCTGCCTGTAGAACCTCCGTTGAATTGGTATAACAGAGCTGTTGTGACAGAATTAATATATCAATTACTCCAACGGCGCTTTAGCATGATACGGAAGTCAAGGGTATAATAATAGCGTACCGGCCAGATCAGAAACCGCCATAGCTGACGATACTGCCATATGTGTGGATTCACTTGAATGTGAAACAGGTATTTGGCATCTGCAATGCTCACCAGTATCGATGCAGCAATGATATAAACGAGAGCCAATTTGGTCACCAGCGCATTTGTGAATCCTGAGCTGAGCATCGTGATGTTTTCTTTCGCCTCCTCAGGTATATCTCGCTGATTTTTCTCGATTCTGCAGCCTACAGTCAAACTAGAGATTTAAATTTGCAGTAACATGTTATGCTAGGCGGTAATAACCGAGCATGTCGAGTGGTGTTGTGATGTTTTGAAGTATTGATTGCTTCATCGACAGCGAAACTTGCCAGATGGGCCAAAATGTTGATCCGCACGGACCACCGGGATGTAACTACATTAGAGAAAGCTTAAAGTTGACATTTGAAGATGATTTGATTGATATTTGATATTTGATATTTGATATTGCTCATGATGATATCTAGAATAAATAGTATTGCCTCCAATGTAGAATGCAGCCAGACTCCGAATTCCTCAGAACCCCTTTTTCAGTGTCCAAGAAAATGATGCACCGATGCTAAAAAATCAAGACTGTCCCTCTGCTGTCTGCTGAGCAAGGGCTTTTTGATACTCGGCTGTGGCCTTTGATAACGCATTAATAGTTGGGCCCATAAGCTGCTTGACAACCTTTTCCCCGCCATCAACCTCGGCGAGACGAATCCTCCTGCCCGTAGAAGCCATTACCTCTCTCACATGTTTCTTGAGCTTGTCAAGTTCGACCTGCCGTTCTGCTTCGGCCGCCTTTGCAACCTCGTTTATCCGATCCATGGCTCTGTTAAGTGATTCCACCATTGATGCAATCTCAGAAGCTCGATCAGGGTTCCCCGACAGAAATGCATTCCAAAATTGAGTTAGAAACTCAGTTGTGGTGGCATGCGTCAGAGCAAGGCGATCAAAGATTGTTTGCGAAAGGCCACAAGTACTCGAAGAGGACTCTGGGTCTGCCTGAGCCTTTCGTTGCCCGATTATTCCAAAGATTTGGGACTTTGCACTTGTCAGACTTGCCTTTGAACCAACCGGTTCTTTCTTGGGTTTTGATTCCTCCTCATCACTGCTATCCCCGTCCTCAGGCTCGACAAGGCGACTTAGCTTAACTTGCGGCGTATCTATATATGTCCGACTGAAGTCTGACCGCAACATATTCAAGCTGGCTGTTGGATCTTGTTTCGCTACAACTTGCTCTTTCTTGATTTCACCAGCGTTTCCTTCAGAAAAGAAGCGGCTTTGATCACGAATATTCAACATGATACGCTTCTGTTCCTCTTGCTCCCGAAGATCTCGCAATTGCAACTCGTTATAGACTTCCCTGTCCGCATTTTCAGCGTTGGTTAGATGCTGGTCGGCTGGAGCCACATTCCTCATAATCTTTTCACTGAGGGAGTTCAAAGTCCTGATTATAGGAACCTTGTCTACCGGTGTTGGTCTCATATCAAAGGAAGGTCGATTACCTTGTCTTTGAGAGACATTTTCTTCATTTCCTTCTAGATTGATAAGATGGGGCACCCGTCCGAGTTCATTAGCAGGTTGCCCCGTATTCTCATCATACTTCAGGTATTTATCAAGCAAGGAGTCCGTCGGGTCAGCGTCTGTTATCCGCTCGCCTCTCAATTTCTTGAAAAGGCGACTCTGGAAAAATTGAGACCAGAATATTTCCTCTGCCACCTTAGGAACGTTCTCATCGTAAACCTTTTTAACTAAGGGGTGCTGGCTGAAAATCAGCTGGATTTGTTCCTTGCTCAAATTAAGCCTTCGCTTATCCTCAACTCGTGGCTTGACAGTTGACAATACGTTATAGGCTCCCTGTTCCTGAGTTTTTTCTATCGCATGAGCCCGGAGCAGGTGTATTCGGGAAGACCAAAACTGAGATACAAGCTGCCCGTGTGTGACTGAAGCCGGCTTTGTTCGCAGGGACTCCGCAAAAACACGCTTTAGACCTTCGTTAGAATTCAACAGAGACTGCTGCAGAGCCATGTCGGCTTTGAGGCGATTATCGTCGTACCATGGCGGCTTCGCAATAGCAGGCGCTGTGGGTGTGCCATCGTGTGCCGGCGTCTGGGCTAACTTTGTATTTTGAATGATTGTATTCAGAGCTTCCTTGATCGCACCGGCCTCGGCGCGAGCATTAGAGGGCGAGGTGAATGTAAAAACGTATGGAACCGGAGCTGCGCTTTCCTGGCTCTGGCCTTGAAGTGGTGGTGGCCCGTGGACAAATATTTTCAGCATAACCTTCGGGTTATTAACAGGAGTCTGCTGTAAGTCTGGTCAAGACAATCTTCCATGTTAGCCAACAAAATCATGACTCCCGCTCCCCACGTCTGCTGCTCATAGCACCTGGGCGCAGCTGGCAACATACTGGTGACGGACGCTGTTTGCAACGACAACAAGCTATCTGACCCATTTTTAGGAGTCCACGTTATAGACTGAAGATCGCTCGATATCGCCAGCGTTCCATCCTTCTTCTTGTAAGACGCAGATGCGCTGGGAGAAGTCGGTGCCATGGCTCACGCCTGGTGCAAGCTACTTTGGCAGCTCCCACTATGCTGTACGGCGTTGATCAGATGGCCTGGACCCATCTGGAGGGCAGAGCTGCAGGTCAGATTGAAACAAATACACGGGCAGAGAGACAATTCGTCTGCAGCGTTGACATTGCTGCCTTTCTTTCGCAGTTGGTCGCTTGGATGGAAGAAAAAGAAGCCAAAAAAAGATGTGTCACGTGAACGGTCAAGTTTGATAACCAGAAGGACGACGGAAGGGCGAATCTTCAGATTTGACAACTTCTTGACCAGCTTGCCGTCTAGATACCCACGGAGACGGACGATGGATAGAGACTAATGGGGCTTATGACTGGCTGCCGGCTTATGATACCCGTTGCATCAACCAGTAGGAAGGTGACCATTCACTATGCATTGACAGTTCACCAGTTAACCCCTACCTACATAGTATCCGACATCCCCAGAGTTCTTGAATATGACACCAGAATTTACCATTTGGTTACCAACCAAAATATGCTCTGAGAGATGCGAGTTCCTGGAGGCTGAAATCTGTTCTCCTGTAGCTACGCGCCCAGCCATGCGGCGCAGCCATCCACACAGGGCCTCCGACAGGGATTCAGCATCACCTGGACCATTCCAAGAGCACACGATATCCAACCGTTCATCTGCTTCGAGCCGCATGCCAGTACGATAACTCCGCTGCGGGCTTACTCTTTTGGCTCAGTCACGAAGTGCCTTTGATGATAGGCTACATTTGTGACTCATCTCGATGTTTTCTCATTTCTCTGCGCGGCCCCCAACAGCTGCAGGCCCAGGGAACCGGATCGACCTGTCGGATCACTACGTATCTGACCCGTCCTTGTCTCATTCAATGCACTGTCACTCTTTTGACTGAATCGAGTGGTCGTCCTGGTCTGATATATACCAAGTAGTATACCCACAACCCCTTGCCCTGCATGGAAGGCGTTTAGCCGCATTTTCCAGGAACTGTATTCGCAATCTATATTGCTGCCTTCTGAAGGTAGTAAAGTAGATTGTGTACATACAAAGGGAGACTCTACGCGCCCGTCATGATATACCCTTGAGTGGAAGGAGGGGGAGGTTGGTTTATTTAAACCAGCCTTTCGCCCTCACTCTTGAGGAGATGATTCCATGCAATTACACCCTGCGGGTACGATATTACATTATCAAATTTGCCATTCAACCAAAAATACAGGCCCAATCAGCGGCAAAGAGGTTAGTTGTCTTTGACACTACCGAGTCCAAACACCCTCTTTGAGCAGTCATGGCACCCACACTCAAACCAGAGGAATTCCTCCTCCCCGTCACTGTCATCAGGGTTACCATGCACACAACCAGGTACTTTTTTTGAATCGGATACCCGTAGTGGAAATCATGCCTCCATATTTCTTCTCACAGGCAATGACAAGTCGGTGCGACTGAATATGACCAAGGCAGGTCCCACGGATACCATGGGCACATATGCCGAAACCCGGTGTGAATATGAATCATCACACAGCTCGCTCCACCCCATCGACATTCCAGCAGTTACAGGGCTGACTGTCGATCATGTTACCCGACTTATCCTAACAATAGGACGCCGCAACTACAGGCTAGCTCCTAGTGGAGTAGGATGTCGATTTTGGGTGTAAGTATCCTAGAAATATGACTACCCTCAGTCCATTAACGTAAGGATAGGAAAACTATTATCGAGGATTTGGAGGGTGCCGGTTACATTCACCCAAATGGCAAAGACGCTATCATGCAAGCCTATAAAGACTTGCAGTACAATTACTCTCGAGACAAGTCCCCCGAATTCGAGGCGATAGTTCCTGGAGCTTTCGTGTAGGAACCTAAGGGGTAAAGTACAAGGACACATGTATGAACTGCAGGCATTAGAAAGATTTGAGTTTTCCGGGCCGGTGAGGCCCCCCTACCCCCTAAATTTACCTATACAATTTTTGAAATGACTCATCTCAGAAGGATTTTATTGCCTGCATACCGCCTATTCAATTTACCTCACTTGAAAGATTAAATCATTTCTTAAGGAAATAAACCTGGCCTCCTACTTATAATATCTCTATGGTAGAGAGCCATATAGAATGTTGTTAAAATCTCGCTGCTGCCTATTTACAGAAGACTATGCTACCTACATCCCTTATGTCTTACCCACTTTATTTCTAGATATACTATTATTCAGGAGTCCGCTGATTCTGCGCTAAAGAAGAAGACTGATAGGCCCTAAGATAGGTAGTTAAACGAGTAGAGAGTCGAGAAAGAGTGAAGCGTTGATAGAGAGTGTGAAAAGGTTATTAGTTATATTATATCACACAGCTTGGAAATATGGCTACGAAAGAGCCTTGCCACAAAACCTGAGTTTGACTGCTTCGCTATAGCTAGGTACAAAGGGCAGTATTCAGAATTAATTTTAAATGATACTTAAGCCTCATTTGTGCGGTAAAGGTTCCACAGGTGGCAGAGGCGGCAACGGCGGCAACGATTCGATATCAGCAAGAGTCCGAAGATTATTCTCGCGGGGTTCACTACAGAAAGGTTAGTTAACTCTATCATATTCCCACTAAGTATATCGACTCACAATATATAGCGCAAACTTGCCGCTCGAGCCCTCAAAATCAGCCAAACACATTTTTCCTCGTCTTCAGATAGGTTTGCTTTGTTTTTAACGGCATTAGAAAGACTTCGAATGTAAGCACCATCATCGTTGATACACTGAGCAGCAGCAACTTCATAGAACCGTGGGAAAAATCCGGAATGACCCCAGTCAAGCAAACATAGAGAGTCGTCGTCCAATAGCTTTATGTTCCGACGGCAAAGGTCAAGATGGCAGAGAACAAGCGGGTATGGCCGTAGGTCTATCTCCTTGTTGAGAAGTTTAAGTCGCCTGTTGAGCCAGTGATTCATATCATCAACGGAGCGAAAGACATCTTTTGTGCCATCATCCCCCCACAAGTATCCTTCAAGTGTCCCACCATTAATTTGTCCTGGTATGGCACCTCCAGATACTGTTGCAAGCTCGGAGACAATATCAGCGAGACGCTTAGAGATGTCATCATTGTTTAGGTCTACCTCTTCGAGTGTTTTCCCGGGAATATATTCCATAAAAATGTAGCCTATCGGCCATGAAGAGTTAGATTTCACTTGGAAGTAGCGGTAGACCCGTGGAACTCTAACAACCCGTCGATCGAGGTGTTGATAGGCATATTGCTGTGTCGCAGCCTCACCCGGGGCCACTCCATGCCCGCACTTTACAGCAATTTTGTCTGATATTCTTATCACTGGCCTCACATACGGATCGTCGTGGAGGTGGGTGGTTTTCTGGGCTTTAGCCTGCTCGTAAAGGGATATAAGCCATGATTCTGGTAGGACAGGGACCAGCCACTCCAGATAATCGAAAGGCATGTCAGGCCAGTAGTGAGGCATCACTCCTCGACATGGCTGACGGTATCTGCTTGAACTCGCGGTGAATTGCGTTTCAAGATCGACGTCCGCGTTTATCAAAAGGAACAGCCTTGCACGTGACTGGCGACTTGAGCCTCCTCCATGCCAAGCTTTATGTTGGGCCAGCCACCCAATCACAACGCAGGATCAGGCGGCAGATTCTGATATGAGCTCGAACTTTCATTCCCACTTCTGGAGCCAGACGAGCTTAAAATATAGAAGCCATAAAGTATACCCAGTCAAGGCTTTATGAGTTTATACAATGTTTGTCAAAGGGCTCTCTATCAAAAGAAACCACCCACCTGTTGATGGTTCGGTTTGTGGGATTATCGTTGATCCGGCACAGACCGAGTAGTTACCTAGGTAGATGTTTCACCGGAAGGCTTGACAAATCGTGACTGTTCCTTAATAACTGGCGATGACGGACGTTGTCTTGCATTTCGAAGCACATTATGTTATACTGACTAACGATAATCTTCCTTCATTCACATTACTCATAACTAGCTAGCTCGGTCCTCAACCTGTGACAGATATTCTTGCCTTAAACATGCTTGACTCCAATGATCAGCTTCCCCGAAACTGGCTGTGCTATGAATGTTTCAGTTTGTTCCATGCTATCGTTTCCAACGACAAAGGTAGTATAGTTCGTGTAAAGTGCGGCAATGGCGAGTTTGATATCTTAAACAGAAAGACGTAGGTAAGCCAAGGGCCCTTGAACACGAGGGGATTCACAATAGCCATATTATTGAAATTTTCAAGATATACATACCCTGAAGAGCAAAGTTGCTGCCCAGACACATCCTTCCGCCGCTTCCAAACGCCCAGAAGAGTCGTCGCATCTTTTCAAGGTGCGTTTTATCCGCTTCAATCCATCTATAGGGCTTCCAGCTCTCAGGCTCGGGGAATACCTCTGGGTTTCGGTGCAGTGTGTATGCGGAGGACATTACTCGGGTGCCGGCGGGTATCTGGTAGCCTTCCAGTTCTACTGGTTTACCAGCGGGAACAACCCGAGGTAATGGGAGCGGTGCAGCAGGATATACTCGAAGAGTTTCATGCACGATGCCATTGAGCAAGGGGAGTTCATCCAGCGCATGGAATGAAGGGAGTCTGCTGCCCTTTTCCTTTTCGGCGTTGGAAGATTCCAAGGTGCTGTCTTGTTTATAGAATATAGGAGGGGACAAGGTGAGCAGTTCTTCTCGTAGCTTTGCTTGTAGCTCAGGGTTCTGCGACAATTCATAGACGATATAAGTTAGTGTTATCCCGGTTGTTTCGTGGCCGGCAACTATATGGTCCATCATTTCGGAGGCAACTCGGAACCTGGCATCAGCCTTTTCAGCATCACTGCCTGGGTTGATCTGAGAAAATATGCCGTTGAAGAGTTGACCGTATACCACTGGCTTGGTTGAACCGGTCTTGAGCTCGGCCGCCCCCTTCTCCTTGCACGACAATTGGCTCGCAACTTGATCACACATCTTAAGGCAGAGGTTCTCAACCTCTCCAAACGCTCGTTGCTTTGGGAGCTGTGTCTTGAACACGGAATATAGCTTCAGCCAGTGGTCTCGATACTCGGTGTCACGGAGAAAGTCTGTACTAGCATCAATTCCGAAGAGATATGCTGTCATAAAATCCATACCCACAGCCTGGAAAGGAGGGAAGACGTTCAGCGTCTTTTCCGGGTCTAGTTTCAGTCTTTCCTCCTCACGATCAGACGGGTACGACGATGGCAGTGCAATTCTTTCAAACATGGGCAGATATCTCTCCCAGATCAGCTTTTCAGAGGCGACTCTCAGATCCTCCGAGGCTAGGATGAAAGACTTTGAATAGACTCGTGACACCATCCTCTTCTGCTCTGAGTGAGCCTTGAAGGATAGCATGCTGGCCAAGTTGGGGTATCGCTCATAGTTCATGAACAGGTCTTCATAATAGTTGTCCTTGGGGAACCCGCCGAGATATATGGTCTTGAGCCCGTTGGCCGAGTTGACGCTGACTTCGTTCGGGGCCAGCTGGACGACCGGTCCCAGCTTCTTGTGCAAGGCATAGATGGTCGATACTTCACGGCAGCGGTAGTTGCGTATCCACCATAGCCATGTGGGAAGAAACGGAGAAGTGAAGTGCGCTTTGGGGACCCGGGCCAGCGGCGAGAAGTATATGGGGTAGATGACGTATCGATACACGCAGACTGCGAGGACGGGAATGGCGAGCAGATAAATCATGACGATGGCCTACCACTCTCCCTTTCTCTAGTAACAGAGATGGCTAACTGGGAATAGGTGGTGTTGCTGTGTGTTGGATATCTCGCTCTCGCCAAAAGGGGGCTTGTCTTCAACTTATATAGAGGCGCACTCCCACGTATAACCCGTCACAGCCCCCGCGAAAAACAGGCCCTGCAGAAAGCATAACTAAGATAGCCAAGGTACTCCTTGTACTTTCTTATAAACCAGCCATCTAGCCGGAGATGTCGATAACGAGCGGGCAGAGCCTGGGAAAGCACGCCGTTGATTCGACGTTGGTACTTTCGCTCGATATCCCGTCCTACCCTCGCATAATATGTATATGTATCACATCCACTCCGACCCAGTGCACAATTACGCCAAAGTCTTCCATATGGCTGTATAACACCGGCCACGCTCCAGAAACATGAAGCCCCGGCCTGCATCCATGGCAGCTCATGTGGGAATCTGCTATCGTGGCAGCTCCGCCATCCTGCAGAACCCGCGGAAATACTTTCCCCCTTGATCGAAGCTCCAGGCATATCCCCCAACCTGCGCTGGGTCTTACAATGCTGCTCCTCTTAGCACAAGGAGAAATCCGTATTATTTTAGCCGTAAACTGTAATAACTGGAGCCATTGTATTTCTTTTTGTGTTTTTTTTTTTTGCTTTGTTTTGATTTGATTTGATATTCAGCTTCACGAATGGGGGAGCCAACGGGCGAGTTGTATATAGTTCCCGCTCGAGCCACAAAACCAAGAGCGCCCGTTTTATATAGGTACAGCAAGCAAGGGGTAAAAGAGACAAAGAGGAAACAATAAAGTCGCAAAACAAGCCACCTTCGCCGTCCCGAATTGCCGATTTCGGGGTACCAAGTATATATGAATTGGGAATGCTAAGAGAGGAGAAAAAGGGGGAAAGGGGGAAAAAATAGAAGTGCAAAACACAGGTATCAGCCATCGTGAAACCTCAGGGCTTGAAAGGCCTCCTCACAAGGGAGCTTGGAGGAACATATGACTTCTTGCCATAGGCGAAGTAGTAGACGGTCGCAAACAAGATGACTGACACGTAGATGAGCGAGCTCCAGTTCATCGTCGTGGCGTTTACTTCCTTGGTCAATGGGAAGAAAGAGAATACAAACAGCGGGAGGAGGAACAACATCGCTGCAGCGTTGATGAACCCTCCATATTTGCCAAGAGACCAGCGCCGGGAAGGGAGTGCTTCACCGCGGATGCGTTTGAGCAAAATGCACCCGATGGAAATCAGATACGCACTCATCAAGGAGGCGACTGTCAGAGAAGTAATGGCATTTAGGGCGGTAGTTGAGCCAACGTTGATTAGTGCCAGGAGGATAGTCACAACCAGCGAGACTATCACGGCGTGAAGAGGAATGTTCCATGAGGGATTGACCTAGTTATTAATTGTAGCATGTCAGCAGGGAACAGAAAATAAAAAACCCTGAGTAGCCATGCAGAATGTTAACGGGGTAATTAGTTTTTTTTTTTTTTACTTACGTGGGACAGAAAATCAGCAAATGGCACTCCCCTATCCCTGGCAAATGACCAAGTCTGTCTGGAAGCAGTTGCCACTTCGGTGATAGTGCTTGCAACGAGCGTAATGACGACGATCGACGTCATGGCATTGGTTGCTGCATGACTGTGGGTAGCATTGAAGAAGACCTGGATAAACGGGATTCCTGTTGGACTTGCAAGGACTGCGTCAATATCTCCGACAGTAAAGCATATAGTGAGAATAACAGCCAGGCCTAGAATGAAATTGACTCCCACAGCACTCATCATGGCTTGAGGAAGTGTTTTCGATGCATCTTTGATTTCCTCGGCTATAGCGTAAAGGGAAGGTATAACATATCAGCAAGTTGTCCGAGGGATAAGGCAGCTATTGCAGGGTTTCTTGCATGAAGAAATATACGTACCCATGTGCACTGCACAGTCGTAGCCTATCATCGACGCAATGGCTGGGGGCAGCCCAACCATGACCGCGACCCCTGCAGTACTCCATCCTCCGCCGTTGTTGAATTTCGTGAAAACAACTTCGGCGCTGCTGCGGGGAGCAAGTACCACGAGTGGTACAATGATTGCAATTATATCGATTATGTGAAGCAAGAGAAGAAGAGCCTCTACCAAGGGGAGCTTCTTCGCTAGGAAGGTGTTGAATATGATCGAAAATGCTGAGATGGCAATGACCAGCATCGTGCCGTGCCAGCGCTGGGGAACGTACTCCGGTAGATTTAATACCAACAGACCCTGGATAATCGTTCCGGCTAAAAATGCAATTGTAACGATGGCGCACTGCCATCCGGTCGAGCATAGCCAACCTACGGTCATTTCTTAGGATATAGAACGGACAAAAAGGTTTAGAATGAGGCTCTTACCTGTGATATAGCTAAGATATTTTTGGCAGCTCGGTGGGGCGAACTCGGAAACCCAGTGATACTGACCACCAGCCGTAGGGGACCTGATTGCAGTCAGTATGATGCATGAGTGTAAAATAGGAGCGGCGGAGAGAACTTACATTGAAGCTATCTCTGCAAGACTGGCGAATACCAGAGAGAAGCCGCATGAGACAGCCAGAAAGCCCCAAATGAGGCCAGCTGTGCCTCCGTCAAGTAAAGCAAATCCGAGAAGACTATTCTTGTCAGTTATTTATTCAAGATCTAAAATTGAGTAACAGCAACCCGTACCTCAACACCACCTCCCAAGTTGCAATCAGTGTACATGCGAATCCAAGAATAGAGACGAAACGGAAGTTTCTCTATGAGAAGGATAGCAGGTTAATCTTCGCGTCTAGAGAAAATCAATGGCCGAGTGCAAAGGAGGCTTACTCTCAAGACTTGTGTCTTTCCCAGCTGGCACATATCATCTCGATCTCGAGACGTGCCCATATACTTGGCTGGGACATGCTGATGCTGTTCGTCATACGTGAGGGCTTCCTCTGGATGTCCAACGCTCTCCTCAGCGCTCTTCAACCGCTTCGTCGAAATGGAGTCGGAAGACATTTTTGCTTGGGTCTGTCTGGGATGTCCAAATGCAGCAAGATATCCCTCCCTGAACTGACTGATTGATATTCACAGCTTCCGGGGCAAAAGGTAGGAGCAGAATATAGTTTTACCCGTTGGACCCTCTGAGACTGGGATGGGCAAGGTAACCGTCAGACTGGAAGGACGGGGCAAGGGAGTGAGTGGCTGGGGAACTGGAGGTTGCGAAGGAATGAAATCACAATGATGATGGATGAAAGAGGGCGAAGATCGGAAATTTTGAACAACGTGGAAAACCTGCAACGTTGACAGGAAAAGAAGAAAAACCTGCCCAATATTAACACCATCGTAAGTTCAATAATGGGGACACAGGCACTACAGGGCGAAGTGACCTCTTTTAAAAAGAATGTTACGAGGTATAGCACAATGTTAATATCGTGGGCTGGAATAGTTATCCCAAACTAAGGGATGGTGGGAAAGAAAAGGGATGGAAAAAGTAAAGAGGAAGCATAACGAAGATGCGGGTATCCCTCGAGGGTCCCAGCCCATGCAAGGAAATAAACTCGTTGCGCATACAAGGTGTATCTGTGGAATGGCTGATCCTAGAGTCGATTTTTTGCATGGCAAAGACACGAAGCCCGCCTGAAGAGCTAAATTTCTGTTTCTCACAGGCCCAGGCCAGGAGTTTAGCCACTGGTAGACAAAAATAGCACTCTGTACAGCGCTCGGTACGCCATGAACTATTGACACCGTTGGCTAAGCGATATCAGAGCTCTCAAAGCGCACACTCTCAGGCTTTCCCGTCCGCAGGATGCACTGGCCAAACACGAGCTAGGCCTGGCGGAAAGAAAATGGGTTTTCGACTATCTTGACCCTTGCCCCCTAATCAGAGGATTCGAGTGAGGCATCATGGCCAACCGGGAGCCGAGCCAAGCGTCGATCAGATCTGATCAGTCCTCTACCCAAAGAACAGAAGGCGTCCTTGTCAACCGCCACGAAGCCAACTCTTGCCCTCTTCCCCCCTGGTCGGCCATGTCCACCCAAGTGGCCACCCTGGGCCCGTCACACACCATAGCGCTGGGAGTCCCGTCCCGTGCGCATAACGGATGTCTGCATCCGCGCTCCTTGCCTCGCTCGTTTTCTGCATCCCGCGGCTGGTCCAGCTGTGGGACAAAGAATCTTGTTCGGGGGATGCGGTGCGACTGGTCGGATGGCTGTTGATTCGTAGCTATTGCGAGAGGTCTTCATTCGAGCCAAATAACCCTGGAAACTCTAACTGCCTTGTGCGATATTTGGAACACCCTGCACCCGTTATCCATACCGATATTATCCTCTAGCATGGTCAAACGGAGCGAAGAGATGGCCCCTCTAGGCTATGTCTCCGTTGCCGTGACATGGTTGGAATGTGGTTGTGTCGTTGATGTTGCCGGTTGAACTCGTGATAATTACAGGGTGTATGATATTGATGACTAAGTAATAAAAAGAGAGCCTAGGCCAATAGATGGCCTGAATAAGATAAATACATCGTATATCACAATACACGACTCTCCGCTCATCCCCCCAGCACGAAAAGTCTTCGTCTTCGTCTTTTCAACTCGAGAATGACGACAGAGAATTGACTGATTCGGCTACGGTTTAGTATTCTAGACCTGTTAAAGAAACATGCGAGCTCACAAACATTAAATTGCCTCTCCCAAGAACGTTTCTAGATCCAATCCACGAGGAGAGACTGCGATTTTCAGGGTCTACCCTTTGGACCTTGAGCCTCCGAGAGCCAAGGCCTAAGGGATGAGAAACTATTGCGGTTGAACCCTTTATAGGTGACAGATCCCAAGTTCTCCATACAAACTTCGCCTGAGCGTGTCATTCGAATCTATCACCTTTTTCTAGGCGAGATAAAGGTCCCGTGTACCCACCGAGACTCACTTTCAGTCTCAGTACCGGGGAATCTACGGATACCTCAAGCAGGGTTTGGAATAAAGTACTCTGTTGTACTCCGTACACCGCATGGAGATGCTAAACCGGTTGTCTGCAGAGAGACTGATGCAGGCGGTGTGCTAAGCTAGCTCAGATACTGGGAATCCCTCGAGCTCAAAAAATCTCCTCTTATGACTGGAAGACGGCATACCGGCTGACACCAATCGATGGCCAGGAATGGAAGACAAGTCTTCCCACTTGGCAATATCTAGTCTGGCTTACAGATAACGGCTCGTCCAATACTAAATCCCAGCTCAGCATTCAAGGGACTGATGGAAGCCTGAGGCATATTTTTCCTACCTTAAATAACCTTATAAAACTAGGAGGAGATCAAGCATATGAATGCTTCTTGCTAAGCCGCAAATGGAAGAGACTCGCAGACACAGGGTAATAGTAGGAGTTAGCCTTGATTTTTTGACAACAGCAAGTCCATTAAAAAACGCAAGGAGGAAAACGCGGCTATGGAATATGACTGTTACTTGAACAGCCCACAAGGCACCCCAGGCAGTTTAAGCCGCCCCTTGTTTTCCTGTTCCGGGTCCCTGGGCAACCACCACACAGGCAAGCTGCACGTTATATCGTGGTGGAGTGCAGATACATGGCAGGGATTCTCCATGTCTTCGTACTAATATAAAGAACCTCATGGGGTTGAGTGTGGGTATTTATTTTGGATTTTATATATTATCCAGACGCAACATCGAGTCTGCTTTGTCTACATGGGGCCGAACTCTAGAAAACTAAGGTTTTAATAGTCCGGAGAGAGTTCCTTTCTTGGACCACGACGATAACAAGGGGAATCGCACGTCAGGCGCTGAGGATGTGGGAGGTGGAAGCGCAGAGGAGGAAGAAGCAGGTGAGAGCGGCGACAATGATGGCTGCGAGGCACAGGAGAGAGACCACAAAGCCCCACGAATGAGAGGCTGGTTACACTGCAGAGCAAAAGCAAAACCCAGGGATCAGGTGAGTCTCGGGCAAGAATCGAACCCATCAGAAATCACGATACGCGGCCATCGACCTGTCGCCCAACTGCCGTCTGGCTCTCGCTTTTCAGCCCCTCTCCCCTTGCTTTTTCCCTTATGCAGCACGTTAATATCCAACTTGATTTTCAAGCGTCAACGGATGCAGAGCTGATATGTAGGTGTCTAGGCGAGAAGAGAGAACGGACGTCGGCTTTAGGTTCAGGGCCCCGATAAATTGACCCAGGGATCAGGATGAGTCATCAAACCTAAGCTCTGTCCATTAGGCCCACCTCCCGCTTTACCGCCAAGGGATCCACTAGTGACCGCTACAGTTTAGTGCCGCTCCCCCTGTCGCTATCCCTTTGATAGTCGCTCTCTCGACGGGGAGATCAAGCAGGATATCACTCTCGTCACCTCTCCTCAAAAGAAAATAAAGAGCTCGGAGAAAAAAAACAAAAATAGAACTGCCCAAGGACCAGGATCTGCCTCGGCTTGCATACCTCCCGTTAACTGGCTATCATAACTAGCCCGGAAGACGATCCGGCATTACGGTTTTCGCCTTTTTCATCCTTTGTGCAACTCTTACCTGGAGCATGATGACCATACCAGAGGTATATGGGCTGCATGTGTCGCATGCGCTGGTATACATATATACGGATCACGGAACCTAGCTTTCTAGTTTTCTCCCCTTTCCCACCCGATTTTCGTTTTTTCAGATCTATAGTTATACGCTTGCGAGGCACGATCAGACGAAAAATGTTTTGTTGCTCTTATCTTTAACGCCCGCTATATTCTCGCTTCCTTCGTGCTTCCTTTCCTCGGGATGGATAGTTCGTCTTGATTCTCTCTGATTTTTGTCTCGGAGGGGAATGCGTGTTTCGTTTAAAACATTAAACAAGCGACTTTCCTGCTCGGATATCGTTTGCGACCCCTCCTAGTCGCGGGTGATCCACTATCAGCGACTACGATGGCTCTACTACCCTATCAGTCCCCGCCTCTCCTACCGCTCGACTCTACTCACCGAGGGTCCCTGGTCGTCATTGCTGGCGCGATCGCAGGTGCCGTCACCTTGACCGGCCTACTCATCAGGCTGTACATTCATCTCGCCATCAACCCACATTATGGGCGAGATGACTACTTTCTTCTGGGTTCAGCAGTAAGTATTTACTCTATGACAATTAGTGCGGCAATCTTTACTTACATATGGACTTCTAGTTTGTCGCTTTGTGTCAGTCTATATTAATATTCGTCTCCGTATCCAAGGGGTTCGGCACTTCTGCCGACCTAATAGATCACGACGATCTAGTGACCTTGCGGCGGGTAAGTAGCTACTCCTGATATTGCCATACGGACTCTTAGGAGAGCTCCGGCTTACTCAGGGTTAGGCTTTCTTCTCCAGCGAGATTCTATATCTCGTTACTCTTTACCTTGCGAAATGTTGTGTTATTTGCATATTTCTCAAATTAACACCCAAGAAAACACATAACCGTGCTACCTTGGGAACACTTGTTTACTGTACACTATGGGCTATCGGTTCAATCATGGCAGTCGGTATTAGGAGTGGTATCCTAGATACGCACACTGTGAGGGCCGTTAGCGTCTCCTATTGCAAACTCAAGGTAAGCTTACCCTCATTAGGTGTTCAAATATGTATAGTAAAGGCTGACATGTCTACTCAAGCTTGTCAAATGGAAATTCATTGTCTCCTTTGACGTTTTATCCGAAGTGATAATATTTCTTCTCGCGGTCCACCTCATCAGAGAGCTTCAAATGCGACTTCAAACAAAACTTGTGGTTCTCAGCGCCTTTGCTGCCCGATTACCGTGAGTTTCACCTAGGATAGCGCAATTCGAAGATTTGACTAAAACTAATGCACACCTATAGGATAATAGCTCTAGCTATTATACGGCTTCATTATCTTGACATATGCGGTGAACAAACGAATCTCACCCTGGATCTAATCGACTCATCAGTCTGGACCCAAATCAGTCTGAACTACAATGTGATCGCCTGCACCATCTTCGCACTCAAGCCATTTACAGCAGCCGTAAGCACAAACTACGGCACAGCAGGCGACCAATCGCTACAAAACTCCAAAAATAACAGCAACGGAAGTACTGTTGACAATAGCTACTCTCGCGATCTTGAAAGTGGTACATACACCTCGAGATCGAAAGAGCATAATTTCTCCAGGCCTTACACAGGTACCAGCTCACAACACGGTCAAAAGAAGCAAAAACCACGAAAGATTCAACTTTCTACATCTTTATCCCGATCAATAGCGGGCAAGGAGGCTAAACTCAGCCAGCACTCTTTTCCTCGATTTTCACTCTTCTCTCCAACATCACCTACCGCACAACATCAACGTCTGAAATCATCGGACGAACATCATGAAATGACATCCATAAACGCGAATGCACCACCAGTGCCATCGCTCCCACATAATCAAATATCCAAAAATACCCATACACGCACCTCAAGTCGTGGAGTCCGAGTGCCGTTCCTACATAGGGGCGAGAAAGGGGGTTCTGGGTCGATGGATTCCCACGGCTCTGTCCCTGGAGCCGGGACGATACATGGGCCTGGCCCCATGGCGTCAGACACAATCATTGACCCTCCGGCTGCGGCGGCAACAACAATAACTACCGCTATCACTGCGGGGGGAGGAGATAGGACAGAAGCGAATCCCGAAGGGGATTGGAACGATGATAAAACAAAGTTAATTATCAAGAAAAATATAGAATATACTGTTCAGTACGGAGACTGAACGTGTACACTTCTGTATATTCCTCGATAGTTGAAGTATGTACGTATGATATGAATAGCAATGATACCTGTCTTTTGACACAGTTTTTTTTTATCAGAGAATGGAAGGTAAAACATACTGATTAATTTGAGATAAGAACGACAAGTAAGAACAAAGGATAAGAAGAAACGGTTAAAGCAAATGGAGTAGAGATACAGAATAACTATAGGGATATCATGAACTCAAAACCACAATGCCCATGATACACCATTATACACATCTGTCATGCAGAAAAATGATACAATAGGAACACAGGAAAAAGGGATATTTAGACAAGAGGCAAAAGCATGCATGGAAAAAGAAGAGTAGAGGAGTAAAGAAGAAAGACAAATAACTGACAAACTCCATTTCGCTTGCTCCTAAAACCAGAAACCCAGACACTTTTTTTGTGATTTGATTCTTGTTTTTCTTCCATGACTATGTTGTGTTGTGTATGTCATGATTTGGATAAGACGGGAGTTTGTTGATCATTTTTTGAACATGTAGTGTCCATAGATGCCGCCGACGTCGCCCACAGAGACAGGGATCTTGCGAGTTCCCCACCAATGTGCGCCCATCTTCCAGCTTCTCTGGCCGTCATCGACAGGCATAGAGGGATCACCGCTGGGTTCGCGAACATACCAGCCTCGCCTACCGAGTTCGCGGACAACCCATCCGCTACGGTTGTTGTTGGACTTGCTGCGAGAACGCAGTGGGGCAATGATACGCTCGCTCATCTCAATGACAAGTAACGGGTAGCTCTGGGGAGTCACCAGCAAACAAGACTTGGAGTTGAAGAGGGCTGCCTGATTCAAGTACGGATTACGAGTGAGGTCAAGATAGCGGAGATGAGAGGGCTGCCAGGGAGTCGCGTTGGATGAGCCGCTTGCTGAGGAGGGCGGAGGGGCAAAAAATGAGTTGATGTCGTCGAGAGTGAGGTCTGCAGAGGACAGGCCTAATTCCTCGACATGCTTGGAGAGCCTGAGGAGGTCAGGCATATGTGCGGAGGTGATACGGGCTCCCCCCAGGTTGAGAGAGCGGAGGGTTGATTTTAGGTGTGGTAGGAGGTTTGGTACATCCGCCTCCTCGAGGATTCGATGGCGAGATGCGTCGACCATGAGATTGAGGTAGACCAGAGAAGAGGTTACTGCTGGATGGGTAGAGAGGAACCGGACCACCTCTGGCCCAGTGAGTTTGGTGCATCGTGAGATGTTGAGATGGGTGAGCCGAGCAGTGTACGGGATCAGGAATAGAGTGCTATTGCTGATCTGGGTATGAGCAACGTCAAGATGGGTGAGGTTGATAAGGCGGGGAAGAAGAGACTGGAAGGCCTCGTCGGGCAGCCCAGTACATTCGTGAAGGGATATACGACGGAGATTTGGGAGAACACTGGGAAATTTGGGCTCCTGCGTGACAGCGCTGAGAAAACCAGAGGAGAATTTGGCAGAGGAGCAGCCACAGAAGTCAATTGCACGGAGCAGGGTCTTGGTGATGAAGATCTTGCGCACAACGTCTCCGTCCACGTCATCCTCGACATGCTCCTGAAGAAGCAGCTCCTTGAGATTTGGCAGTAGGTCAAGGCACTGGAGCAGAGTCTTTGCAGTGAGGTTCTGGATTTCAACATTCATCTGCTGGGTGCGTCCGAGGCCAACAGAGGTAAAGTGTGAAAAGTCTAGTCGCCTGACAATAGTGCCTAGAGAGGGATACTGGCGAATATGGTTGAGAGCCTTGGAGAAGATGATGGAGTGGGGAATGGTAATGTGTCTGTACAGCACTCCCAGGGTAGCCGAGTGCAGAGTTCGGCAGGTTAACAGGCAGGATATCAAGTCGACATTGCGAGGAGTATACCCGTTTGGTGGAATATCCAGAGCCAGGTGTGATATAATTTCGTCCAGTATCTCAACCGGCAGTCTCTCCAGACAGGCTCTCTTGGTCACCCTGGGAGCTGGGCGACGCAGTTCCAGCACTTCTTCCTGGTCCTCATTTTGCTGTTGCTGTTGTTGTGCCTTTGGCGGTTCCGGGTTAGGGATTTCTTCTTCCCATGCCCATCCTCTGGCCTGAGTTCCCCCAAGCAGACGAAGGTCGCTGTAGCTTCTGCTCAGCTTTCTCCCACCGAGACGAATCTGTTTCCATCCTCGAAAGGTTCCACAGGGACAGCAGAAATCGGGGATGGGAGTCTTGAGCTCCTTGGCCTTGCTAGCTGAACAGTCAGCGGCATGCGTCTTGTCACCGGAAGAGTTGCTTTCCTTGGTATCAACAAAGGACTGAGCGATTCCTGCACACGTATCATAAATCGAATTAGCCTGGATTCCGCGGATACGTATATGACCAAATTCTTGAACAACGACAGAAAGGAGATGTACCGGTGTTGTCTTCCTCGATGGAGCCAAACGAGGCGCCTCCGATGCTGCTGGAGCGAGAGTGGGAACGAGCCTGGGAGCTGAAGGAGTCCTGCCTCTTGTGAGCGGCTGCTATCTTGAGATCTTCCACATCATCGGCATCGGGAATATCGATATCATTATCCTGGTCAAGGGCAGAAACGGGCAGCGCGGGAGGATGAGGGTTGGGCTGGTGGGCGAGGTCAGAGGGAGTCATGCTATGGTACGGGAGAGTATACTGGATGGTAATAGTTTCTATGTGCCGGCCCGGTCTATAGCTCCAGGTATGATGATTAGTACCGCTTCTTCTTGTTTTTCTTGTTTTTCTGTTTGATTTATTTCTTTTCTTTGGCTGGTAACTTGAGCTGGAGTGGCGGTTGTTGGTGTTGATTGTGGCTTTTCGGCTTGTGTAGTGAATTTGGCCGCAAAAGAAGAGCAGAACAAGAGCAGAGAACAGAGATGAAAAAGCAGAACAGCTACTAGGTTTTGTTTCTTGTCTTTCGTTTTCCTTTCGCTGTCCACTTTCTTCTTGATAGATTGATCTTTTTCTTTTCTTTGCAGTATCAACCTGACAACAGAGAGAAGAGTAATAAAATAACAGGAAAGGAAGAGGCAACAGGAAGGTACAGATATGAGCGAAGAGTCCAGCAGCAGGCAACACAGCACACCAAGTAGACAGAGATAGACACGGAGACGGAGGATGACTGGAGACTCTCCCAATATATCTGCGAGACTGACACTCTCTTCTCTCTCTTTCTCTCTTTCTCTCTCTCTTGTTGGTTGGTTGTGGTTCTCTTGGGTTGGCTGGCCCGCGTCTTTCTCGAACTGTCTATCTATACACGACCTCCGAGCCAAGCCGGTGCAGTGCCTTATTGCTATCCCACGGACAAACAGGAGGTGTATATGCAGAGGTATCGGGGGGCAGAGACAGGGAAGAAGCGGAAGACGAAGAGGTTGAGGCGAGAGGATCTGATCCTCTGGCAAGGAGGCGACTGACTTGGAAGTACCTGATAAAGTAAGCAGACGTACGGGATATTGTATTAGAACAGACAGTAGAGTAGCAGCAGAATAGAAGGCCAGGCAGACTATGATAAGTAAAAAGACGAAGAGAAAGAAGAAGAAGAAGAAGAGGATGCCTGGAGTTGCAGTGAAGAAGATGAAGTGTCATCAAGCAGGAGAAGAAGAAAAACGGCCAAGGTCGCATAGTGGAGGGAGCTTTTAGGCGTCACCTGACACGCCCGAGGCCGTCCCCGTACCGTCACTCCCATAACGCCGAACTATCTCCATCGACTACCGCCTGCAGCAGCATAGCATGGCGCCAGAAAGAAATTCACACCGCTCTCGGCGCTGTCTGCGCAGACTATTGCCTGCCGAGCTAACCCTTCTGCCTGGTCCTTTGTCGGCGGCGGCTTATGCTGCAGCGAGCTCCCCCAAGAGCCGCCGAGCACGACGTAACAAAAATTACCGGCTGGTACGCGGGCGCACTTCTGGTGTAAAACTCTAATTAACCGCAGGGTCACGCTAGTCCTGATCGGGAGACGGCCCACTCCGCCGGTTTGGATGACATAATACGCAGCTCGTCATAGTCGGCGGAAGAAGCGCCATAAAAAGGACCGAGTGGGAGAAGCAGAAGAATTAAAAAAGACGACTAAGCGGAGATAATAAGCCCGTAGACAATATGAGACATAATTTAGTAAAAAAAGAGATAGCAAAATAACGAGTGGAAACCTTCTCCGTCGTCTCGCCTTTGTTTTTGTTCTGTGGAAATTGAGTTTTTTTTTGGGACTGCGGGAGACCAAGCTTTGTCACATGACCTGGTCTAGCCCTAGCTGTTGTCCTTCCATCTTCCGTCTTTGCTGGTGGTTTCCTTTCAACGTCAAGGAAATCATCGTGAGAATCTCTTCAGGTATTGATATCAGAGGTTGCTCGGTACCAGATTTAGCCTGCAGTGCTACCGGGATAAAGGCGAATTTCGATGTCGACCGACCAAACCCTGCATCTCTGCGCTTACCCTCCCTGTAGTCACTCCTTGGAAACCCCTTGATCGCTCGACTAGGACCTTGGCTCTCTGCAAGCCAAGATCAATAGAATCGAGCTGTGTTCTCACCATCTCCTCACTGTTGAACGGCTAGTTACATGATAGCGCTGGAGCCGGCAGCTCAGCTCGACTGAACCTGGCCCTTTTTCCGTTTGCCGTGCTCAAGATGTATAGCCGGGTACCTGGCGGCCTCGTGACAACCCTCAATCCACGATGTTGCTATAGTTCGCCCTGATAGGATCGGCTTGTGTCTCCTGCGTCATCGCATGCAAACTGACGTGTCACCAAGTCAAACTAGCCATGGCAAGGCGCTGCTTTCTCGAGAAAAACAAAGCACATGGCCACCAGGGATCAGTTATGGGCGTACAGGGTATACGGGCTGTGTTACCCTCGCTGTCAACGACGTCAGTCCGCAGTGCCCGTTTGATAGAGATAGAATAGATCTAGAAGAGATAAGTTCTTCTAGACAGCTGATTGGAGAAGATAGGAATGGTGAAAAAGGTATCTGAATTATTAATGTGGCCTCAATGTCTGCAATTTGTCCTGGTATCAAAAAGTTATCGAAAACCCCTATAACTCCTCTCCCCTGCCCGAGGGATCAATTAGCTGTCTCCCAAGAATAACGCGCCAATGCTTGATCGTAACACCAAATCAAACCCTGAATTTGAATGCCCTGATGAGAGAACCAAATAAAGAAGCCAAGATGGAATGAATTCAGTATCGCACTGCCCTGCTCAGCCCTCTTTACCTCAAATTTAATCCCCACCCCCCATCAAAATAGGGTAGTTCTTTATGCTTTCTTTTCCCTATTACAGCTCTCACGACTCCTGGTACGCCGTACGACACATTACTATGATTTCGTTTGCTTCCTGAGTAGCACGGTTGGGTAGCTAATGCCGGACCCTAAGCCAGATCCCGATCCAGATCCGGAAGTCATGGACGCTGATGAGGTTGACGTGGTTGATTTCGTTGGCTTCAGAGAAAGAGTCCGCGGCACCCCCTGGGCCAACGAGAACGTCTTCTTGTGTCGGAGCGGAGTGCCTGGGAACACCCCCGCAGTTTTCATAGACAAGTTGATGCGGGTGACTGGCGGGCTTTCTCCTTCGTTTGGATGAACGTCAAGGTGTTTTGCGCCCACCAGTTTCCGCATTTTTCTCGGCATGGGAGTGGAGCGGTATGGGTTCGCTGGTGCGGGCATCTTTACGATAGGTGCAAGGAATGGAGCCGGTTGATCCTCTTGTTTGTAGCTTTCCGTCGCTTCAGGCGGATGCTCTTCGTTTTTGCTCGTATTGTTGTTCCGTCTGCTGGATGAACGTAGGTTCCGCTCGATTGCCTCCGAGTTCTGGTAAACCTCCAAGTCAAACTCGGGAATTTTTTTCTCCCCGCAGTACTCGACTAGGGCAGCGTCGTTCCATCTGACTTGTTTCTTTGACAGGTCTCGGTGTCGATGCTGGCCATCTTCTAGATCCGTACCCAGCGCTGCAATCGCTTTATTGAGAATTGGCAACAATTTGTGTGGGGGTTTGCTGCCCTTGTTCAATCTCGTGTTCGCCTTGGTCAGAAGGGCTGTCTGCTGGTCGTCCGTTCGTTGCATAAAAACGAACTCAGTGCCCTTTCGGCGGCGTGTTGGGATCTGGTCCGGGACCCTGGGCGGATACCGGGCATGCTCGATCGTTACTTCAACAACAGGAGAGCTAGGTGCTATCGATCCATCCCAGACGTTTTCGAACGGTTTTTGGTCCGTTGATTTGGACGCAACAATGCGGGGCGACCGTCGGTTAAAATAAAAGTCGGGAGGCTGGAGCTTCTCAGGAGATAAATGTCGTCTATGCGAACGAGGTGAGTTCCCGTCCACGACTTCCAGGATGCGTCGTGCGCTGGGAGTCGGCGATTCCAGCAGACGGTCGACACTAGCATCTTTCTTCACCGGCGTATTGGCAGCCCTCTTAGCCCGTGCCTTGGATAGGAAGTCAGAAATAATCTCTGCATCGTCGCCGTCGAGAATAGCTATCTTCCGCACTGGTGAGGCCTGGAGGGGTATATCTCCTTGCTCAGGCATGACAGCCATAGGTTCCGCTACGGCATCAAAGAAGGTCTCTTCTTCGGGTTCTCTGCTATCATCTGGTTGGCATTCTGTGTGAACTGTGCTTGATTTCTCCTGGTTGACTTCTCCTGGCATTGTTCTGACTTCTGGTGCAGTCTCCTCGGGCTGAGGAATGTCTCTGGGTTCGTTGTAAGAGCTACTACAATGAACCTGCTCTTCATCAGACACCTCCACACCCTCGGTCCCACCATTCGCTCGAAGTAGGAAGTCGACTGATGCCGTTGTTTGCGCGCTCTCCGCTGGCGCAACGTATTTTCCTACATGACAACAAATCAGTACCCTCCATCATCAAGACATCCCAGCGAAGACAATCGCAGCAAGCGCAACAATAATAAGCCACTCACGTCGTCGGTCTTCCGTCTGCGCTTCCCATTTTGTCTCCAAAAACGACCGTCCACGCTCACACTCCGGGGTATGCGCCAGTCGCAACCTCTTCACGCCACGTAGCGCGGCCAGAGTCGCGGCCAAGTTGATCTCTGTAGAAAACGTATCCGTGTCGTGCATGCTGTTCACTTCTAATGACGTAGAATCGGTACACCTCTTCCAGATCTTCTGTGTCTTGGACCGTGGGAGGACAGGCGTTGTTGGCCTGCGGTCCCAGAGGCGAGTTGGTTTCTTTGACGTTGCCTCCGGAGTGAACCTAAAGCGGTCGTGATCGAACAAGCGACTCTTCCTACAGCGTGAATTAAGTTATTATTAGATTTTCACTTGCTGTCGACGTGTCTTTGCATAAGTGAGGGATGGGTGCGAAGGTGAATCTGAGCCTGCGCCTGAGGCAGAGAGGCCAGTGAAGCTTGAAGCTTGTGGAAGCGTACCTTCTTGGAGAACGCATTTTGTCCTGTTTGCACAATGATGAAAATAGATATAGCCTTTGGGATAGCGATTCGCTCGAGCAATAGATATTCGCTGTCAGTTGCAATTCCGTAGGTAAAGGGGCTGCTTGTCCTGGTTATCTGTAAACCAGCTGGCTTTTGGGTGGTGTAAAGGAGAATGAGTATAATAACATGTGCTCCGTAGTCGATGACGAAAGACCAAGTCCACAATAATGAATGTGATAGAAAGCTGAAGATATGATGATTGTTATCCTGAACTAATTCAGTCATCGGCCTGGATGGTTTGGCGCGTTTTCTTTTTTTTTTTCCTTCCTTTGCTTCTCCATGATGATGTTTTCACCCCCTGCTAGTAGCCCGTTGCCGTGCCAACCAAGGCCCCCATCACAAGCCACAGTTTCTCACTATTTCGACTATTTCGACTCCAGCTACGGAGTATTATTCATGCATGTTGCATCTGTTAAACCATTCCCATGTGCCTTATATTATGTCGTAGAAAGTGAAAAGGGTCATTTATTCGTTGCCATGATGCCGTGTTTATCATTTCGTCTTCCATCGGCTTACACCTCTATCATCAAACGGGTCACCAAACTCTCCTATTACCAGAAAACCGTTAGTAAATCTTAACGTGCTCGATAAGCCAGTTCTGGCGAGATACCGAAGTAAAAAAGACTTCCGGATAAACGTACTGAGGCTGAAGTCCTTGTCTACAACGAACTCGAGTGCCCTCTTCGCTTCTTCGTCCGCCTTCTTGTTCATCCACGATGCGCCGGGTTCCTCTCGCAGTACTGCTGGCAAATTACTCGTAGAATCTTCGGCTTCCTCGTCGTTTTTCTCAGAGATGCTAGTTAATGGCGCGGAGTCCTTGAGATTCTCGTTAAAGCCCGTCATGGCTACTTCTCGAGTCGCAGGTCCGTGAGACCCGGGTGGTGATAGCTCCGGCATTGCTGATATACTGTTCCTGGCTATCCCGGTACCTCCTGCTGGCGTCTGAGGACTTCCTGGGGTGGGGGACGATGAAGTCGAAGAGAGCATCTCGGAGTCGAAATCGTCTAGACAAATGTCAGCTTCTTACTTGTAAACCGGGAATGTGACTTCCCTACCTGCCATCTTGGATGGTCTATCTTCTGAAGAAAGCACTTTCTTCAAATTACTATAAAGCAGTTTCACTTTCCCCCAAATCCCTAAGGTAAGCTGTTTGATAATGACTTCGTCTCTACGAGCTTTTCGTCGTTTCGTCGTCATTGGAATCGTTATCGATACATGGATCACGTGATAGGTACTTTTTTCCCAATTGTCTTGAAAAGATCGAAAAGTTGACAAGTCGAAGACAGCAAACAAACCGGATATTTTGTGACTCTTTCACCAGGCGTGTTGTAAGCGTTAGACTCTTGATTCCCTTTAAATACTACAATTATCTCTTCTCTTGGGGATAAACCTAGCATAATAGTGCCCTTTCACCCCTTCGGCTGTTATAGTGCCCCCCGCTTAGGAGAATCTTGAGCAGCGTCTTTGGCCTGGACATACACCGCGATATAGACATATAGAAAGGGATCTTGTGGTATATAATAGCGTTTTGGTCTATTGTATACCCCCCAGCTGTACCATGAATCGAACAGATCGAATACCAGATGCGTGGGACGCGGACTGGGAGAGTATTGTCGATGTATGCCCCCTACCCATCAACTTATTTTTCAACCACATTATTATTGCACCATTGGACATTCAATACTGACCATTTTTTGTCAAATAGAAACCATCGCAAGCTCGTGAACCAGTACCTGAGAAAAAGCTGTCCGCCAGAGCTGCAAAGGCCCAGCGCCGAGCAGAACATGCTGAATTTAACCGACAGCTATGGGCTGAAGCGTGAGATACCTATCAATCTTTTGAATTTTCGCTTGCTCGGGGCCTAATACAGAATTTTTTGTAGCGAAACACCGCAAACGTTCCACTTCCTCGAGTCTCGGTCTACGGTTCCTTTGAAGTCCGAATACAAAGTACCCATGAAGGTTCTTGCGCGCAAACCCCAGAGCAACCGATCCGGACTTGAATCAGGCATTCAGGGACTATCAGTACAAGATCAAGGTCAGGGAGATGATGATGATGATGAAGATTTTGAAGGGAAGCCTGGAAAATTAACATACGAAGAAAGAGTCGCGAAAGCTCAAAAGGAAAGGGAGGAAAAGCAACGCAAGTACGAAGAGGTTCGTGAGAGATTGTTCGGTAGCTCCACTCCAGGTTCAGGTGCATCATCTCCTGGCAACGGCACCCCGCCGCGCCAGGGACAACATCAAGGTGGTGAGGGAAAGAAACGAGGACGAAATAACAGGTCTAATACCGGAGGCAATCGAGAAAATAAAGAACGGAGGGACAGAGATAATGCTAATGCATCTCCCAAAACGCAAGGCCGACTGTTCGACCCAAACTACTCCCCAAAAACAAACTCGAGCTATGTTCAGAGAAAGGAGAAAGAACGCGCAGTGGGTGAATTTAGTAGGGAAGCACCTTTACAGCCACAGCTGGGTATGCAGTCTCAATCTCTTCAACTGCAAGCACCCATCAGAAGTCCCAGAGGACCAGATTCTAGTGGCAGAGGTGGATTTGGCGGTTTTCCATCACGGGGTGGGCGAGGTTGATAAAGGATGCCGATGATATCTTACGATACAAACAACCTGAGACGAGTCTACTGGTATATCTCGCGTGTCAGTACTGACACAACGCCCAATTTAGCTCCATATTCTGGAGAAATATTTAATATGCACCAATACCAGATCGGGCACTCAAGCTGCTCGCTGGTCGACGTTGGACATATCGACATATCGGGCATTTACCACTCGCCAGGTAACAAAAAAGCCCTGTCTATGCTAAGATACCCTACGGGAATTACTCAAAAAAGGTTATAAAACCTACAGCTTGCATCCTGCTTCTATGGGTGAAACAAGCTACGAGCGGAATATAGGCTGTGAGGATACGTATAGCCTAAATTCTGGATTGGAGATCGGAGGTATGCGCGAAACTCATAGCGGACACATCTTCATCCACGAGTTAAGGAACTGTCACAAATGAACGTTACATTGTGATGTTTCATAAGAGGCGACTTCACCTCTTCTATACAGCGGAGGAAAGGCATTGTTATAACAGCCTGTTAAACCTTGGTTAACGAATGGTATACATGTTGGGACTAACGAATGGTGATACAAAATGGCAGTCCGTCATATCACACTACTAAAATCCTCAATTCCTGCATCCATCCCTCTCAGGGTAAATCGTGTCCGGCATTAATAGCATTAGCTAGTTGGGATGTGTTTGGACGGTTTTCTGTAAGACGATATACCTTATTTAACAAGTTGACGAGGCTGAAATGGAAGTATTTTTCTTACTCACCTGCATATCTTTGGTAGCTATCCAAGTATAAATCATCGGCACTCGTAGTGGCCATAACATGTTCATCTAACTCCACTGCTTCCATCCACGCAGCCCATCTGCTGCCCCTTTCTGGATCAGGCCACCCACGGTAGGGTTTTAATACCCGGGTAAGCCTTAGCATCCATGGAGCAAAATGGATGTCAACAAACGAGATGCTGCGACCTAGGAAGAACGGCCCATGTACATGTGAGGCGTTGACAAGCTTGCTTATATGGTCCTTTAATTGTTCAGTGATCGTAATTTGTTTCCCTGGCTCTTGTTCTTGCAGCAGCCGGTAAAAGCAGGGTATTATATGGCGGTTTATCTAAAGCGCGACATGGTTAGTTTAAATGAAGAATTAATTGCAAAATGTGTATACGTACATGGTCTGCCCATAGACGGCAATGTGCACGAAGCTGCGGATCTCCTGGAGGTAACAAGGGCTTGCCAATGTCTAAATCCTCGAGCTAATAGAAACATGCTTGTTAATACATGGGAATCTCGAGACAAGAAGGCTAGAAGTGCCTTACATATTCAAGAAGAACACTGCTTTCATAGCATCCCCAGTTGCCATGTCGAATGGCTGGCACCAGGCCACGGGGGTTGACTTCAAGTAGAGAGTCTGGTTGCTTATATGGGTCGATTTCAATATACTGATATGGTATTCCCTTGACCTCGAGGGCAATCCATACTCTCTGTACAAAGGGGCTAATGGATAGCCGTTAATTCACCGGTCTTGCAATCAATGGATACAGGGAAAACATACCAGAAACAGCTGCCATAGAGCTTCAAGTCGCTCTCCTTTGCATGTTTCTTCACGGTGGAATATGCATATCCAGATGCACGGCTATGGTATGATTTTTGCTGAGTCTACACATTTTGTTAACAGCCAAACGGAGAAATCGGGGTAGTTTCTAAGGAGTATATTGACGTACAGTTGACTTCTTCTTGTCCTTCTCCTCCTTTAGTAGATTCCTCTGCACGCTATTCTTCTTGATCCGGTCACTTTCTTCAAGGGTATGCCGATGCGGGCCTTCGACGGAGTCTGATCTTCCATTTCCCCCATTCCCATTTACACGTTGAATCGTGTAATATCGAGCCCCAGTCACACCAGGATGGCCTGGCGGCAAGGTTGCACTGGGTGTTAGTACGCCGAACGGCTGAGACCCGTCTAGATTTGAGTTTGATGAGCCAGGTACTACCAGGAGATCAGAGGGTGAAGAAGCCTGGGAAGGCTGTTCAAATCCCGATGGAAGATCCTGGGAACTATTCATGGCGCCAGGGAAGTATTCCGTGATCTTTATCTTGACGTCGCATAGATTGCGCTCTCGAGCAGTTCTCTTTCGCTTCTTCTTATTGGGGTCATGGGTCTTTGGGGTTCCTGGTGGGCGGCCTTTTAGCCGACAGTCCCAGTAATGGGATATAAAGGGCTTGCGCTTGTATCTTTGGGTGGACCGGTGGGAGTAGACATTGTCTACATGGGGGAAATATGTTTGGAACCTGGGAGAAGTTAACCACTGGGTTCACAATGGTGATATTGTACCACTTACTCCTCTTCGCTCAAGACAATCGTGTCTTCCACGTTGAACAGCTTCTCTCTCCATTTCTGGAGGTCCGGCGGGTTGGGCACGCATTTCATATTCTTGAAATGGCCTTCGTTGGCGTGACCGCTGCCCCCCTGAGGCATGCCTGCCTGGCCCGGGGACTGGAAATGGGGTATCATGTTCTGTGGCAGGTGTTGCTGGGTAAACGGCGAGAACTGCATGTCATTGTTCGTTGGCGATACGAATTGATGGCCAGCAACGTCGTCCGGGTGCTGTGAGAGTCTGGCATCATGCGGAGTGCTCAACACCATCCCGTCACTAGGGAAGGTGATGTCAACCTGGTCCATCTGCTCGATCTGCTCCAGGCCATGACCGGCAGACCGTACTGCTGGCGAAAGGTGTCCTTCTGCTGCATTGTTCAAATCCGCGTCGAATGTCCCTCGTGATGATATGCCTCTTCCGGATGTTTGTTGTTGTTGTTGCTGCTGATGATGCTGCTGTAACGAGTCGACAACCGGCGAGGCGAGCGACTGGACGGCATTGAGACTGTGAAGCTGTGACTCGAGCTCTGGATCGGTAGGCGGTGCTGTCGCGTGCTGGTCGCGCAGGTCGTGGGGGCCAGACAGCTCGCTCGGCCCGCTGTCTACCATGATGACGATGGAGCTGGCGCTGGCTAAACTGGCGATGGATTCTGCAGCGTTCCAGAGGGTGGACTGCTGGTGGCTGCGGGCAAAGCTGGGCGGCGCAGTTGAAGCGGCGTGACTTTTTCTTGCTCTCGTCTTCGCGCGGGTGGGACGCCAAGCCGGGCCAGATGGTTATTCTTAAAATGCTTATTTTCTTTAGACGGACGACCATGTAGACTCCAGAAGACGGGTGATCGGGCTGGTATAGCAGTGTATGGGTAGATTTTATAGTAGTAGATGAGCTACAGTGGCAAGAGCAGAAGTTGCAGGGCAGAAGCTGGAGGAGGAGGTGACAGCTAGAATGTGAAGGCAGGATCAAGACGAGTAACATTGGCAGCTCTGGTTAATCACACAGATGCTATAGAGATATATCAGAAATCATCTCTTCTTCCTTTTATCCGCCTCTACGTTCTTGAATGGGAACCCAGACGTCCTTTTGTCAGCACCAGTCCTCTTACTGATCCTGCTCGACCCGGCAAACAGCATGCACCAGAGTCCCATGGCAGCCAAAAAGCCTGACGCCAGCATCCCGGCTGCGAAGCCCATCTGTCCCGTGCCAGAATACCATGAGTACGTATAGCCAGCTACCACTGCATGAAAACCAGAGCTGATCAGGAGTATCGGGAAAGCATATTCCTTTTTGGGGTCGGACTCGTCGGCAGTGATCGAGTACGAAGAAGCGAGTGGTAGTGCGCCAGTCAGGATCAGAAATATCAAGCCTAGCGATACCTGACCTATTCCGCAGCTTCTAGCAAAGTATATCTCAAGTGCTAGGTAGGTTCCATCCAGCGTCAGCACATGTTGAATCTTAATTTGAACGAGCCAGGCTGGGGGGATATCAATGGCTTGGTCTTACGTGTAGGCTGCCGGGTCTCATCAACCAGCGTAGTTATTATGAGCTTCGGAGTGAATAGGAGAGCGGTGCCCTGGAGTGCCAGCCAGGCAAAGGTGCCATATGAGTACGGATAGAAGCCCTGGTGCCAAGTGTCAGCTGGGGAGGGGCAGTCCGATATGAAAGCACAATTTCCAAGGTGTCACTCACGTCCATAGCCTGGTGAACCGGTATATATACTGCTTAATTGGACAGATTTGGGGCGTTATCGCTGTGATATGCCGTCGCGTACAAAGAAATTCCTGTTGTTTTGTTGCTGTTTGTTGCTTCAGCTTTCTTGTTCTTCATTAAATAAAAGGCGATGACGTCATGTCGAGTAGAGTTCCAGCTTAGTCAGCTCACATCTGTTACAGCGACAGATTTTATTTACGTTTATCAAGATTATCAAGATCTATCAAGCAGTTTCAAGCTCATTAAATTGACCAATTTTGATCGCTAATACAACCTCCAATCGAGAGAGCGGGCGAGCATACGTATTTTTTGAGCTCTTGAACTCCCAAAAAACTGCAAACCACTGCTACAGCACTATCAATATTCAGGGTTTCAGTGTCAATATGACGATAACCGTTCGAATCACCATCATGAAGGACTAAAGCAACTAGTACGAGTGATATGACAGTTATACTTGGCTTCGCACTCTGATACCAAGCTTAGGAGCCGGCTGATCCTAACTCGGATGCGGAACCGGAGCTGAAAAGCCAGTCTAAGGGAACTGGAGATCTACGAAGTCAAGAAGGTGAGATGAGGGCACGCTACATATTTCCGCTCCAATCCAGTGCAAGGTGTTGAGCATTCCCTTATGCAATGGCTTATATAAATGACTTCACCATATAGCATTCTTAAGGCTCTGAAGGAGCTCCTCTATCTAGTTGGAAGGGAAAGGAGGCAGGCAGAAGACTTGTTGATGGAATCAAGCCTGCTGAAGGCAGGAAAAGAATTCTTCTGCGTTCGGGTAGACTCAAACCCATCCTCAGCCGTTTTTATCGCCTGACTACCACTCATATGTGACATAATTCATGTATGTTTAGATATTTTGTGGAAGAGGGAGAAAAAAAAAAAAAGATAAACATGCAATCATTACACCATACAAGGTATCTGATAACGAAAAAAAATTACATATTCCCCATCATGACTATCCCAGATTGGACGATTTTAGGTACCGTGCAAAACTGCTATCTTCGCCGGCTTGACCGTCTCCAGAATCAGCCAGGGCATTGCTATACCGCTGTGAGAGCCCGGCATCGTCTCGCTGGCTAGGTCGTTCATCCTCATCCTCATCGTCATCCTCTTCTGCATCAGAGATGGTCTCAATTTGGTTTTCTTTATCCTTTGACGAAGCTGGGCGGCCTGAAACATTCATGTCCTTCAACAGTTTTCCCAGCTCAACATCCCGTCTCTCCAGCTTCTCTTTCTCCCTCTGTTCTCTCTTCCTCTCAAGCTCAGGCTTGTAGTCACGGTCAAACTCTTTGCGTTTTTCCTCTACTGCAGCGAAAAAGTCGTCTACTCCGTCTCCCGTCATGGAGCTGACTCCCACAACACTCAAATGGTGATAAAATTCTTCGAGCATCAGGCTCATACTGTTCAAGAATGAGCCCATGTATCCACTGCCACCTCCAACTCCTCCAGTACCACCCTCACCGCCGCCAAAGGCACCGTGTTGTTCCTCCTCCGCTAGAGCGGCCTGGAACTTCTCAAAATCGGTCATCCATTCCTTAGCAAAGTCGGCATCTTTCACGTCCGTCTTATTAAAAACTAGAATCATCGGTAGCTTTGTCTTGTATAAAATGCTGCAGGCATAAAGCATATTGCTCATAAACGTGCTCGTCGAGCTTGTCCGTGGGGTATCAATAATATATGCAATCACGGTAGGGAACGACGACGCCAGTGACTCCAGAAGTATACTTCCTGATGCACTCCATACAAACACTTCTATCTGACCAGGTGTATCCACAAGTATATGTTCCATTCGCTTTGGGGCTGCAGGCTGTTCTGGGGTGGCAGCCTGCAATGCGCGCTTCTCCAGAATCCCCATTATCTGATCAATTTTCGTGGCGAACAGGTTTAGAGAAGTCAGGATGCCGCCATTTGGTCCAAGGTTGTACTGCTTCATGACCTCCTTATAGTTTATTGAGTCTCTTATGTCGATGTTGCTCTCGAACGGAACTGAATGTACTGCTGGGTCGAGGTTCATTACGTACGGAGACTTCTTTTGGCTGTACAGGTAGGAGTTAATTCTTTGCATGAACGTCGTCTTCCCGGATCCTATACAATGGCTCAACCATTAGTTTCCCGTCTTAAGCAGCAGAGCCGGCTTATTTATCAGAGAGAGGGAGCTGGCCTACCTGCCATCCCGACGCAGACAACTGCGACAGGAGGGGCTGCCATGGTTGCGATCTGGTCAATGAAGCGAAATCCACAGAAGAAGGGTTGTCAAAGGTGATAAAACAGGCCCTCGTATTCTCTAATATGTAGGAAGAGGATGACGCCTGGCGCTACGGCTGTGACCAAGCGCAACAGGAGCTGTTGTTTTGAGGTTGTAAAAACTTTTGGCGGAAGAAAAAGATTAGAAGCACTAAATTTGGTTGATCCGCGACGTCATTTTGAATGCTCCAGATTAAATCTTGCGAACCCCCGAAGCAATCTACAAACTTCAATACATACAACCAATTTCTCTCCAGGACACAATGACGTTAGAAGACTTTGAGCGAGAGCTGGCGGAGAATAACAGAAAAGAGAAAGAGAGAGAAGAGAGAGAACATGAAAGATCGAGGCGAAGACATCGACACCGCAGTGACCGTGACCGTGACTGCGACGAAGATTTTAAGCACCGCTCCCATCGACACCACCACCGGCATCGTTCCCCGCATGATAGACATGGCCGTCGAGAGGAGGATGAAGACGACGACGAAAGACGCAGGCATAAGCGATCTCGGCATTCAACGAGCAATGGCGAGGAGAGAGAGCATCGGCACAAACGACGCCATCAAGACCGAGACCGAGACAGATACCGGAGCAGAAGCGCTGACAGAGACAATACGAAAGAAGAGCAACAAGGACCTGTTGTAGAGCCAGAGACTGGGGCTAAGCTTCAGAGGGACTCATGGATGGAAGGGCCTTCAGCTCGAGATATTGATTATATACACCGGCCCAAGGAGAAACCACAGGAGACACCCGCAGCTCGGATGCTTCAGGTCGACTTCGGGCAGAAATTGCATGAAAAAGAGCTGAATCGCCATCTTCTTGACGTTGCGGAGGACGCTGATACTACACGGAAAAGTGATCCAGTGGATGTGGACTACACATTTGGTGACGAGGGATCACAATGGCGCATGACGAAGCTCAAAGCGGTCTACCGACAGGCGAATGAAAGTGGGAAAACAGTTGAAGAAGTTGCTTTGGAACGTTATGGTGATCTACGGTTCTTTGACAATGCCAGGGAAGAAGAAATTGAACTCGACCGGAGAGAGAGATACGGGAAGGATTACCTTGGGAAGGAGAAACCCTCCGGGGAACTGTTTAGAGCCCGAAAGTTGGATATGGAGCCAACTAGGAGAAATGATAGCGCAATACCAGCCTCGGAGCTTGAACCCTCAGCACAAGGGGAAACGGTGAAGACAGAACCAGCTCCGCGGGAGACCACCGTGCTAGATGCTAGCGCTCTAAACAAGTTAAAGGCTCAGATGATGAAGGCGAAGCTAAGAGGTGCATCGGATGCAGCTCAGTTAGAAGCCCGCTACAATGCAGCTGTTTCCGTAGCGGCAAACCGAAAAGAGGCCGATATCGTCGTCCTGGGGGTCATGGACAATCGCATGTTGGCCGGGGGTAACCGGGCTGAAGTACGTCCAGCCGAAACCAAACGCGGTAGAGGGAGGGGCCAGGTAGAAGAGAACGAGGATATGACCATTGAAGATATGGTTCGTGAAGAACGCAGAAACCGCGGAGGTGCAGGAGAAGGGCAACGGTTCGCTGAAAGAATTGCCAAAGATGCCAAATTTGACGTGAGTCCTGGTAGCCCTCTATGTGATATATCGTTGACAAATGCTAACTGGATATAGAACGATCTTGATTATATGGATGAGAATGCTTCCAAGCTTGCGAAACGAGTCCACAAGTCAGAAATCAACCTTAAAAACGCGTCAATAAGTGAATTCCAGAAGATGAATCGCATTCTGGATAACTGTCCCTTGTGCCACCACGAGGACACTGGGAAACCTCCCCTTGCGCCGGTGGTATCGCTAGCAACTCGTGTTTACCTCACTCTTCCAACGGAGCCTGAGCTAAATGAAGGGAGTACATGCATCGTACCCATCCAACATCGAACTAACCTTTTAGAATGTGACGATGATGAGTGGGAGGAGATCCGGAACTTTATGAAATGTCTAACAAGGTTGTATCACGACCAGGGACGAGACGTTATTTTTTACGAGAATGCAGCCCGGCCCGGCCAGAAACGACACGCAGCTATGGAAGCCGTACCATTGCCGTATAGTCTCGGAGAAACTGCCCCAGCGTTCTTCAGGGAAGCAATTCTCTCCGCGGACGAGGAATGGACTCAGCATAAAAAGATCATTGACACACTTGCCAAAGCCCGACAAGGCGGCGGAAAGCTTGCGTTCCGCAACACATTAGCGAAGGAGATGCCATATTTCCACGTCTGGTTTGAGCTCGATGGCGGGTTAGGACATGTGGTTGAAGACCCTAAACGATGGCCAAAAGGGGACCTCTTTGCGCGAGAAATTATTGGAGGCATGCTCGACCTGGGCCCTGAGGTGATCAAGCGGCAAGGGAGGTGGCGCAGCGGCACTGATAGAAGGGTTGACGGATTCAAAAAGCGCTGGAAAAAGTTCGACTGGACTAGAGCATTGACTGAGGAGTGATATATGCAAAATCCCTTCTCGGGTGGCAATTTTCATGCAACCATTTTTCACCTTTTATGTGATGATACAAGTTTCAAGCAATCAAATCATGGGTACTCCGTACTGGGGATCCTTATACGCACGGAGAACGCCGTGTTCAACGTCAGACCCTTCCGCCCAAACCCATAGGTGATATTTGATCATCTGGCGGGTCCCATCTAGCTAACTAAGTGATCTACCGGCCTAAAGTTGCACGACATGGCAGACGCCTTCATGTCAAAAGAGAATAAACGACCAGCATACATAAAGCTGCACAACGCAGTTAGATATTCAGCTTTTCTGGGGTTGTTAAACGCCTCTCGCCAGGTCAAATCCAAATTCTTATAATATCAACAACTATCGACCGTTATTTGCTTGACAGGAGCCCCTTTTTGGCCCTCTTCCGGTGCGCCGAAGAGATGCAAGCGCAAATAAGCTCGACTGAGCAGCAAACTGATGGGTTTGCTGCAAGAAATAATGATAACTATAACTAGTCCACATCGATGAAGAATTAACTAGTTAGTTACTGACTCGGCCGAATTCTGGAGCAGAGTGAGACGCTTGGTAGAATCACGTCTTGAACAACGCAGAGCCACAGGAAATAAGCTGCTGGAAAGAATGATTCTTCTTGATTCGATTTGGCCGCGATTATTTAAGTTGATCCACAAATCATTTATGGAGCCACCCCACGACAGCCAGATGATATATATATATATATATATATCAACGCTCGAGATCCTGATGCTGGTCTTCCTAACCTGATTATCAACCAGGCCTGTTCTATTGGCAAAGTCTCTTAGACCACGCAGTTCGATAGTTCCCGTCGCCGGCAGAAGTTTGGCCCAGGGGTTTTATACCGCAATCAGACAAAGGAACGGCGAACTGACGATGACATCAGCTGAGAGACCGAAAATTCTCCTGCTAGGAGAAATCGATCAGTACGTTGCAGCTTTAATTCCCTAGTTTATGATGCCCTGAATCCGTTATTTCCCTCGGCCGTATCTGCTTTTGATATGCGTCAAAGAGTAGGCCTGTCTTCCGTCCCTGCATATACGTACGTCGTATTATATGTACGGGCTTCCTTATATGCACCAACGGCTTCCCGTCCTTATTTACCCCTGGTATTATATGTATGGCGTGCCGATGAAACACATCACGGACACGTATCCGTCTGTTACCATCTTTTGTACCTATGCACTAACTTGAATGGCTGCGGCCCTTCTTCTCCCCATGAGGGGGGACGGAGTGGCCCAGAGCCCCCGAATATAAAGTGCTCATGACACATGGCGAAACCTTTCCAATATTGGAGAGCTTGTAACGCCCAAAGCCACCAATCGAGCTGAGTTCCTTCAGGAATGCCGTGATGGTAAACTGGATGGAGTGCGGGTAGCCTATCGGACGTTCGGGTCCGTCTCGATCACTGGCCTGATTGATCAGGAATTGGTGGAAGCTTTGCCAAAGTCTATGGAGTTCCTAGCCCACTGCGGTATGAGAACGATGTATCTGAGCTGTATGAGCCCCCTGAAAATACATGGTTATACTGACATGCTCGACCAGGCTCCGGGTATGACCAAGTAGATGTCGCAGCCTGCAGTGCTCGATCACCACCGCTGCGGGTCTCCAATGTGCCTACAGCTGTAGATGATTCTACGGCTGATGTTAGTATGTTCTTAATTATCGGGGCCCTTCGCAATTTCAATGCCGGTATGCAGAACCTGCGAGCCGGCAAATGGAAGGGTTCCCCCGAGCCAATTGCCCTTGGACACGATCCGCAGGGGAAAGTACTCGGTATACTCGGCATGGGAGGCATTGGACGTAACCTCAAAAAGAAGGCCGAGGCCTTTGGAATGAGCGTTATTTACCATAATCGCAACCAACTGAGTGAAGATTTAGCCGGAGGAGCAATATATGTATCCTTTGATGAGCTCCTTGCTCAAAGCGACGTTTTAAGCTTGAACCTGCCCCTGAACGTACGTTTCATTCCTGATCCGACACCTTTTTTCTATCCCTGGTCTTACATTCCTATTATCACTCAATACCCTGTCTCGTAGCATACGGCCACAGTGCAGGGTACTTCGTGTAGCTAACCATGTCTCCCTTGCAGAGAAACACAAGACACATCATCAGTTATGCGGAATTCAACAAGATGAAGAAGGGTATCATTATAGTGAACACTGCTCGCGGGCCGGTTCTTGATGAAGAAGCTCTTGTTATGGCACTCGAAAGCGGAAGGGTAACCTCCGCAGGGCTCGACGTTTTTGAAGACGAGCCACAAATCCACCCAAGATTGCTCAGGAACCCCAATGTGATCCTTGTTCCACATATGGGCACCTGGAGCGTTGAAGTAAGTTGCCTTCTGTTTGAATGCCGGTAGTTGTAGGGTGGAGGCTAACAAGCTTCTGAACAGACTCAAACCGGGATGGAGGAGTGGGCGATTAGCAATGTTAGACAAGCGATAGAGACAGGAAAATTACGATCCCCTGTACCTGAACAGGCAAGACTTTAGAGCAGTGAGTTGTTGATTTGATGGGTACATTCGTTTATCTAGAGAAGTATATATGGAGACACTTACTAGACTGGGTGAATGGGAGGTGACTCAACAAGCGCATGATGATGCCTGGCAACCAAAGAAAAAGAAAAATATAAAGCAGTTTATCTTATAAAATTGATAAGGTCAATTTCTTTCGAACTCATCGTGCACTAGTCTAATGGCTAAGTGACTGTAACGTTTCATAGTATAAGGGAGAAAGAAGGCCAAAAATATCATACAAAGCTCCAGCCGGTTCCGTGTTATCCTGGATATCCCCCATAATGCCTTCTCTTAAACGCCGCGAATGAGAAACTATAGACAAAAATATGAAACGAAGAGGCACACTCGGAACAGCCATAGGAAGAAAGAAATGGCGGGATGAAGTCTCAATGTGATAATGACAAAGGGCCGTGGTTGTATAATCAGACGTTGTAGGGCTCATCCCAATACCTGACCGTTAGCTGAGAGATACGTCGAGTGACCTGGTTGGTCGCCTTCCCACGAACTTCATCCTCAAGGAATCGACATGCTACATATAGCTTTGCAGCGGGGTCCTTTTCGTCTGAGGCAACAGGAAGTTTAAACTTTCGCGGCTGGAATTTAGAAATGTTCCTGACCACAGCAATAGAGTACACGACATCACGGCTTTCGATCATATCAAGGAACGCACGAGCCGCGAAGAGAGCTTTGTCCCGTTTGTCGCTCGCATCTGGTTCATTGTCCGGAATTGACAGATAGTCACCCATCGACTCCCAGAATCCCAGCTGGCGGTTCTTGATCTGTGTGTTCAACCCAGATGTGGTGACAGCAGGGTCATCTTCTGGATAATTGTGACGAGAAACGGGATTGTTTTCAAGAACAGTTCCTGTAAGTAAGGCTTCAAGAAGAGATAGGCGCTTGACAGCAGATATGAGCTGAGGATCCGTCGAGTCTGAAGAGTCGGTTCCATTAGTCGGCTCCTGAGCTCGAGCTGCACGGCATAGGCAAAGACTTTCCCATATGACGTTGCTTTCGAACGATTCCATACGAGCAATTACCGGAGCATCGTTTATGTTTGGATCGGTGAATCCGTCGAGGAGAGAAGAGTACAGGGACAGCAGACGAGGGTTGCCAAGTAATTGGGTTAGTCCGTGCGAGTCGTACCAGTTACATTCAAGCAGCCGGTCCATTCCTTGAGCATAGATCCTGTACAGCATCTTTACCTCTTCCAGTTTCGTAGGCGACAGAGGATTAGTATCAACTTCTGGTAAAGCAAATCCACCAATTGCTAGTAGTTCACTCATTTTAGGTTGTCTCGCTATAACTATGTTAACACTATGGCGTTGATATTTGCATGGAGTAGGGGTATAACTTACGTTCCATCTTTTCCGAATTGGGCAATGTTGTCGACGCAGCGATTAATGGGTGGCCTTCAGCAACTCTAGGGGTAACACTTCTCGATTGCGCAGTTGAAGCTGTGACGGGTGCGGCTGGTGCAGCTTGTGCCGGCTGAGCTGCTGCTAACGGAGTAGGTTCCGGTTCAGTGCCAAAGTCGAGCTTCTCCTGAGGGGGTGATGCCGATGAACCTGTATTGATAGAGGGAGAAACAGAATGCGCCGTACTATTATTAGGAAGATACGCTTGATTGAGACCGGTAGCCTGATGAGGGTTCTGGGGCGCAACTTGAAGCGAGGGATGTGCTGTTGGCGCCGGCTGCAGCGATGAGGGACCTGGCTGGCTTCTAAACACCGGGTCGTACCCCAGGCAGTCTCGTTTACTCTTCTCGCAGTTTCGACACACAGGATGCCGTTCGTCGCACTGTATCAAGTCTCAGTATGGATCCATCAAATTTGCGACTCGTAGGTGGGTATAAGTGCGATAACACGATCGAAATTGACCACGACAAAAGAAAACAAACGAAGAATGAAAAGTCGGAAGTAAGATATTGTCACAAGCAGCGATCTGGCGCAAAAGAAGGGCTAAAGCATGAACAAGGCTGCTGGTGTTGCTGGCTGTGATGTTAATTCGGGTGTTGAGATGGGTTTTCTGGGAATTTTCGTTTTGATGCTAAGCGAGCTGCAGACGCGGGGACCAAAGGAGCAAAAAACCCCCAGCAAGCCAAAGAAAAGGAAAAAACAGTTCATCAAGCAACAAACGACCAAGGACATTGAGAGACAAACGGATTGTACTTCTTTGAAGGGCGTATTTTTATGCGACAATTGCTCTGGCTAACATGGAATAGCAGGGAGAAGACTATTTCTTACCTTTATTCGGCGCTTCCTACACGTAAGACAGCCTGTTTTTGTCCTTCGCTTGACATCTCTCTTCATGCGATTCGCGGCGCTCTCGTCTGTTACCAGTTCGAACCCATCTGTGAAGCCTCCGGCTGGGATCTCGCCGTAATACTGAGTGATATGGGTTACGGCAGCTGGGGCTGCTGGAGCTGGAGCTGTTGGAGGAACGGAAGCTGGTGCGCCATGAGGGGCTGAGTTAGTATGGGGATCGAAAGGACCCTGATCATTGTTGAATTGCTGTAGGGCTTGAAGCTGTACAGCATGGTCAACAGCTCCTGACTGAGAGGCATCCAGCGCCGAGCTTGCGGCAGCCAGCTGATAGACGGGATCCGGGGCTTCTGTCTGCGGTACGGATGGCTGTGGCGGAGGGTTTGAGGTCGCGGGAGGCTGGTTCAAACTGTTATCTACAGCTGATGTGTGTTGCGATCCTTCCGGAGTGGTATTTGACTGGCCGTTAACGTGGGTAGTGGCAGATTGCTCGCCCTGAGTAGGAGTTTGAGCTTCCGCTGAGGCATCTATGGTCGTCGCTGGAGCTGATGCTGAGCCTAATGGTGTTTCGCCGTCTGTCATGATTATTCTTCGTCCAAATATAACTTATGGCTGGCTCGGGTTTGGGGATGGGTGGCTTTATCGAAATGCGTCTAATGGTTTAATTTTCCGCATCGTCTGTCTTGTTACAGAGTCCTTCGGCAACTCTTCGATGGTATTCGCGATGAGGGAATCGATAAATAGTATTCCACGACGGGTAATTGATCTGTACAGGTTGGCAGTTAGCAGTTGACTCCATATTTGTCTGTTGTTTCGCCTTCATCGAATCGAGGATAGAGAACTGGGTGTTGGAGATATGCGTATAGTTGAAGCCACATCCCATCCAGCAGAGCAAGCAGGAACCAGACAGTCTTCCATCAGATATGTAGCCTTGCCAATTATGCAGAGAATAGTGATGTTATTATAAATAGCTGAGGCCCTCGCGATGAAAGTGGTTAAAAGTCACAGAGCAATCATAGCTGGCCAGACCTAGGAATATTCCACGGCTGCTAGAGCTGTAGACATCATCCATAGGCAGTATTATATAGCACTCAGCCTTATCACGCGGTTTCACATGAGATTCTGAGCTAGGGAAGGGTCCGGACAGGGCTAATTTGGTCATAGAAAGGAAAAGATGTGACTGCAATGTATCCTGGAGATAAAGAAGATAAAGAAGACACCAGCGCTTTTTTTTTTTTTTTTTTTTTTTTTTTTTTTTTTTTTTGGGGGGGGGGGGGGGGGGCAGTTGGATACCTTGACTTAACAGGTCAACAAGATAGCTCTGGCTGTGCTCTCAGTTCACTGGCCTCTCGGCTCACTCTGCTCTGGCGGTGTCTGCACAAAAGGCTGGTTGCGACTCGAGATGTTTTCAAGCGGCTCAAAATCTTTGATATCAACTAAGAAAAATGAGAGTGGCGATGCCAAGCTTCGATGACTTTAAGATTCACGACACGGTCAGATTAATATATTCGACAGGAACTGTGGTTTGACAATATACTTGGGTAGACAGCGCTGTTACAGCTCAATGTACATATTCTATAAGGTAAACCGGTAGCGTTATGCCTGTTGCCTTTCTTATACGCACCTATCAAATCAGAGTCTAGATATCAGTATCTATAGATAGAATTTGATAAGGACTTGATTGTATAGCTACTCAGAAATATAGTCGTGTCCTCCAAAGCCAAAGGTTGACTCTGAGATTAGGAAGCAAGTGGTGTTTTAAACAAGCATATGTTACCGTTTTATATTTTTCGGCTTCCGCTTCTTAAACATGACAGCCGGAGGAGAATTCTCTGCCTCGTCCCTCGCATCTGTCTCTTCCTGTTTAATGTTAGGCGGTATATCCTCATCCTTGACAGGCACATTAGCTCTGTCGTCTTCAGCATTTTCTTCTTTTTTCACAGCAGGTTCCTGTGCATCTCTAGACTCAGGATCCGTCTTGACTTTTGTTTTAACCTTCTTCATGTTCGTCGTCATGTTTAAGAGCGCATCAAGTTCAGCCGAATCATCCTCACTGGCCCGATACTCGCGAATCGCTGAGCCCCAGGATTTTCTTACAACTTCCTGCTGCATGTCTGCTTCTTCCTGTTCATCCTCCCTCATTTTTCGTTTTCGAACGCCAATATTTTTAACTGTAGTCTCGGTAGTATGCTCTTCTATTGGCGTCTCGGAGACAACCTTCCAGTCTCCAGCCAATGCCATACTCGGCCTAAACTCCTCAGGAACTGCAACTCCCATTTCTGCCAGTTGTGCCACCTGTTGCATTCGATCTTGTGTCAAGCCTGTAGTATTCGCTCCCGTAGCTGTTGCTTTCCTCCATGGTGGGTCATTTTGTGCTCGTTTGGCTCCCGTCGACGAACCGGGGTTGGATACTATTCCTCTCAGTCGCTCGATTTCGCTTTTTGCCTTTTGGCTTTCTTTTTCGCCTCGTTCTTGATCTCTGTGTATATCTCGTAAAAACCGTTTTAAGCTGCTTTGATGCTTTCCTGTAGCTTCATGCTGAGTTCGTTCGTAAGGTGTATCGCGTACGAAGACCTTGCAGTGCTTACACCAGTATTTCGGCTAAAGAGAATGATATTAGCTACATATTACTATCAGAACGGAATAGTAAAGCTCACTGTAGATTTCCAGTATTCTGCCATGTTCTGGCCGTGTTATATTATATCCCAGATAGACGCGAAGTTTTGGTTCAAGTCGCAGCTTTTGGCAGCGCAAAATGTTTGAAGTTCATCACAAAAGCTTAGTTATCTTATCTTATCTAGATCTAACATTATTTACGTACGATGGGTGCCCGTTCTAGACGTAGGCCATTAGAAGGAATATGTTGAAAACAAGATGATATTTCGTGAGTAAGGGGTATCAAAAAGGCTCTACTCTGATGTTTGCCTCCTTGACGTCGCTTGCAAACCAGTGCCTGACTTCCCGAGTAGAATCCGTTAACTCCACCTCCCGCCGAACAAACTCCTTGTTGCCTTGTCGTATTAGTTTGCTATCGATAGGTGGGGTATCTTCATCTTCATCATCCGCATCCTCACTATCCCACTCATCTTCCTCCGCAGTTCCCTTTTCTACCGGGTCCCATTCGTCGGATTCCCATATTAGTTTAAATTGCAGTGCAGGTAAGGAGAAATGCCGAGCTACGATAGCTTTGATGAGGTAGACATCAAATGACCCCGGTATCTCTTTCTCAAAAACATGAGTATTGGTTTTCCCTTCTCCCTTGCTACAGTCAGCCAGGTGGAACCTGAATTTTATCAACTGTGCTGCTAAGGAACGAGGGTCTATATCTCTGAACTGTTTGTCCTCTTCCGTTCTTTGAATCTCTGGTGTCTCGTATATCTTGCAGAGCTCTTTATACCGTGGATGTGACCTGATTATTGCCTGTTCTATACTTGGAGGGTGCACAAGGATCTCCTTTCGAATCAGTGAAAGGTAATATAGTTCTCCATTGAGGCGATCCAGGGGGGTGATCTTGCCGTAATTTAGAATTTTTAGGTTAGACAGCCGTGAGAGGGTCAGCATGAAAGCTTCATCCACCGTCATCTGAGCCTCAGGTAATCCTGTCACTTTCGTCGGAGCTGGTGGAAGAGCATATAAAGGGTTGTCTGAAATTCGTAAATGTGCCATGCCCGGAAATATTTTCTGTAAAGCATCCAAGAAGCTCCAGGATGAAATTTGGTTGCATGATACATCCACAAATTCAAGGGTTGGGGAAAAGACGAAGTCCGAGGGTGTCGACGCATAGATCTTGCTTATCTTATTTCTTCGAAGAGAAAGCTGGCGAAGGTTTCGTAATGCCGTAAGATGGCTTAAAGAGTCCAGAGATTCGAAATCATTAAAGTCCAGTGAAAGCTCCTGTATCATGGCTGATAGCGGAGCAGATGTGGACGACAACTGGTTGTTCTCCAGCGATAAGCTGCTTAGTGCAGGGAATTTGGAGGATATCATGGCAATCTTAGAAAGGTGTCAGCGAATGAAGTACACAAAGATGAAAAAGGCAGTGCCATACCTCCTCCCAGTCCATTAAAGTAAAGTCTAAGAATAGGCTATTGACTGTGTGAGAAAGTATATCTGGAGAGCAGTTCTTGACTTCCTCAAAAAAATTTCCACTATAAACTAGTCAGTCTGTATCGTAGAACAGTAAAGATGAAGGCACAGCGTAGTATACTTTAATTTTAATATTTTCAATTCTGGCAGCTGAGCGCAGATATCGACTATCTCGCACCACTTCCGTATAAGATTGCGGCTCAAATTAAGCTCCATAACCTTTGGACAAGTGTACTTAATCTTCTCAAGCTCCTTTTCTCTATTATCGGATACATCGGGCCCAGCCAGCACCCCATTGATGCGCAGGCCATCAAGAATGAGAATTCGAAGCTCGTGCAATGTTGCAAGCTGCTTGCGAATCTCATCAAACCCAACCTCTTCCACGATCTTTCCACTGATTTCAATGGGCCTGGATATATAATCTTCCAGAACACACTCTCCTTTAAAGGAAGAGTGGAATACTGGCAGCTGAGAAACATATTTCTCGTGAGCTCCTTCTAGGAAGCTTAGGGATTTGTCTGATGGTCTGCTTGGACGGACAAATGAGCCAGCTGTTGGGTGATTATTTCTGCCTATAAAAGTTGTTAACTAGTCAAAGATCGACAACTGTTACATATACATGTAGTGATCTTTACATTGAAAATATTTCACACCATTGTGAGCTCCCGAGTGTTTGCCCCTGTCTGGCTCATCCCATTCCACGCCGAGCCACTCGCCCTTGGTGCCATGAACAGGTCCGATGTATCGAACCGTGCAAAGAGCGCCATCAAATGACAATCTTGACCCGATAGTATACCGGCCAGTAGTATCCTGGCTTGTGTCAGACTTTTTTGCCATGTCTTATACAATACTGTGTGTTTTTCCTTGTAGTGAATTCGGTGTAGTCAACTTTAACTACTTAAGCCTCAAAATAGACGAATAAGACTCGCTACTCAGACTAGTCCTAATTTGGCAATTACCGTCGCCGCTTTAATCTAGTTTACTATAGGCGGTTATCTCGTCCAAGACGACATTCGACCGGGCGAAATCAAATTATCAACATATGACATCGAAACGACAAGACTCTGTACAATTGCTGCGATTCTTCCATGTGATGGTTAAGAAACTACAGACAGGAGTTAATAAGCACGTCATCCACTTGGCCGGCCCTTTATCTCCTCTGGAACCAGCTTGGCTTGTGCAGGGTTTGGCATACAGTGACTCTCGCCTGGAAACTGACGTGAACCATGGGATGCTTAATTGTGTGCTTATTGGTCTTTTTAGTCCTCATTTTATGCTCTTTACCTTGCGTAGATCATCCTGTACAGGGTTGGGTATACGAGATTGGTTATCGGCATGCCGTTTTTGTCCCTAAGACGATTCGTCGAAAGGAAATACTGCCTTGCACATGAAATAGCCCGGATGGAACCAACGACAGCAACAAATCGAAGATGCGGATACCTTTATCGGCATTTTGCTGCAGAATCGAGGGTGTCACTGGAGGTGGTGCTATGGCGGCCCACGACACGCTATGGTCATGAGAGTCTGCAGAGAGGTTCATGTCTTGTGCATATGCAAGTCTTGGGTCTGGTCCTGGGATGTTCGGGAGACTGTCGATCCCGCCGCTGTGTCATTTAGCAGTTGACGCCATGATGCCCTTCCAGACATTTCTAGCTATGGTACATAGTTTCTTCCAGGCCTGGAATGTTATTGGAGAATAGACGGCATTGAGTTTTTGCAAGGCCTTTTCTGATGATTCCTCAAAAAGAAGAAGCAATAAGAAAAAGAAACGAAGCGCATTAACTATCCGTCCCGCACAATTGAAATCTGCCTAATTGCTCTCTTTAAGGGATCTGCCTACATATCCAGAGTAAAGTAACTATTCTTCTTAGGGTAAACGTGTATTTTATCTGTGTACTCTTAAGCCACACCTTAACTTATTCTATTTACTTACCTCTTATACCTATCTCCTTTTGCCTTACCTTGTGACTCTTTCTTATATAGGATTCTTATACCTTTAACCCCCCTTTCCCTCCCGGACCCCCTGACCCTTACCCTACCCTAAGTATAACTAGATAATATATAAGAATTGTAATAAAAAAGTAGAAGAGTGTGGCTCAGGATACACAGTTAAAACAGAGAATTTTACCCTAGAAATAGTACTTTACTCTGTGCAGTTAGGCCGGTGGATACGATGGTATTTATCGGCAGGCAGATCCCGTAATGGTGGCATTTCAGCAATTGGGCGCGAAATCCGATATCTTCTGGATGGGTTGGAGTTGTTCGCTGCCATGTTCTGGATGGCCGCGTAAACTATCTTATAACCTTCATAGAATGCGAGAGAAGAGACAGACATGGGTCTCTCTGGAGAGGGCTAACTAGTTAACAAACGCTTCACGAAGCAGTGTCAACTGGCCAGGAGATCTACTACAAGCATTCCATTATTCCACGGCGACGAGCGAATGGTTGTTTACTGGTCAATAGTAGCCAGGTATGTACGGAGTAGCCCTGTTGCTGCGGCCAGCATGATAGTTATTTTAAGCCTTTGACTTACATATTCCAAGATCTATGAACGGATGTCGATGTCGTTGTCGATCAGCACTACCTATCTGGAAGGTTGAACCTCGCTGCGCCTCCGCCAGATCCCTGATCCTTTCCAGGCTCCAGCCGAGATCTCAAACGCTGGAGCTTTGTACGCCGCTATCAAAAAGACACCGAACTGCCCTACAAGGGACGCGCATCGCATCCAGACCCTGTTCCACTTGGCCTTCCCCTGCCGCGCACGTTTGGAGAACGATGGTTACTCCTGGCTATCGAGAAAAAAAATTGGAGCTTCAATCTTCGGATGAACGGGGATGGAGATGCGCGAGGCTTTCTCGCAGGTGGGAACCGATGCATGCACTCGCCGGTAGCTATGGGGCCTGTTGAGCCTGAACAGTGTCCCTTCAACTCTTTCCAATGCTGAAAGAATCCATATGCACTGATTACACTGCATCTTTTGCTGCAACCGTGGCCGATGGTAGAGAAACGTCCCGGCGGCTTTCCAGCAACACAAGGCCCCCCGTGCCTGAATTAACGTCAATGCCAGGTTTGGGTAGCGGCGGATGTTTCGAAAATGCAAGCAAAGCGCTCGAGAAAAAGAGTTAACTAGGGCACTGTGATGCGTTTGCCGTGCTACGAGCGAGCGTCACCGGACGAAACGTGTACCCGTGAGAAATCACGGAGAAAGCGTTTCGTCGTGAAGAACGGCCGTGTTTACACTCCTTGACCCAGGTCTACATGGGCAACGTCATCCAAGGATGGCTCAGCCAGTGGTTTATATAAACTACCTGTGCTCCTTCTCCATGGCTACCCGATTGCTGGCTAAAGAGTGCGTTTTATGCCTGTGCAGCTCTGAGCGTTGAGATTTAGGAAAGATGGTCTTCGAGCGTCAGGCAGAGGCCGGCAACCTGTCCTCCATCACACTCTTCAATGCCAAAAGTGAGGCTGCTTCACCAATATCACCGTCGACTGCTCGCAACTCCTTGGATAAGGCTCCTCACGCATCGGCCTTGACTCTCACGAATCCCGGCGGTGACGAGGATGTGGAGCTTGCAGCAAAGAATACCTCCGGCAAAACATCGACCGAGCCACCATACCACATCTTTTCCCACCGTCAGAAGTGGCAGCTCGTTCTCCTAGTCTCGATTGCAGGAGCATTCTCCCCTCTTTCCTCAAACATATATTTCCCGGCCATAGACACCATATCGTCGCAACTACATGTTAGTGCCTCGCTGGTAGCCCTGACAATCACCGTGTACCTGATAGTCCAGGGTATCAGCCCGTCAATATGGGGCCCGATGTCAGATACCTCTGGTCGCCGGATTACTTTTGTTATCACCCTCACCATATATGCGGCTGCTAATCTCGCACTGGCTTTTACGGCCAACTTTCCAATGCTAGTTGTACTTCGTGGTGTGCAGGCTTTGGGTTCTGCGGCAACTATCAGTATCAGTGTCGGTGTGATTGGGGATATGGCTTGCCCTGAAGAGAGGGGAGGCTTTGTAGGGACAAACGCTGGAATTCGGTAAGTTGGAACACAGTCACTCTCCTGGGAAGTAATACTTTTGCTAAGCTGCTGGTAGGATGATTGGACAGGCCGTTGGCCCGGTTATTGGTGGCCTTCTCAACAGCAAATGGGGATTTAGAAGCATTTTCTGGCTCCTCTTTGTCCAGAGCATTATCGTCCTAGTGTTATTACTGGTGTTCTTACCGGAAACTCAGCGGCAGTTAGCAGGAAACGGCAGCATTCCTCTCCGTGGATTCCATAAACCGTGGTTGTACTACCTGCGGCCACCTAAATCATGGGCCACGACCAAGAGCAGCGAACCTCCAGCATCCAAAATTCCACGCATATCACTCAAAAGCACACTTGTTCCGTTGACGTATGTCTTCCAAAAAGACATCTTCGTCCTCCTTGCCTGGGGTTCTCTTATTTATACACTCTGGAGCATGGTAACATCCTCAACCACTACCGTTCTCCTGCACTCATTCCCTAGTCTTACACAGTGGCAAATTGGTCTCTGCTTCCTTCCAAACGGAGCCGGATGTGTACTTGGCTCTCTATTTACTGGACGGCTGCTAGACCGAACTTTCAAGCGAATCCAGTCCGAATACAAGATAAAGCATGGCTTGCCAGACTCAGTGAACATAAAAAACATACCAGACTTCCCTATTGAACGCACCCGGCTTCAATTTATGCCCTATTTCAGTTTATCTTTCATCATATGTGTCGCTCTCTACGGACCTAGTTTCGAGCTGAATGATTTGAGGAGGTATTTCGCTGCTAACCTGGTGGCCTCATTGGGTCTCCAATTCATGATTGCTTTCACATCAACTGCCATTTTTAACATCAACTCGACCATGTTGGTGGACTGCTTCCCCAACGGCTCAGCCAGTGCAACAGCAACTAACAACCTTGTTCGATGTCTTGTGGGTGCAGCTGGAGTGAGTGTGATTCAACCCTTGATAGCGGCTGTGAGAGTAAGGAATGCCTTCCTGATATTGACTGGTGTTGTCGTGCTGTTTTTACCGCTGGTATGGGTCCAATGGCAATACTGCGGGAAATGGAGGCAGGAGAGGGTGCGAAGAGAAAGTGAAAAGTCCAGAACAGTTGAAAAATAACGAGCAGCCGGATTTTGTTTTTTATTATATTCCCCGAATGATGACTTTGTTAATACCAGCGGAGTTCCAAAGCTATTTGCATTTTACTAAACATAGAAGATAGAAGACGTTCTTACCTTATAAAAGTTACACATTCAGCTTTTAGGTATACTGGCATACCTAGGTACACCTTTCAGGCAAGTTCACATTCAATAACGCTCTCAATACCACGGTGAGAAGTCCAAAATATTGACAGTTTTCAGCCTAGCTGATTCTAAAAGAGCGTACCACTCAGCAGTTGTGCGCTCAATACCTCCCAAGTTGGCCATCATAACGAGGCCCAGGCTGGTGCTTTCCCAGTAGGCCTCTGTTTCGGTAATGACACGGTCGTGGATCAAAAGCTTGCTGTATCCAGGGCTCATTGCCGGTGTGAGACTCTTGAGAATCCGGTGGGAATCTCGGTCACTCCAATCGTGGAAAATGAAGTGTATGAAGTATGCTCGAGCCCCTGATTGAAAAGACGGTCAGTACCTGTTTATATCACCTAAACGCATGGTGGCATCCTTATTTACCTTTTATTGGCTGCTCTTTGAAGAAGTCGTGCTCCATCGGCTCAATTGAAGAATGTAATGCCTTCGTTTTTGCTTGGCGATTACTCCTGGCAGGTCCTGGAGTATCAGTTGACCAGGGATATCTGGCCACTGACTACGGAATTTAGAAATGTCATATCCCTGGCCACCGCCCATATCAACTAGTATGACATCGTTATCCCCAATGCAAACACCATCCGTGAGCCTTGACGCTGGATGGACGCTCGGGTGTGACCAGCCAAGCTCTCCCTGGCTATAAGTGCTCATGTTATCATGAAATGGACTGCCAATCTCTGGATTGCTCCTGCATACAGTCGAAGAAGTGTGATTTGGTATTGTATCCAAGCTGGAATGCACAATCATTGCCATTGGTTGGATTGCGATACCCGGTCTTCCTGAGATGTGCAGGCAATGCATGCACTCCCGGGGTTTTACGAGATGATCTGGCGTTTCTTTAGAACGGGTTCATTGGCGTATGATGGCACATGCTACTTACCGACAACGATAAAAGTTGATATACTGTTGTGAGCACAGAGAAGTAGAACGCCAGGTACGTCGGTATTCGTCTGGCCTAGTTTCAAGGATCACCCCCACAGCAGCTAAGTGCTTGAAGATGCGCGCTATCCCCATGGTCAATTTCGAGAACCTCAGGTGGTGATAATATGCTGCCAGTGTATACCCATAAGTTTTTCTTCTGCACCAGTTGCCTTGGCCGATTTACTGGCTGTCTTTGGTCTGTCGTCTTTGCAAAGATTGATAAATATCCCCAGGTCTATAGCGGTTTCGATGGCCGCACGAGTAGTAGGCTATTGAAAGCCGATAAATACCATTTATCCATTCATTGGTACACCCGTGGTCTACTTACCTCTGACCAACAAAACCTGAGCATTGTTTCCCTTGGTATTTCTAGAGCATAGACGAGTGACCGAACAGCATCGAGCAGGTCCAATCGTTTCATAGAACTCTCAAGGTTAAACCGCTCCTTAAACAAGGATATCTTCTCGATCAAGCTCGGCACCATCTCTGGTATACTAGATGAAGTGGCCACTTTGTCGCTTAGAATTTCTCCTACTGAGTCTCCGTTAATTGTAGTTCTATGGCCTTTTTCGCCAAGGAGAGCCATTCTGGGATATGGGATATCTTTAAAAAGGACGGTAACACTTGGAATCAATGAATATTTAGATTATGCGAATTGATTCGGCTCAAATTGAACTCTAGGGACGGCCGCATGCGAACTTACATTTGCTGTCCTATGGCTCCGGCATCTTCAATTTATAACACGTCTTCGGCTATTAAGCGTTTTTGCACTCAATTCTTATCATGAATGCCGGTTCCGTTTTCTTTGTTGACGAAGACTATAAGCGAAGACCGTTATATCAGCTGGTGCATCAAGGGTAGTGCCGGCAACCCCTTGTGTAATGCTCATTGATACCTAAAGATATAGTCCAGCTATACAAAATGTGTAGTCAGTGGTTGGTTGACATCACCATAGTTATATGAAGGGTGAAAAATTCCCACGCCGACACTAGACAGATACCTCTAGGCTCATCGGAATAGTTATCTTTCCTCTAAACAAAAAGGGCTAGGAGTCAACCAATCTACGCAATTTCATTCACCAGGATTATGGTAACGCAACCAACTACTTGGTAACCATAACTAAGGGATTATAAAGAAAATGTCGCCTCTATTTAGCACAGTAGCCGATGGCCCTCCTTTTGAAGACTATCTATATCCCCCCTTTTGCCTCAATAGATATAGAGCCAGTATTCTGTATAAAATCTAATGGATGACTACGTGAATCCCTACGGACACCTGCTTAGCTCTTGCTAGGCACTTGTTGTCTCTTCTCTCTCTATCCTTAAGACTGAACCGGGAGGCACTATGCAAGCCGGTGCCTCCTAAGGTAGTAAGCCGCAATACACTCCCGCCATGCCATGTCTTCCGGTGTTGTGACGTCTAACTAGACAAGGCGCTCGAAGTTCTGAATGCTGTATCAGAATACTTATTTTCGACTAGAGCTCACCTCCTTTAAAGCAATACATGCTATGTCACTCAATAAGAAATATTAAGTTCGTTGGTGGGCCGTTCTTTAGGTTCGTTCCTTTAAGGTTCAACCTTAACCGACTGATAGTCGACGATGTCTAGACTATAACAGCCTTGGTCTCCCATCATTAATCGTAAAAAGTCTTTCTCCATACATAGCAATAGAACTATTGGCCAAGCAGATGCACATAAATGCTGTTCAGGCGCGATAGTATGCGGGACTTCACTTTGCCACCACAAATCCTGCATACGCTGTATCTAGTTAGTAGGTAACTATGGAGTTCGATTGCTTTGTATACCGGATGGCCCTCCCACTTTGTGAAAACAATCAATTATGTACCTGTTAGCTAGCAACTAATTAACTAATTTAGCTCCACCTCTGCGGCTCTAAAACATCTACAAACAACAAAACCTCCGTGGGTAGCTTCTCCACATAACCACTGGCCTGTAGTAACTACCAGGTAGTCTTAACTAATGACTAGGTAGATAGCCGACACCAAATGGGCTGGGGCGGTTGTCTAGAAACTACCCTGCACTCACATGTAGATAGTTGCCTTCGAGTCTGCCGAAGATTTCATTTTAGCTTCCAACCTTCACTGTTCAGCCCAGGAATCCTCCCCCACTCAATCATGCGTGACAGCCGCAGAAACTCACCCCGTTCTGCACCGGTACGATGCGAGCCAAAAGTAATAACGGGAAAGGATCAGCCAACACAGCAGCTTTCATTGATAGCACATCAGATGAATTCGACTTTGGAGGCTACTTTGGTACAGCTTGCTGATAACGGGTTTCCCTTTGCCAATTGGTACAGGTGGATAGGCGCAACATAGTAGTTATGACGGCGGCCTTCCGATTCCCGAGGCCAATCAGTTCTAGGTAGACTTTGGCCGTCAATCCGAGGATTTAGCTCAGCGCCCATGAAAAAGTCGTAGTGTCCTGTCAGTCTATATGTCCGCCCGCATATAATAGCTTGTCCATACACAATGGAGCCGTTTAGATGGTATCTTGGATTTCAAAATGTTCTATGAAGTAAGAATCCCATGGTTTATCTTATTTCTTATTACATGCGCTGACTTGCCAGCTCAAAAAATACGGCTATATATCGGCGGAGGTGCTCTTCGTCGTTGCTGTGTACTTTTATATATCAATGCCTATACCAAAGTAGAGGAAATGTCAATACACGCTGGTAAGCTAGCTTCTTATTGAATCAATGTAATTCACTTTTTCTCGCCTTATAGTATCATACCACGTCTTTTTTAGGATAACACTGATCTAAGGGTATGTACTATGAAAAGTTGGGATTTTTCTTACTTTCTAGAATATGGCCGGCGTACCTTTACATACTGACACCGTGCTCTATACTGGAATCCGATTGGGCTAGCGGTTCTTTCTTTTGCTTATCTTTTTATGTACTGGATGTGGGATAGTTCCAACGGTCAAAAGAATTCAGTCCGCCGTAAGGAGAAGGTCAACTCATTAAACGGAATACCTTTTCCCAAGTGCCATGTCAGACTCCTGAGAACCATACAATTAACCCGACAGATACTAGTGATTAAATACTCGTCGATGGCTGGTTTTAATCATTCGAAAGCCAAATTATATCCCTGATATGTTCTTCTCCATGGAATGGGGTTTGATCACTAGTTATAAGCAAATGCTTTTTGCATGGACACCCATAAAAGTCAGATATAATCGTCAACTTGGAGCCCATTCCCATGGCGTTACTTTGTGTTCTTCATGACCATGATTCTTCATTGCACGAGAAGGAATATCATTAGATGCTGGAGAAAGTATGGCAAAGTCTGGAAAGCTATGAGAAAGAAGTTCCCTATATACTTATACCGGTAAGTCCATAACTCGGATCCAGACTGTTGATAAATGCTGACAATGTTACAAGTATGTGATCTGGCTGATGTGAAAGTGCTCCGGTAAGGCTGGATTTCGGCGTGAGGACTCCCAGCGTCTAAGGAAGAATTGGATATTGGAATGAGATGTAGAATAGCAGCTTTGTTCTTAGTCTTGCAGCGGCCTGTCATCTTCCAGGGATACCTAGGCTAGCTTGTTAGTTAGTTTCTGTTACCCCACGTCAAGTGTGGCGCCAGCCATTGAGGCCGAATGGCGGTGCAACGATCGGCTGTACAACCTTTTGGTTGAATGGCATACGATCTATCATCGCTACAACCACGTTCACCATTGAAGGGATAGAAAGGTATCATTGAAACAAGAAAGTCAATATAAAACTGACGTTTATTCTAGAATATCCACCAGTAGTTATGTTTGATTCACCTACTTTTGATTTTGATAGCTACATCAAGTATCGGCCGCCATATTCCGACAAGCTCTATGCGGAGATCTATCAATACCATGAAAGCCATGGGGGCCAGTGGAACCTTGCTCATGACGCTGGGACGGGGGCTGGAATAGTTGCCGAGGAGCTTTCGACGAAGTTCACCACCGTTGCGGCCAGCGATCCAAGTGCCGTTTATCTCGAGCAAGCCAGGCGACGTCTATCCCTCAGAGACAAATTTCTCTTCGGCTGTTATCCAGGGGAAGATATGTCGTGGCTGCCCGACGCTGGGGTTGATATGATCACCATGGCCGAAGCCATCCACTGGGCAGAACCTCAGGATGTTGTCACGGCGGCATCGAAGGCCCTGAGGCCAGGAGGAACTCTGGCAATTTGGCATTATGGCGTCATTCCTATCTTCGTTGGTTCAACAGAAGCACAGGATGCCTTTAACGAGCTATTCGACCATTGGAGCTCACGGTTAATAGAGGGTGCACCAGAAGCTAAGCTTGCAAATCTCGAGAGAGCGGTGCGTATGACAGTGCTGCGAATGGCCGAAATCGAATTTGACAAGAGTGAATGGAAAACTGGAGTGCACCGGATATACTGGAACGCATATCATCCTACTGTGGGTATAACACACCAGGCTGCATTTAAGGATGTCCAGGTTCAGGAGAACCCGGATGATGTCGTGGATAGAAGAATCGACGAGACAATCCTCAGCCAGTATGCAGACATAGACTGGATACGAGGATATATGAACCATCTATACCCAGATGTACCAGCGGATGATACCGAGCAAGACATGTTTGAGAAGCTGGCGAGAATCATGGAAGGTAGAAAGTTACGGCTTTCTTGGACAGTTACAATGATCCTTGCCACAAAGTCGAATTAACAAATCAAATTTTACAGTCCATGTCCAATTTAGTTATATGAATTCGAGTTTTTTTAAATACTCATCGTTCAATATAAACTTGTCCTGGCCAGTGCCTGGTTATTCACCGTGTCTGGTTAGTTAGATTCCTGCCAACTCACGCATCCACATCCGGGGTCGGTCCTAACATGATTGTTGGCATGCCTTTGCCAGTCAGCATTCCAGCAGCATAGAACGCAGCTAGACCCTAAAAGCCACCACAGCAGTATGCTTGCGAGAAAAACCGTTAAGGAAGCGTAGCCGACACTTTGTAAGGGGGTATATCAATCTGGTCTTTTCGTGGAAAGCATTGCTCAGGCAGTAGGTATATAATACTCCGTTTATCCCTCTTGTACAAAATTTTCTGAAGGAATAATAGTCGTGCAGTAGGGTTAATTACAGCACGATATATTTAACTCCCATATAGTTAAGCAATGTTAAGTTCCATGGATAGGGAGGGTTGGTAGATTGATCTCGCTTATCAGGTACATGCAACCTCTGTCTGACAAGCATCAAACGCGATTGCAGCTCTAATGAAAATGATCATATCTTTAAGCTGCCATAAGCCATCCAAGATATAATGCGAAGTCTTCGATCAGGGACAATAACAAGTGCTGACTCTTTCTTGTGCTTGAAGTTGTTGACTCGATCCTTCTTTGGGCGTCGTTGGTTTGCTCTAACTTTATCCACCAATCACAACCCAGGAAAAAGCTCCATCAAAATTGTTCTATCAAACTCCAAAAAGCTGCAGAGCAACTCGAGATAGCAGCCTTTCGACCTACGCAGCAGCAATGGACTACCAGGTATGCTATATTCTTATACCCGATCAATTCAGTCAAACCAGCCACTAACCTCTTAACCTCTATAGAATCGAGCAGGCTCCAAATTCGGCGGTGGCGGAGTCGCGTCGCACTCCGCCACCAACGCCGACAGACGAGAACGACTCCGTAAGCTCGCACTCGAACACATCGACCTCGCGAAAGACCCCTACTTCTTCAAAAACCATGTCGGAAGCTTTGAGTGTCGTCTCTGTCTCACCGTTCACCAAAACGACGGCTCCTACCTCGCTCACACCCAGGGGCGCAAACATCAGACCAACTTAGCCCGCCGCGCAGCACGGGAGCAAAGAGAAGGCCGGGCTCAGGATGGATCCGGCGGTGCTTTGCCTGCGGGCAATATGGGCGTACAGGTGAAGCGCAACACAGTCAAGATCGGACGGCCGGGATATAAAATCACCAAGATCCGAGATCCGCTTACGAGGCAGCATGGTTTGCTCTTCCAGCTTCAGTATCAGGAGATTACGCCGGGCGTTAAGCCCAGAATACGATTTATGTCTGCCTTTGAGCAGAAAGTGGACGACCCACCGGATAAGGATTATCAGTATTTGCTCGTTGCTGCGGAACCGTATCAGACGTGCGGGTTTAAGTTGCAGGCGAGAGAGGTTGATAGGAGAGAAGGGAAGCTGTGGACGTGGTTTGACGAGGATAGCAAGGAATTTTGGATTCAGCTGTTGTTCAAGACTGAGCGTGAAGAGAGGTACAGTGGTGTTCCTGGATTGGCACCGGCTAGTACCCGGCGATGAGATGTGATCTGGAGTTTGTTTACAATTTGTTACTGGGACGGCCCTGGGAATTTGTCGTGGCGTTAATGGGCATGTGTAATACTATATAACGGTGTTACTTTTAAGAATGGACTTTTTTTACGGTACCTGAGATTGGTATAAAGTTGATTGATGACTCGTAGGTTCATGTTGTCATATGGGTAGAATTGTCAACCTAGCTGAATCTCTATCTTGCTATAGGGTCTCAAACCCGTAGTAACGCAACGGTGTAGAGGTATACAATACCACAGTATTAGCCGAGAAATCCATCAACATGGTCAAAAATCCGCAAAGGCCAGGTCATCATACGTATTTTTTTTTTTTTTTTTCAACAGTTTGATATTTTTACTGGAGAAAAGAAAAAGGCAAAACCAGAGAAAACGAGCACGGTAAAGTCTCAGAAGTGGAAAGAAACACCTTGAAAGCACGCATATTTTCCCCGCTTGCAGAAGATCGTGAATGAATTACTGCCTTTTTGCCTTTGCCTTCATGCTCAATTAAGCGTTGGGTATTGCATTTGGTAGAGCGGCATCTAGCTGCTCTGGAATGCGTTGAAGGCCTTGTACGTGTAGCCGATAAAGGGGAGGGACATCTCGGCCTCTTGTTCCTCGGGCATAGCGCGAGCTTGAGCGCGGAGGAGAGCACTGTTGTCTTCCTGAGGAATCTCATCGATGGGGAAGTAGGAGACATCAATGTTAGAAGTGAGTCTAGGCTCGAAGGGTGCACGGATTCGGCGCAGTTGTTCCCATACGACACCACGGAAGAAGGGGTGATTTTTAATCTGGGTGGCACCGCCGTGTTGTCCTCCTTCTTGGCCAATACGGTTTTCTGGGTCACAAAGGAAGCTGCTCCAAAGTTAGCATAGAGTAAAGAGTAAAGGGGGAACAAAGGTAACGTACCTTCTAATAAGATGCTCGGAGTCCCTGGAGAGAACCAGTTCGTCTGGGAAAGCAAGATGCTCACGCCAGTAGACGATCTTTCGGTAAGTATCGGTTGGCTGTTCGGCGCAGAATGGAGGCCATCCAACGAGACATTCGAACATAATAGCTCCAACTGACCACCAATCGCAGAGATAGGTGTATCCCTGGCCGTTGAATATCTCAGGGGCAATGTAATCGGGGGTACCAACGGTGGAGTAAGCCATAGCACGGCGTGATCGACGCCAGGTATTGATCTGGCCACGGTTGGAGACCGTCAAATTGATGGCATCTGAGAAGAAGCCAGAGTTTCTATTCTTATCTTTGGATGTGGAGGTATTCTTTAACAAAGCCTGGTAATATGAGTTGTCGTGCTGTTTCTTGCCGCCAGTCGACAAGCCAAAGTCAGTTAATTTGATATGGCCACCGCGGTCAAGTAAAATGTTATCGGGTTTAATATCACTTTTCTTCGTCAGCATATTTCTTTTTATTAGAAGAGACTGAGGAGCAACAAGCATACCGATGCAAGAAGCCGAGTTTATGGACGGCCTCGATGGCCATGACCAGTTCAGCCATGTAAAATCTGGTGATATCCTCTGAAAAGATCTCATATTTAATAAGCATGGTCATCAAGTCACCGCCAGGCAAGAACTCCATGAGCAGGTAGAGATACGCCTTATCCTGAAACGATGCGTGGAGCTTAACGAGCCATGGGTTGTCCTTGGAGTCAGCAAGGATATCACGCTCAGCGCGGACGTGTGCAAGCTGGTCCTTCTTGAACATCTCTGTCTTGATAAGTGACTTGAGGGCATAGATCTTGCCGTCAGTCTTGCGCTGGACGAGCTTGACTTCTCCGAAAGCACCCTTGCCAATGACCTTGATCGTCTGGAAGTTCGAGGGAGTCTCTCTCGTTCTGATAAAGCGAAGAAAGTTGGCTTCTTTCTTTGCCATGGCCTCCGCTTCATGTTTCCGCTTTGCATCAGAGATGGTTGCATTCTGGCAGATCTTGTCTAGGTTGGCAGCACTAGATAGAAGATAGTCAGTACGAAACAGTATAGAACTGTAGAAGGTCTCAGTCCGTTTATAGCATACCGCATATTTCTATCACGAGCTCTCTCGATATTCTCGCGGAAGAAGACATTGACGAGCTCCTTTGCCGCCTTTCCACGCTTATGAGCGTTCTCAGAGTATCTTTCCGGGCATCTCACAAGCTCCTCATCCTCTGGGTTGGCACCACGAGCTGGCATAGGAGGGGTCAAGTGGGCTGCCGCCTGCTGGTGGTGTCCGGCAGGAGAGCCAGCAGTGCGAGGACGCTGCTGGCCTCCTTGCGGGGCGGCGCGAGCAGGTCGCGGGGAAGCAGACAGGTCCTGGTTCGAGAACTGCTGTATCAGGCCCGAAGTCTCGTCGTTCCCCTGGTGCCCGCCTCTCTGCTGCTGGTATCCGGTCGGAGGGGCACTGCCGTGTGGTGCTGGGGCGTACTGCTGCTGCTGTTGCTGCTGCAGCGTCTGGCCCGCGGGAGCCATATAGGGATTGTTCACGAAGTATCCCTGGTTATAGACGTTCTGCTGGGCGTCCACGAACTCCTGGTTGCCTTGGCCAGCGTACATAGGCTGCGGGAAAGTCGACGGCGTCGTAGGATAGGCCCGACTGCTCTGGGGGTTGTTGCTATACGGCTGCTGCTGGTCGTAGCCAAAGTTTAGGTGAAGCCGGCCGTTAGCACCGCCGTTGGGAGGGCCGCCGCTCGGATTATTTCTGTCCATAGCTAACAGGGAATCTTGCCGCAGAGGTCTATGACTTCACGTCCCAGTTTTCTTGTCGTCACTGGTGGTGTGGTGGTGGCCGGACGAGAGGGAAAAGGGGCTTGGTTCGCGTGGTGGAAGAAAGTTGTTGGAGGTCGAAGAGCCAGAGCCGCGAAGGCGGACGAGATTCTGAAACGAGACTCGAGCAGGGCATGCGACATCCAAAACAACCGCAGCACCTCCTGTTATATATATGTTTATATTGCTTTCTTCTAGGTGTATAGAGAAGCTGACCAGGCCAGGGATGATGAGTTTTACAGGTTAAGATGAAAAGATGAGAAGAGTCGCTACTTTGCCGTGCCTTTTGGCGTTTTCACGGCGATTCTACAGCAACACCAGGAATAACACTTTCTTTTTCACTACTTCTAAGGTTGCCATGTTAAATATCAGAGACATGTTATAGACACCAGATATCTGTTCAACCCTGTTTATATATATAAATAGCCGAAGCTTGCTGTCCTTTGACCGTCTTTAGCTCAGGCGCCAGCGGTGACCTCCATTGAGAATATGGGCCGGAGAAAGGAGAAAAGAAAGTCCGCTAGATTTTTCTGCATCCAAAGAGCTTCACTAGGATCGCAAAGAGATGAATGAAAAGAATAGAAAAGGAAGACGGCTGACAGTCTGTTATTTAATTGACTAAAGCTGGCAGATAGATTGGCTTTCAGTCACAGTGATGGCCATGGAATCTCCAGCTTCGGGTCCGACTTCAGAGGCTGCGGCTGCGGCTCCAAAGCCAGCTCCAAAGCCGCAGAATCCTGCCCTGCGCATGCTAGGTACGAGAGACAGACAGTTCAAGGCATAGATATAGGTGCTAACAGGTCGATAGGGCTTCCAAGTATTAAGCTGAAGCTTCCGTCAAGGAATTGGATGATATTCCTGACTGTGACCGGCTCGTTCATCGGTGCTCTGGTATACGACCGCCGTGAAAAGAAGAAGATACAAGAGAAATGGGCGAACATGGTGGCTCACCTTGCCGATGAGCCGCTACGGACCACCGAGGCGCGAAGGAAGGTCACGGTGTTTCTATCCGCTCCCCCGGGAGACAGCTTGCGCAATGCAAGGGACCATTTCCGCGACTACGTTAAGCCTATACTCGTCTCTGGAGCATTGGACTACGAGGTCGTCGAGGGAAGACGAGAGGGAGATCTCAGAGCCGCTATTGCTAGCAGAATTCGCAGAAAAAGAGAGCTGGCTGGTGAGTCAGGTCCATTGCCTGAACCTGATCTCCAAACAGCCGACTTTGAGACCAAACTTCGACATATAAGAGCGGCCACGGGTGTCCACGACGAACCGGAGACGAAAGGGGATTTAGTTCTTGGTCGACATGCATGGAAAGAATATATCAGAGGCATCCATGAGGGTTGGCTGGGGCCTTTGATAGACCCTGCTTCTCTACAACCAGCGGTGGTAGAAGACAACACACCCAAGGAACCGCTACTATCAGATACACCAGACCAAACCTCGACAAAGGAACCACCAAAGGACGAAAAGGAAGAGGCGGAGAAACCAGCAGAGAAAACAAAGCCCAGTGGCCCTCCAGCCTCATACCTTCTCCCCTCCGCATATCACACTCACCAAATCTCCCCCATTGCTCCCACTGAGTTCGACGGCTCAGCTCCCGTTGCATTCCCTCATATACTTGGCTTCCTCAACACTCCCATCCGCACGTACCGATTCCTCAACCGTCGCCATCTAGCTGATAAAGTCGGAGAGCAAGTTGCTGCTGCTGTACTCGCTTCATCTATAAGACCTTACGCCGACAACACACATAGCTCTGAGTCCGATTTCTCCTCTATAACCCAGAGCCAGCCTCAAAATTCCACATCTGATGGATCTAGCCCCTCGTCAGATGCAAGCACAAGCGAGCAGCAGTTTGTTCTTCAAGAGGAGGAAAAGGATTGGCACAAGTCAGCGTATAAACAGCCCACTGACCCGGCTGAGATCAGAGAGGAGCGTGAATGGACCGATCCCATGACTCTTGATCCACGAATTTCCTCGAGGATGCGTAGGTTTGTGCTCTCTCCTGATGAACTCGCTCGATCTCAGCGCATTGCTGAGGGTAAGGAGTGGGTTATTGGTCAGGAGAAGCCAGTTCATGTTCCCGTCTGGAAATCTCTCTGGGCTACATACGGCTGGGGAGAGGAAGAGAATGCAAGGAGCAAAGTCATTATTGGGAATCTAGACGGCGAGGATGGTGAGTAGATGCTACTCCTCTCATATATGAACGATCCTTATCTTGGTGACATTATTGTCCCTTATGTATTTTTATACTTTCCCGCTCGGTTCCTGTGTATGATATCTCATGCCTATAGAGAGAAACTCGGAGCATAGACGGTGTATTCAATTGATAGAGCAATGCTTATTGACCTAGGTCAAATGAAAGGGACGTGATTAATACCAATTCTCATTTTTTCTGCTCTAGGATTGTTTTGTTATATTCAGCATAAGGCAGCAGAAATGCTTAAGGCAAATAGTTACACACATTTCACGAACGTGACGAACGGAAACACCCCTTCTTCCTGGTTCTAATCACATAGAGTTTTACCATCACTGAGGAAAAACAGATGCCTCAGCCCATCTGCGGCGAGCACTAGCAGAATACGAAGCCTTTGTCTCTGCTGTGCTGCCCCATTCATCGAGTAAGCTAAGACCAGCTAATGCCTGCTCTAATGAGGTGGTTTCGAGGTCAATCGACGAGATGAGATCCTTTTCGGCCTGTGGCTTTGAATCTGGTTTAAGCATTTGGCGGACTCTGAGTGCTGCCTGGACATGAGGGGCGCTCTTTGCGTGCGTAGATAGGAACTCTTCATTCCACTTGGTTAGATCAGTAGATCTAGGTAGCAGGAGGTCGAATTCAGCGTTGATAAGTTCGATGATGTCTGGTGGAGTGAGCTCCCCCGCAGCACCGGCGTCGAACTGTTGGCGGAATTTGACTAATTGAGCATGTAGAGTTTGGTTGCTTGGGTCAATGGCATGAGCGGCGAGCAGGCATTTGATTGCCAGTAGGTATTTCTCTGTTAATGTATAGTTAGTAAAATGGTTATGTCACGAGGGTCAAGGTAAAAGCTTACTTCTTCGAATATACACCTCAAAGCCAATGGTCTGGGCATCGATATTACCTGGGCAGGCCTCGAGCAAGGGGCCCAAGAATTTCATCGCTTCCTTCAGTGGATCAGAGGTATGAACTAGGTTCAAGCCCAGAGGATCGGTGTCCTCCTTCTTTGCGTCACCGCCGCCACCTGTTCCTGAGGCTTTCTTGAGTCTCTGCTTTTCAGCCTCGGCCTCCTTTAGCCGCTGCTGTTCCTTCTTAGCTTTTTTAACGGCCTTCTTGCGCTCTACACTGTCCGCGCCGCCATCAGCTCCGTTAATTGGAATTGGTCCGTGGGCAAGATCCGGCTCATCGTGTAACAGTAGGTAGGATTTTATTCCTCCAATAGCAGCCCTGATATAGTATGGATGATCTCGCAATTGGTTCTCCCATCGAATCATATCGATGTATGCCCGAATCATGCCCTTTCGTAATGAGAAGTTGTGGAAATCAAATTGGTCTTCTTGCCATATATCGAAGATATTGCTGATGGCATGGAAACGTTTCAAGGCAAGACCTAGCTTTCGTTGGCGCAGGTATGACTCTCCATCCTCAGTCAAGAACCAGACACATTGCATCTCATGCAAATCACCAAGTGCACCTCCAACAGTTTCGTTCCGGGTGAATTTACTCATATTGTCAAGACCCTTTTCGTTCTCATCATGGCGAAGCTGATATTTGACGGCCTTTGAGTTGATGTACCGATCCTTGTCATCAAGTAATCGAGCAGCTTCCATAGTTTCTGCGGCTTTGGTGAGGTTTCCATAGTGTTTCCATATTCTGGCCTTGGTCATCCAGCATTCCACAGACTTGGGCGAGAGTTCAATTGCTTTCTCCACGTATGACATTGCCTTTTCGAGATCACGGCTAAGATGGTAGTTGTAATGCTGAGCGAGGAAGTAGAGGACTGATTCCTCAAACCGAGAGTCATCGCCGTTTGCTTCAGATCCGTTAGGTTGGTCATTAATCTTTCCGGCAGCGTAGCCTTCCACCAGCTCCTGCACGACAGCTAGTTTGGCAGGGTTGGCGTAAAGGGTCTTTATGTTGGCAAATGTAGATGGTATACCCTTGCGTAGCATCCGCTGAAGATATGCATCAACAGCTTCTTTGAAGTCATCTCCTTCGAGGAATTCCAGAGGAATGCGTCGAGGTGCATCTCCCCGAGGGTTTTTCTCAACCCAATAATCATAAACAGCTTTCAATGCTTTGTGATCATCCTTGGATATTCCCTTCGCCTCAATGAGACGGTCATAGTACTGCGAGTTTTCCGGATTTCTCTCTAGTAGAGCTTCATAGGCAGTAGCAGCTTCTGCAGTTCGGCCAAGTCGTTGAAGGTAGTCCGCGCGCATTTCCATAACAGCAAGTATATCAAAGCACTGCTTGCCCACAGACTCGAGATGCTTAAGAGCCCTTTCTAAGTTACCTGATTCCGCAATAATCATATTCTTATATAAAATAGCTTCGGAATGCTCCATATCCGTTCGTGGAGGGGGCGTCTTTAGAGTCTCTTCGAAAGTCGTGAGCACGTTCTCTGCCTCCGAAAGGTTGCCAGCAAGGTGGTAAGCAATTGCAAGCGCAGTCCAGTTCTGGCGGACACCAGGTCGTTGCTGAAGCATCGTAGCTCTGCTCTGGATGTATCCTTGGAAATCTCGAATCTGAGCTTGTAGGTAGGCCAGGTCTCTTTGTATGGGTTGGGACTCAGGCTCGAGCTTCAAGGCAAACCTGTACGCCTTGATAGCTTCATCGTAGTTCTTCTCGGCACGGTAGAGCAGGCCATAGACATGCCAGCAGATATGCGACTTCATATCATTCTTGAGAGCCATCTTAGCCAGCGCAAATGCTTCCTCTGCTTGACCTTGATAACTCAGCATGAGACCCTTCATCGCCTGTGTGTCGCCATGATTGGGGTTCTTTTTAAGGATCTGCTCCGCCGCCTTGAGTCCTAGATGCCCAGATAGGACTTGTCAGAGCCACAGATAACAGAACAATGGGGGGGAAGTTCAATGGCATTCCCGTCCTGAATAGCAGGCAAACCCGCACCTTTTTTATATTGTTTATTCTCGCAATTCCGGACTACTTGGCGGAACAATGCGCCGTCCTTGGAGCTCAATGGCTGAGGCATGATGGACGCCCTATTCTACAGTTCGGGGCGCCCTGCCTGGTCTATCACACAGTGGGAAATAGGATGTCTCGATCAATCAAGGGCCAACAGGAGGTTCGTGAATTGGTGGTGGGCTGGCTAGCTGGCTGGCGGGACAGACACCAAGTATGAACGAACAATAGGCAAGGGACCCTTCAACCCGGTACCGGCACTAGGGGCAATAGTAGATGAAAACCTTGTTGGTCGCAGCAAAGGACCCCTTCGTATCTTCGTCGACGGTCGTCCGTAACTCGTCACCAATTCGCTGTTCGTTGGGCTCAATTCCGTATCTTATTTCTTCTATCTTCAACTTGTTTGTGCAAGTCGAAAAAAGAAAGTAAAAAAAGAAAAAAAAATGCTTAGTTATCCGGGAAGGGTCATGTGACCCGGTTTTTTCCCAAGGCTGGCGTTTCTTTCAAAGCAAAGATATCAATAGAGACAAACAAGAACAATAAGAAGAAGCGGGTTGAAGAATAGAATGCTAGCGAGAGGTTGATAAGAAGTCTATAGCTTTGTTTGAGGCTTCGTATTCAGGTTGAATGGGGTATTCGAGAGTATATATACATGAGTCGCTTCGATATCGTACAGTGGACGCCTTTTTATGCAAATGATAATAGTTAACCAGACAATTATTAGATATCTCCAGCATCCTGTACTTAGATCAGATAAGGTCTCCAGCCGTACGCCGTGTGGAAATGATACAGCGAATTCTTTTTTAGCTCCACTCAAGGCGTAATCCAGGCTGTCAATCGTTCAAGAGTGGGTGAAAGCAGGCTTATGATGGCAAAGTCCAGGGTCAGCGAGACTGCTCACGCGTTGCCCGCCAGCGATTGAGAGCATCCTCCCAGCTTTCGAATGAGTTCCCGCAGCGTTCTCCGACTATGTCCCAAGAACGAGACCTCACGATCCTCTCCACACCACGCTCGTTCCGTATTAGCATGGCAAGAGACTCTGTCCGCGGCTCCCTGGGGAAGAACCTGGCGGAGTAAGGATCCAATCGCTCGTCAACCACCCTCTCCCGAGCTCTCGCTGACTCTTCCTGTCGGAGCAGCAGGTCCGGGTCATCAGGGTCAGGGCTCGTGGCAACTCCGGCGCAGTAGGTCAAGACGTCCGACCTAGCTTGCCAGGAAGGAAACAGGACTTCATCTTTGAATTTCTGACATCTGGTTCCTTCGACCTGGCCGTGACGAGGTAGTTCTGTCTGTCTAGCGGTGGTTGAGGATGGGTCAAAGCCTTGTCGGGAGGGAGTCACCAGGGCATTCAAGCTTTGCGATATCGAGTCGTCTACTGTCGACCGAGATATTCGAAGGAAGTCTACCCGTACATCATCAGCATGGCTCTTCTTCGCGTCAAAATTGACATATCACTCACCTCTCAATGCCCGTTCATTGAAACAAAACTGTGGTGACAGCTTCAACTGTGTCGAGGTCTTTGACATCTTGCTTTCACCCGGTCCAGAGCCAACCGACGTCCCGGTTGACTGTCGAGCCCAGAGCAAATCCAGCCTGCCTGACTGTCGGGTAACTAATTTAAAAAGTAGATATCCAAGAATTAGATCTCTATGGCTTGCAGTCCCTTCAGCTCCTGGCTTGTAATTATTCTCTTCCCACTTGTTGCTGGACTTGAGAAATCGGATCAAAAAGCATCACATGACTCGCGGCTCTTTTTCAGCCCTTTTTCAGCTTTTCAACGTCGAGACGAGGACGAGTGGAAAGTCGAGCAAACTGATATTGATATTTGGCGCAGCTTCTGGCCTACCTGAAATCTTTTTTTTTTTCGATAGGCAATCCTCGGTTCTTCCACAGCCATGTTCAAGTACAGAACCTAGACGGACGCCAAGGTGGCAGGGAATCGAGCTCGCTGGTTGGTGATATCCACGCGAAGGAAACACGAAGCTAGCTGCGAGGCGCTCAAAGACCGTCCTCTTCCTTTTTGTATTTATTTACCACCTTTTTTTGATATGAAATGAATTGAGTATCTCGTCTAGAGAAGTCTTAAATTGTTCATCCATTGTTATACTGATTGATTGCTTGGTATGAGTACTCCGCTTCTGTATTAATCTCCGGCGACAACCCTTGAACTGCACCGCTCATCTCTCACCAGGAACACCAGTCGAGTTCTCAATCGCAACGAAAGTGTACCTCCAGCTGCTCCTTTTGCGATATAACGGCCCGTTAGAGTATTGACCATTTACTCAAAGACGCAGCCAAGTCAACCAATTCATACAGCTTCAGCTTCCATTCAAAATTCTGTGCATTAGAGCTTTTCTTGTCGTTACTAAGAGCTCAACTCATCAACCCGGCAACAATGCCCGAGCTGGCAGAAGTTTCACGAATAGTGAACTATATCAAAAAGCATCTGGTAGGACACACAATTGCCAAAGTTGTAGCCAACCATGACGACCTTCTGTTCGGCAAGGTTGGCACCAGTGCCGACGAGTTCAAGAAACATATGCATGGGAAAACCGTCATAGGAGCTGGGCAGCAGGGTAAATACTTCTGGATGATCATGTCTTCGCCTCCACACCCTGTCATGCATTTTGGAATGACGGGTTGGCTGAAGATAAGGAGTGAAAACACTTACTACCGAAGCAACGGTAAAGACGAGAACGTTGAGGCGGACGTTTGGCCTCCAAAGTTTTGGAAGTTTTTGCTTGAGACGGATAACGAGCCTAAGACTGAGGCTGCGTTTGTGGATGCGAGGAGATTGGGCCGTGTTAGGCTTGTGGATTGCCCCGGTGACGAAATACGGAAGTATACGCCTCTAAAGGAGAATGGACCTGATCCGGTCATTGACAAGGCCATCTTGACGGAAGACTGGTTGAAGGCTCTCGTGCGGCGGAAGAAGGTCCCTATAAAGGCTCTGCTACTGGACCAGGCCAATATTAGTGGACTTGGGAATTGGATGGGGTATGTTCTACATCTTTTCATGCATATATTTTCCAACTAGAAAAGAGGCTAACGCTGGAAGCAGAGATGAGATCTTATACCATGCCCGGATTCATCCTGAGCAATATAGTGATACACTCCGGGACAATCAGATCAAGGAGTTACACTCATCTATAAACTACGTGTGCTCTGTATCTGTTGACCTGAAAGGAGAGTCTTCTGATTTCCCTACGGACTGGCTATTCCATCATCGATGGAATAAGGGAAAGAAAGGTGCAGCGGGAAAACTTCCCAGCGGTGAACCCATTGTCTTCGTCACCGTTGGTGGCCGGACGAGTGCTGTTGTCCCATCGGTGCAGAAGAAGGGCGGCGAAGAAGAGGAGGAGGAAACAGATACCAAGCCTAAGAAGGCCATAGGCAAAGCAAAGGCGACACCAAAAGTGAAAGCCGAGGAGAAAGATGACGCCAGTGCATCCACACCAGCAACTCCAAGCAAGAAGCGTAAGCAGCCTGCTGCAAAAGCTGTCAAGGAAGAAGACAGTGCGGCTACGCCAGCCTCGAAGAAATCTAGAGCTACCAGAGTCAAGGCCGAACCGGAGGCGCCAAAGGTACCGTTAAGAAGGGGTCGATCCGCTGCGAAGAACTAAACTTTTTGCCTCTTGTTGGTTGCTTTTGCCTATGGAATAATTTATTTTGCGATTGTCTACTGCTTCTTTTGTCGGCGATGTAGGAGTTTGCGGGCGGTAGTATAGGCCAATTCCCGGTTCTTGATCGGAAACGAAACGGCCTTGAGATACCAATTTCTTTCTTATTTTGCCTATCTCCCTTTTCTCTTGGCTTGTAAATCAGTCTTGTTTCAGATTTTTTATCATCGCTAGATAACCAGACAGAGTACGTGCAGGCTTGCTCATATATATCGTCGTTATACTCGCTCGTTCAATCATACCAACATGCCATGAAGCTTTCTATAAAAGACACCGTAGTTCCCATCCCCATCCTTCCCTTCTTCCAAATCATCCATGACAGCAAATATAATGCTCTCCCACCACCCACCGCCGAATTCATTCTCACTAAACACCTCAGCAAAACAATCCGCCACATCTTCACGCGGGTTCAAAAACGCCCCACAGCCTAATGCACCCAACACCAGCCTTCGATGGCCGTTATACGCAGCTGTGCGTAGAATCATACGTATCTTGTCCTTGGTCAGGTCTCGGTCGGCAACGTTCCGGAAAACCTCCTTGACGTGCACATCAGAGGAGTTAGGAACGGGTATCTTCTTAGCCGCTAATTTGGGCTCGCATAGAGCCGCTATGCTGATGACGCTTACGACGGGCAGCTCTTCGGGTTTGTTGAGTGATAATAGGCCATGACCGTCGTCTATACTCTTGCGTATGACGAGAACTGTGGGCGAGTATATAGCCTGTAGGTCCTCTAAAGGATAGTATCGTAGCTTAAGAGTGAAGCTGAGGCTACTTCGGTAGCAGAGGGTTTCTTCTTGAGCCAGGGCTCCGTTCTTCCAACCTCCTCCGGCATGGAATGCGTTTGCCATGTTCAGCACACATACTGGCTTCTTGTCTCGCACGGTAACAAATCTTGAACAGTTTGCTAGGGCGATAGCAGTGTCCAGAGAGTCTGCATTGTGTATCCGAATAGACGTCTTGTGGAAATGGGGACAGTACTTTGCATTTAGCCGTGAGATTTTGCTTGGAGAGTATAGATATCCGTTTGGTGGTGCCCAGGGAGCCATCTCTAGTATACCAGGCAGGAATGTACTCGTCTCTCCAGCGATGCAACGGAGGATCTTCCGTCTTTTCATAGCGTCTTGAGCTGGTGATAGTGCCGCCTGTGTTGCTTCTGATGCCGTCTGGGAAGGTGGCCAGTCTGTTGAGGCTATACTGGTCTGGCTATCGAGCCTGCTACTGCCGTCATTCTCCATCTTATAGTCCATACCGCTATCCGGGAGCAGGGTATCTCCAAGGCTGCTGGCCTCGTCAGGGTCCCTTCTTATGATCTGAGGGGTATTCTTTTTCAGTGAGCGGGAAGAGCCGAAGTTGAGCACTGTCTGGACCATCTTTGGCTTGGGCGAGGTCGTCATGTCGTCCCATCTACGGCTCTGCTTCTTCTCGTTGTCTTTTTCTACCTGCAGCCTTCCATGGTTATTGTTGTCGTGCCGCTTTCTAGATACTTAGGCGCTGGCAGGCTGAAGCCTTGCCTGACTGCACAGCCAGTCAAGGGTGCAATCGCGAGATCGACATTCACACAAGAAAGGCCGAATGGTGTAGTTGGTTATCACGTGTCGTTAACACCGACAAGGTCCTGAGATCGAGCCTCAGTTTGGTCACTTTCAATTTCTTTTTGTAATTTCTTTTTTTTTTATCTCTTGCTCTACTGAAGTCCATCCCCCGTCATTCTGTCAAATCCTTCCCGCGGTTCAGTTTTGTGTTACATAAGCAAGATTAAGTTTAGCCGCCTTTTGATTGGCCAAAGCTTATTTAAACCTTTCTCTCTTTTCCCTCCGATAACGCATCTGATAAGAGATGCTTGCATATTACAAAGCTCATTCATGGGCTGATCCCATTCTACGTTCATATCGCCGTCCTGCGCAGCTTCTTTCCTCTTCGTTATATATGACACCACTATACTATATGCCTTTTATTGGAATATTTCTACAGGACGAGATTAGCGGACTGAATAATTACTGGTGGCGGTTGTTCGGCCACTGCAAATGAGTTAAGATGAGCGCGATTCTGTCTGCGGATGATTTGAACGACTTCATATCACCAGGAGTTGCTTGTATAAAGCCAGTTGAGACACTTCCGAAGAAGCAGGAAGAGGTGAGTCATCTGCAGTGTACTTTCCAATGTACACCCAGCTAACTTGAATATTCCCTGTAGAACCCATATGAAGTGACGACGGAGGATAAGCTGGAGGAGCAGAATCCCCCGCCAGCTCAGATATCTCTTACGGATTGTCTGGCATGTTCAGGCTGCGTCACATCAGCTGAAGCAGTGCTGGTCTCGTTACAGTCGCATGCGGAAGTGTTAAACACCCTCGACGCAAACCCTGAAATACGGCTTGATGGTGGGGGCAGAGCAGAAGCCGGAGATGGGAAGCTTTTCGTTGCCAGCGTGAGCCCGCAGGTCCGGGCTAGCTTGGCTGCTACATACGGCATATCAGAAAAGAATGCAGGATATATGATCGAACAGTTTCTCAGTGGACCAAACGGCCTACGGGCAGGCGGACAACACGGCAGTGGCTTTGCATGGGTTGTCGACACTAATATCATGCGCCAGGCTGTGTTGGAGCTCAGTACGGCTGAAGTCACCGAATCGCTAAATGCTGCTGCATCAACGACCTCACATGATGAATCAGGCAAATTCTCTCTGCCTAACAGACCTATTCTCGCCTCTTCTTGTCCAGGGTGGATATGCTATGCGGAGAAAACCCATCCGCACGTTCTACCTCATCTATCACGCTTGAAGTCTCCTCAGGCCTTGACGGGGACTTTCCTCAAGACCATAATAAGCAAGAAGCTCAATATATCACCGTCTCAAGTATGGCATCTTGCGATAATGCCTTGTTTCGACAAGAAGCTTGAGGCAAGCCGACAAGAATTAACGGATGTTTCTTGGAGAGGGGAAGCATTAGACATGGCCAGTTCCCCTATCAGAGACGTCGACTGTGTCATTACCTCCAAGGAATTGCTTATGCTTGCTTCATCTCGAAACATCTCGCTTCCATCTTTACCTCGTGAACCACTACCAACACACCTCTCGACCCCGTTTCCCGACCAAACCATCGCCCAATTCCTTTCTACCAATAATACCCTACATTTTACACAACCTGCAGCTGCAGGACCATCAGGAGGATACCTCCATCATCTCCTTACAACTTACCAATCCAAACATGCCGATAGTATTATTCAATCCCAGAGAGGCCGCAACGCAGATGTAGTTGAATATACTCTCGTCTCAGCAGCCGGTGAACCAATCATCAAAGCAGCGCGGTACTACGGGTTTAGAAATATCCAGAATCTAGTTCGCAAGATGAAGCCCGCTAGAGCCTCGAGACTACCTGGCTCAAGAGTCAATGGTCCTGGAGCCAGGGCACGATCTGCACCGGTGTCTAATGGAAAGCCAGGTGCTCCTACACCCCCGACCGAGTTTTCTTATGTTGAAGTTATGGCTTGTCCAGGTGGATGTACGAATGGTGGAGGTCAGATCCGACTTGAAGATGCCAGACAGGCGAATTCTTCACTGGCTTTGCCTGAAGGCAGTGCTTTGGAGCAGACTTCAAAACCAACGCCTCATGATCAACGGGCGTGGCTTGCTCGAGTTGACGAGGCATATTATTCGGATTCCTCGGAGGACGGTGGCCAAGTCGATAAACCACATCGTATGTCTTCTGCTGGAGAGATACATTCCATACTGAGGTATTGGTCTGATATGCTTGGTGTTCCTCTCGAAGATCTGGTATATACCACCTACCGTAAGGTGGAGAGCGATGTAGGGAAGCAAAAAGGTCCAGCAGGAAGCATAGATACAGCTCGTGTTGCGGAGTTGGCTGGCAAGGCCGGTGGCGGTTGGTAAATGCATGCATACTATAATGAGTATGATCTAGCATATGGACAATGTCATTTAAGCGTTGCGTCTGGTGATATCATACTTAGGCATTTGGTGGTTTAGGAGTTCTGATTAGACTGCACACCGCATGGTTTACCAAAAAAAAAAATAGAATCGTTGCCTTGATTATTTGTCTATCTCTATTACTTTGGACTAGAATCTTGAAAGAAAGGCGATTCCACCGTAAAACCAAACAGAGTGTATAAGGTAAGAATAGTAGAAACAGGGTGGACAGACTGGAAAGAAAGACAGGGTGCGCTTCTGCTTTTTATTCTTTTCTCTCAGGACGAGATACCTCGTAATGGCCTCCTCACGTACGTATCAGACACAGTGAAGAAGATCATGGAGATCTCGGGCTGCTCTCCCAGGATTCGTAGGAATGGTCACTTGGACGGGCATAGTTATGGTAATAACGCGATATCAACTCTGAAGGAACGCATTGACCCATGGTCCGTGGCTCATCCAAAGAAGAAGATCGAGGGCTCGACATCTCGAACGAGGGCCTAGATGAGTATCGATTGGAAGGGGTCAGCAAGGTTTGGACATGCCTCACGCTGTCGGTGGAACTATGTGGGCTTCCTGGAGATGCAGACTTCGGGAGCTGAGAGACGACGGTAAGTATTTAATTATGCACTTTACATCTTGAGCAACGTTATATACTCACGAAATCAAATTCAACCTGTTTTCCTGAAGGACTGCCACCTGGAGATGGGGCGCGTTGGCAAAGGCCTGTGCCATAATGGCGCTGCCAGGTACGGCGGTTATCAGCGTCCGTAGACTCATATCTTCCCTTTCTAGGGGGGCGCTCAAAGCGGTTCTTCCGCTCGCCAGAATCTTCGGACAAATCTGAGTCTTTAGAGCTAGAGAGATGGTGGAGAGTACCGATGGCACTGATAAGAGACTTTTCTTGCAGATCTTTGGGGTAGCCGGCACCATCTGTTATATAAGTGTAAGTATGGGGTTATCACACCGGTCAGGGGCTACTCAATGACATACCAAGAGATCTTGCATCTACTGAAGTTGGCACGGTAGATTTACTCTCGGAATCCGAGTTGGACCTTGAATCGGAAGCTGACTCGACACCTTCTATCATGTGGCCCCTGAAATTATTCTTACTCCCATGTGGAGGGTCAGGACTTTCACCACCTCCATTTGCAACGTGTGGACCAGGGCTTAGCATTCCATCATTCTCATCAGTGGACTCTTGCACGTTATCGGAGCGAGAGCTGCTAACCGAGTGACTATTCAACTCCTCTTGTTTTTGTTTCAAGAATTCAAAGAGGAGTTGTTGCAGCTCGGCTGACTGCTTTGTATTCTGCTGTATCAGATGCGCTAGAGTAGAAAGTTCAGACTCCCCTGGACTGAATGTATTACTCTCATATCCAAATCGGCTGCTTCCACCAGAAGAAGAGGAGTTAGCCTTCTTGTATGTCTCTGCTGGAGCTGTGATTTGAGAAGAAGCAGCTCGTTTCCCCTGCTGTTGCTTCTGGTATCCAAAGGGATTTGATTGCTGTAATAGTCTGTCTGAAGAAGGGGTGGTATCAATGTCCGCCATCGTCTTCCCCAGACTTAGGGGGGATTTCTCCGAGTCAAATGCTCCATTCATGATCTCGCTAAACGCGTTCTCCGGTGAAGCATCTGGAACCACCCGTGGAACCCGTCCCGGAGAGGCTGAAACGCTGTTCCTTTCGGCGGAGCGGTCGTGGAGCGATGCAGGCAATAATGCTGGCGTAGGCGGCGGGTATTGGCTTTGCCCCCAGCCCGTCCACGCCTCGTTCTGCCGACGATTACGATACCTCGGAATGGCTCTTGGGTAAGACAAAACAGGCCGCATGAATACCTGCGGATTATTATACCGACGATAGCGAGGAACCGGGCCGTTCCAACCTGGCCGTGGCGTGCCATTCCTGTTTCTCGGATGATATGGGGGATAGGCGTATCCTGGGCTGAAGTAGGGACCAGTCTGGTTCCTTGAGGGTGCAGCATAAGGAGTGCCAACCTGCCCGTAACTCATCGTGTTATGCTCTGCAGGTATATTTCAGAAGGAATGACAGCGGTGAGGGAGTAAAAGATATAGAGAAAGTAACAGTGTGACGGCGGCCTAACAGATAGAGATAATACGTTCCGTCTTGCCTGAATATCCAGCGGCAGAGTCGACGACGGAGAGACGGGCCTGGGACGCCGCAGTTATACTCGATGCTCTGCAGGCAAAGAGCAAGTCGAGCCCGCAGCCACAGTCCGGCCTGGCGAGAGGAAGGGGCTGCCCCGGGGATATCTCAATGCTGCTGCAGGTTCGATGCATCCATTTCATGACTTGCAGCGGGAGGCGAGGCATGGCTGCTGCCGACTGACTACGGCGGCCGCAGCTTGGATTTCCAGTATATAAAAGGACGAGTAGTGGTTTCGCGGTTCCAAAAAATGCAGCTCCGGAGCAAGGGCAAGAAATAAAAGAAACTTGACAAGCTAGAATTTAGGTGGCTATAAAAATTGTTATCCTACTATGAGGCTGAAACTCGCACAATAACTAAAACTAGATAGTTAATATATCTTCTACCCCCAATAACGAAAATATAACCCTACTTTGGACACGAGCAGCCAATAAGCCATCTTTGATATACCATGCCCGGCCGATCTGGCCCCTCAAAAGGGTTTAACGGTCTCGTATTGTATTGATCGCCCTCTTTTTTCACAAAGATGTTCCAAATTGGCCATAACATTTTTGAGTTCTTTCTCATCGTCATTTTTGACCGAAAGATTGACCCGTGCAAATTCGGGGCGTAGGAGCCATAGATGAGTGGGAATATTTCCTGATCTTTCTAGATCTAGGATACGGAATCTCGAACTCTTGAAATGAAGGATGGATCCCTTATTCCATCATAGCACTCTGCCCATATTTGATATCTTCGTCAAAATCTTGAGGGATCCTCGGTCCGCAGGGTACTGCTATTGCTAAGCGGAAGTAAGAATAAAAGTGTTGGCCAGAAACTGAACGTACCGTGCCCACGGCTCAAGAGAAACATTCGTTTCTCTTTTTTAGTCATCTGCTCAATCTGAGTAGTGGTCTGTTTGAACCATAGAAGTCTCTCCTCTTTCGCCTTTGGATCATCTGGGGGAATAGAAGATGCAGAAGTGGAAGAGGTAGCGGCAGGAGTCTGGGAAGATTTTGTATCCGCAGAGATACCCCTGGAGGAATTGTCTGTGGTATGAGGCGAGGTGGCGACCTTCGCTCTCTTAGGGGAAGCCCTGGTCTTCTCGGGGCTCGAGTCAGCCATTGTACCTGTTATTTTTACTTTGCCTGATGGTTTGAATAAGGAACAATAGCGGAAAGGTTCTTAAAGTAAAAGAGTCTTTCAAGTGTACGGAGGCATATGGATAGATGTATTGGGAAGAATTTCTAGGCTCCAGAGATCCTCAAGCGAGATTTTATATCCAGAGCTGTGGCGGCTAAAGTGACTGTCTAGTCGACGCAGTCACTGGCCGAAGAGGAAAGTTAGTTGATTATACACCAAGTTTGAGCCTTTGCTTCACATGCACTCTTAACTCTTAGCGGCATTATTGACGACGATATCTATTTGGCCACCAAAAGCGGCCATAAAATTGTCAATGCGAGCTTTGATATCTTCCAGTGGCTGATTCTGGTCCAGCTGGAGAGTATGAAACCGGTCTGAGTCAATGGCTGGGATCCTTTCTGGGTTGCGGGATGTTGCAATGACTCGGTCTCCATGGCGCAAAGCGATACGGACCAGCTCAAGGCCCAGGCCAGAGGATGTGCCTGTGATGAGCCACGTTCGTGACTGTGAGGACATGGTTGGCGCCGAAGATGAAACGCTCTGATTCTTGATGCCTTTTTCAAAACTTTGGGAGAATGATGTTGTGGGCTGTTAAGATGCAAGTAGAAAATGGATCTCTTCTTGTATCCGTAAATGCTCCCTCAGCTTTATATTATACACCTTAGTTAGCTAGTTCATCTGTGCTTTGTTAAACACAGAGTACACCGTGAAAGGCGGCCAGCATCATCGCCGCCTTATCCCTGAGATATCTAGCCTCTAGACCGCCGAATAGAACAGGCCAAGGGGCTCAATCTCCATGCATCAGGCATTTCCCCAGCCAGACCATAGCGGATGTTTTAAGTAGTTAACTAAACCCTAACTCCGGAGCCCCTGGCTTTCATCGCAAAGTTCAGTTACACCCCCTAGTTAACTATTATTGGTTATCTTCATGGACCCAGGCTTTTGCCACTATCCGAGATACACGTAACTGCCTAACGACAACAGCTTGCCTTTGGCTTTTCAAGGAAGCACATCAAGAACCTGTTTGTTAGCCTGCCCTGTGATCAGAGCAGTACATAGCGTTATACATCCCAACCTATATGTCCGACCTCCCAATTCAGCAGACAAACGTACCTTTGGTTGGCGATCAAGATGTTGAAAATTCATCGATATCAGGGGACAAGGGCCTGAAGCTGATAGTCGTGGGCGACTCTATGACCCAGGGCCACGAAGGGGACTGGACCTGGCGATATCGCATTTGGCAGTGGTTTCGTGAACAGAATGTCACCGTCACCTTTGTCGGACCCTACGCTGGCACCGTCCAGCCAGACAGACCTAGGCCGCCATCACCTCCTCCCCTTGATGGCTCACCCAAGCCTAGACAGGGGGTCAAGGTAGATGGCGGCTATGCGCGTGGTGTATCGGCGGATTTTGATAGCCATCATTTCGCCGTTTGGGGGCGAACCGCTGCGCTGGATAAATATTTGATAGAGGATGTCTTGACGGCCCATCCTGCAGATTTGATGCTTTTGATGCTGGGATTTAATGATCTGGGATGGCTACAAAGTGATGCCATTGGAACGCTTAAAAGCGTTAAAACATTGGTTGATAACGCTCGTAGGGTTAATCCCTTCCTCAAGCTTGCTATTGCCAATGTTCCTCAACGGTTGATGATCGGTGGGCGTGAAGATTTGCCCTGTTCCACACGGGAATATAACAACCTACTTCGCCATGCTATACCACAGTGGAGTACGGCTGATTCTCCTATTCATCTTGTGGAGGTCTGTGAGGATTATGGTTGTGGCCCTGATGGGTGTCCTGCTGGCTATGATGGCCTTCATCCAAATGCGACGGGAGAATATGAAATTGCACGCGCATTCTCACTCACTCTGGTTAGAGATTTCAATATTGGTTCAGCCCCGCTGGTAATACCCAAAAATATACCGAAGCGGTCCTTGCCTCGCCCAAAGAATTTCAGAGTATTCTCTAGCCCTGGAGGAGTCACCGCCTCCTGGGATGCAAGTACGTACCAGTCTCCTTTTTTTTTCTGTATGGACTCACAGATGAAGACTCTAACTAAGGTTTAGTATATGGTGCGATGAGCTACGATGTCCGGTCCAGGATCTCGGGAATCACAGAGTTTCACACCAGCAGTGTCTCTTCGAATCGATGGGACGCTCAGTGGACACAAGAAGGATGGGTCTATGATGTTCAAGTACGTGCAAGTGCAGGCAATGCACTAAAAGGCCGCTGGACGGCTATTGAATCCGCCAAATCAACTCCCAAAACACCTCCTGGCCCCGATAATGTGGTAATAAACGCTACCACTACTGGATTCGATATCTCATGGGACTCTTGCCCTAGTGGCTTTGATGTCACGGAATATGAAGTCCTGTACTGGGATAAAGATAAAGAACATACGTTCATCACTAGTGCAGGCTTCAAGGAATCTCCAGCTCATGTTGATGATCTTATCCCGGGGCATCATTATCAACTTGCCATCGTTTCCTGGAACGATGCCGGCGGAGGATTTCCCAAGGGAGTCCGAAGTGTCACCGTCGGCCGAGGCACTCCCCCGATACCCACTGACTTGAAAATTACAGCCAAAGATGCAACCTCTGCTCACCTTACCTGGACTGGTTCGCCTGCTGCTGCTGGTTATCAACTCTGGTTCCGTAATGTGAATGAGCCGGATAGCGAGCTCTGCAAGGTCAATGGCACGGAGAGCAAATCCTCCAGTGACCAATATTTTCTGGTACCAGGTGTTTGGAACTTTGAGTGGTGTGTTAGTGCTTTCAATGGAAGTGCTGAATCTGACAGATGCGAATCTGTGCTTGCTCCACGGCCATCTGATGCTAGTATATCATCTGGCGACTGCTCTAAAGAGGATACTAACCCGCGTCATGAGGACAAAGATATCAATGGAAATTTAACCTCCGGATATAACTATATGTCTTGTAACTCTGACTCCCAGTGCGGAATGCCTCTCCAGGAAGAAGATCAGGGCTGGGGAATCCTATGTGGCATTTGCGGCCATATTGAGCAAGATGACATTGACTGTCTCGGCTCTGGGGGTAGTAAACAACTCCACGGCGATAGGTGCTACAGAGATGAGTGTAAAAATGGTGACTGTACTAATCCAGAGTGCTGGATATACGTCTGTGATAATTCTCACGCTGAAAAAGATGGCACTGCTACTAAGTGCGATGAGTAAATATTGTTAATAAGATACTAATGTACGAACCAGATATATATGAATAGACATAGAGGAAGGGAGTACGGTTTCACGGATATTTTCCTCATCGTTCCATGTTTGACTCGATAAGCCCTGCGAGAATAACATCAGGGGGTGTGTATTTAGCCATCCCTATGCCCTGTTCCTAATTAGGAAGTATAGTGGGATGATTACCACGTGACGTCACTTATTGCTTATATAATCATTACCTCTTTACTTTTTTTTTTCTTCGCAATACAAAAAACATCTTAACCAAACCAGCAAGCAAGCAGACAGACAACTACAAGAACAGACGTAACCAGAGACAGAACCACAGATAAATCACACAGACGAACGACCTACAGCACCTTAATATCCTACAAAATGTCCAGAGAAGCCTATCAGGTTCCCTCGCTCACGCAGCAGGGCCCAACATCCACAAGCACCACTGGCGCAGCCACCGGCAATGAGGTCCTATCAGTCGTCTACATCTGCGGGGACTGCAGCTCGCGCGTCTCGATGAAACGAAACGATCAGATCCGATGCAAAGAGTGTGGCCATCGAGTACTATACAAGGAGAGAACTAAGAGGTGAGCCGGTTGCGATTTCGCAGTTTATCTATATAAGGACTGATAGCTAATGTTGTTACTCTGGCAGAATGGTACAATTCCAAGCTCGATAGATAGTGTTTTACGGCGATTACTACGATTACTCTCCTTTATCAATACTGGCGCGCGGGGATATAGGTGTCATGGCCGGCATTAGCTGTGTGTTTTATTCTCATTTTCTTTGCATAAAATATGACAACATTATTTGGGAAAACTCGACGGGATCTTCCTTGGACAACCGCAGAGCCTTTCCCGCTGAAATGCTAAAATAATATTCTACGAAAGTTCATGGCTTTCCATTTTCCCTTTTACTGTTTTAACCCGTGACTGACATTGTAGGTGAATTGGCTACCAAAGTGGTAGGACATTGCTCTATTCCTAGATGATATTTGAACCAAAGTACCTGGAGATATTCCAAGGTAGAAAAATATTAAAAATGAAGGACATATCCGAGAACATGAAGTGCAAGATTTAAATCCCAAAAGAAACAAAAAAAAAAACGGCAACAGCGGCTACCTGCCTTGTCTATGACAATGTTACCCTTCCCTTAGCTCAAAATGTGTTGGACACTTTGATAAACTGTTCGAAACATTTATATGCTTCGCCGCTCTCGATGGCCCAACGAGCACGTCTCAGGCCTTCTTTCCATCTGAGCCCACCTGGCCCACGTTCAGTGATCACTTTACCATCATCCCCAGGGCCCATGTTACTAGTATCGGCTTCACAAACTCCCGAGATGGCCAGAAGTCCGGCAACATTCATCAATACAAAATGCAAGATGGGGTCGTCACGAGGTAACTCGTTTCGCAGGATACTTATCAACTTGAGTGCATTCTCCTGGGGTCCTTTACCACCGCCGACTTCGGACAACGGGTGAGGGGGTAGACCGAAGTCTGCGGCTTCGATGGAGAATTTCTCAATCTTGGTTGGCTTCAACACTTTCTCGTTGCCTTCTGCGTCGTATTCCTGCGTCGGGGTGACCGGAGTAGCCTCTGAGGGGTCACATTCAACAATTCTCCAGACATTGGTCTTGCCAGCACAACTGATCTCGTCTAGGTCTTCTTCTCCGCATACGACCATTGCCTTTGTCACGCCGCTCAGACGCAAAGCATCTGCGAATACGGGCCCGAGAGCCTGGTACGCTACGCCAACGACTCGAGCTTCAATGGCCCAGTCTACAGGGTTGGCCAGGGGTCCCATGAGGTTGAAAATTGTTCTCAGACCAAGGCCTCTTCTGACGGGGTTTGCGTACATCATGCCCGGATGGAAGATGGGAGCAAACAGGAAGGCATAGTTTGTTTGTTCGAGGACTTTGGCTAGGTTTCCTGCGTTGACGGCTTCAATCTTCGGTGCAATAGGGGTAACGTGCATAAGGACATCTGCGGACCCGGAGAAGGATGTCTGCGCCCTGTTGCCGTGTTTAGCTGTCATTAGGAAATGCGATGCAACGATTGATGAGGTTGTGGAGATGTTGAAAGTCGAGTGGTGGTCGCCGCCAGTTCCGACGATATCGCACTATATTGACAGGTAAAAGCCGTTAGCAACCAACCCATGGGCCGTCATTGTTTGCTGGGCGTCGCAACAACGTACCAATCCACCATTGTAGGTGCCTTCCTTTCGGCCTCGCTTCTCGAGTACTGCAAGCAACGGGCCCTTCTCCGTCGGTGTGGCAGCTTCTCTCATGCGTTGGGAGCATTGGGCAATGACATCAGGGTCCTTATCCAGCCCCGTCGAGTGCAGCAGTGTGAGCAATGCCGCAGTCTGTATCGCAGACAGCCTGTCCTCGAAGATGAGGGCAAAGGCAGCAGCTATCTCGCCAGCAGGCGCCTTGATGTGTTTGGCATCAGGATATGCCAAGCTCTTGAGCAACGGCGAGATTGAGACCTTGTCAGGCTCAGAACTGTGTGGTGCAGCCATAGCTCAAAAACCCGTCTCTGTGTCCGTCTGACTCTTTGTCAGTGATGCCTGGCGGTGTTGTTAGTAGAAGAGGAGGCAGATGCAGGACCAGCGACGCATCTTTCAGTCCAGCTGTCCTTGTCTCTATAAATAACTAGGCTCGCCAGCCATACAAGCTCCTCGCTCCTCAGCGTCTCTTCTCGTCTCGCTCGCTTTTCTCAATATTTAGTCCGCTCCCGCCATGCAGGGATCACCAGAGCCCCTCCGGATGACTCATATCTGACTAACAGAGTGACTAAGTTATTATTAACTAACTTCATTCTATCAATAGGTCAACACCTCAACTTCCATCACTGACCAATTTCATAACTGAACCAGTACTCGGTTGCATAACGATGGCCCACCAAATTCAGCATGACAGGCATGAACGTCAACTGCAGGTCCGCAGTCAACAGTGCTGATCAGGGCCATGAAAGATACCGGTACTGCTCATAGTTACGACAAAATCCTGTCTAGATCTTTGAGCGCTCGCGTTGAGGCTGATCTATGGTTGGCCAACATAGGCTCAGCACTGAGCCGGGCATCCAACACATGGCTAGATATCAGCAGAATGTTCTTTCTCCCTTTACTTCGTCCCACATCTAGCTCCTCAGGTATATGAATTTGGGGGCAAGCCGCATGGATATAATCCATCATTACCGCTTCCATTGGGCGCGTATGTTATGGCCGTACTTAATCACAACCCCCGACGCCATGACGCAGACACCATGATTATCTCCCCGGTCTCCAATGATTCAGACAGCAGTATTACTGGTTAAGAGAATAAAGTAAGCTCTAGATGAACTGGAGATCAGGGTGCCCATTTTTATTATTGCATGAGAGGCTGCATGAGCCAATCCTTTAGTCACAAGGGGCGCAGTTGTTTGAAGGGAAACAATGAGGTATGCCCAGGGTATGGAGAAGAGAAATAAAGGTAACTAACTGGTCACTAAATCGAGTGGTAGTCGATTTTTGGTATGGAACTATGCTGATCCCTTTGGCTGACTTTCCCTACCAAGATAACAGACCGTCTCAGCTAGTGTACGATCGAAGATATTTGACCTCAAATTACTGGCCGATCTTTTGGCCCAGCTCTTTTGGCTCAGACTTACGGGTATTCTCCAGGGGTAGCATCCTACGGCGGACTGAATGGATCATCAGGTCAAAATGCATATTCATAACCAACTTACATCATCCAGCGCCTACTAGCCGCCCAGGTGGGGATGGGGCCCATATGCCGGTCCTTGTAAAGTGCGGAACATCCGGGGCAACGAGCAGGGGCACCCAGACATAGGTGTTTGGACCCCTTTCCCTTCAAACAATGTTCCATACATGACAGCCAACCAATATGTTACCCACCATATGCAGGAGCTGGAACTTTATGATCATCAACCTCCTGGCGCTTATTCATTGGTTGAGAAGCTAGCCTTGATTCTATTAACCTGCCGACTCGGGGCCATATTCTGAAATTTGGGGGCCAAGTATTATCTGTTGGCTCAAACGGCGGCAAGAGGAAACTTATTTTTGGATATCTGTTTAATGCCATAAGGGTAGACCCAGGTATGAAGGAGTCTATAAATATGGGCTTGTGACCTTCGTCACTTCACAATAGGTATTTGATTGAATCGTTCGCAATACCACATTGCAAAGAAATACATACTTTAACTTGTGTTTACCATTTCCCTGAACCTGCATCAATCTGCACCCTTTAGCCTCGGAGGCCTCCTCTACTTGACCGGAAGCATGTCTTATGTGAGTTGAATGATAAGGCACAAGCATGTCATCAACACTGCTAATTGAATCTCCTAAGTACCTGAGCAAGCCTATGCCGAAGTTCTACTATGACGAAATCAAAAAAACCTGGCTCTACGGAGAATGCGGTCGATAACTTCCGGAACAATACCCTACCCCATTACTTTACCCAGGACAAGTTTTAAGGGATCGAACAGGAGCAACGCCCACTCGAAAAAGTCTACAGCCGTGCTGACTTCATCATTCGATACGTCAAAAACGGTCAGCCAAAGAAAGTTGTTCTAATGGAGAACGAGCGAAGAGGATACGAGACCCAGTCTTCTTGGTGGGCCGAGGCAGTCAGGCAACTTACAGACTACCTGAAACTTGTCCGCGCTGAACAGGATTGGAATGATACACTTTATGCTGCTGTTACTATTGGAACCTACGTTCGCTTCTACTACCTCGAGCCAAAGGAACAGACTTTGACCGACTACACAACCGTTCGCACTGGAGACTACTACGAACTTAAGAAGGACGAAGCCGAAGTTCATAAGGTTCTGAATGAATGGGTTGAGAAAACAAGCCACTAGGGATTGTAGGCAGCACAGAAGTGCAGCTATGATGTTCAAAAATGGCCGAAGTGGTTACAACTATCCTTCTCGCTATTACAAGCACAGAACCCCTGAATACGGCCTTGAAATTTGTATTTCGCAGTAGCACCTAGGATTATCTTTCCTACTAGCTAAAAAATTCTCTTCCTAACACCTGACTCGCAATACCTTTCCTTTTTTTTTCCTATAGATATAGGTTAATAATCTGGGACAATTAACCCTTCTGCAATGGGCCAGTATTGTCTAACTACTAGGTAGTTTTAACCGCGCCAAGGCCTACATTTGAGGCCAGCCATCGAGGTGTTTAAACGGGTCACGTGTAAAGTTCACTAACCTAGGTAGTTTTAGTTACTTAGCTAGAGCTTAACTAGCGTTTATAAGGCCTAACCTTGCTGCATTAATATAAAACAAACAATCACTAACTACTTAGTTCAAGAGCAACCTCAGACTTGAAGGTTGATTCCTTGGATTTGCTAATCATTTTTATCCCTATTCCTGTATCACTCTTTACCCAACATAAGCATTTTACTGATATTTACTGCACTTCATCAAGGGTATAAAAGAGGCCCGTCGAATATACCATGAGCCCCTCGAACTTCTGCTGTATTATTTGCGGTTACTTTATTGAGAGCTTCGGGCCTGTAGATTGGCTGAAAGAATTCCGAATTAGTGGGTTATGCTTCCCAAAGATTGATGGATAAAACAATGGACAAAACTGAGCAGTCTATAGTTTACTGTTGCAAACAGGGTACGTTCACTTCTGGTGTTGGTCGCCATTCCGACCCCTATACCATTGATTGGATAGTACCATCAGATAGTGCGTCTCGCTGGGATGACCCGGGTTATACACCCTTGTTCTCTGATAGAATTCCAGTTATGCGACAGAGTGCAGACGGTGGACTCCATGGTTTTGTCATGCATGACTTGTGCTGGCAGCTTTTGCAGAAATTCTACGAACCGGATGATGTCCCAATAGAGCGACTTCATGATGTTTGTAGATCTCTTCCGCTCGCTATTCTGGGAAGCTGCGCATTTTGGGGGCATGACTACGGAGGACTGATAACTCTGGATACCAAAGACCATTACCCGTGGGAAGACAGGGCAGAGAATGAGTTCAACAGCTCTCTAACCCATGCGAAGGAGGATCCATATGATGTTGCGGAGATACCAGAGCTACTTACCCTTTCGTATAATTCATCTCCTTCACTGGGGATTACACAGCCTCATGTAGTGAGGGAAACGAAAAGTGACTGTTTTGCTAAATTTCCCTGGGAAATTATCGAAGAAATAAGCGCCAACTTGTTAGTATCAGACATATTGGCCTTAATCCGTTCATCAAGGACATTCGGCCCAATCCTCTCCAGCCAAACATTTTGGGCTTCAAGATTCGAAACCGGGAAAGACCGAGCGTTTCTCTTTGAGAAACGGAATTGCAAAGAAGCCAGAGACTGGATTAAGTTGTACCAACTCACAAAACGCTCGGCTAGCCCTCCGGGCTTAAAAAATAGAAGACGAATATGGGACTTAATCCAGTGCCTTGCACCATATTTAGCGTCATCTCTTGACAAAAATCCGAAGCTCTCTCTAACAAGCAGTGCTCGCAATGGGATATGTGAGGTAGCTGGAGATATTCTAGTTGAATTTGACTCGGGTTACCCCGACACTTTCAACCAGGGCTGTCTCCTATTTGACAAACAACGTACTACGATACCCTCTAACCTTTTGAGAGTTGGGTTTTCAGTAGCTGAAGATAGCATCACTGGTATCCGCCTGGTCTCCGGTGTCCAAGAAGATATTTGTTTGGGCTACATAATTAAATGCAAGGAGGCAGTCATTGAAACAACATCTTTGGGTGGGTTTATGTTAGCAGTCGATTCTCGAGGGATACGTGCTGTCCGTGTTATTCACGGTGATGGAAACGAGTCAGATTGGGTAGGTAACCCGGCTGGTACTCCAATTACTGGACGTTTGATGAAATTGGGGGACATAAATACCCTGGAAGTAGGAGTAGATGTAAGTACGAAACGGCCTCTTCTCACCATGACAAAAGGAACTAAATACTACGTCGTATACGGCAACAGGGCTACAAAATAATCAGCATTGCAGCTGCTTCGCCTCATTCAATACCACTTAAGATACCGTTGCAGCGCAAAGCCTTTTGGTATCCTTCTATACCCAGCCCAGGGCTGTGTCTAAATGATCAATCCTTTACAGGGCAAGATCCGCTAACTGCCAGTTACCAACCATTAGCTTGGATTAATTTCGGAGGCCCTAAAGGTGCCTACCTCAAACATATTACAGGTGTTTGTGTCACTGGCCCAGGAAATATATGCACCATTGAGTTCGAATATGATATCGACCTGCCCGTGGAAATATGCAAATTAGGTCGCCGTAAAGTCACGGACTTTTCGATCATGAATCGCTTCAAAATAGACGGCCCTGGAGGAGAATACATCACTAGCATCGATGCGAGTATTATTCGCTTCAAGGGAAAGAATGTTTACCCATTCTATAGATGGGGAAAATTGTTTTCCTTCAAGGTCAGCATGGTCCCAGTTATACATCAGACCCGAAGAAAAGTAAATTTATTAGCTGCTAACTGGATACCTACTGATGTGATATAGATTACAACAAATTACGGGAGATCGGCACACTTCGCGACCAGAGACCCAACCGTTGAACCCCCAACCATGACACCACTGTCAGTTGAACCTGGGACCATAGTTACAGGCCTTTATGGAGCTCAGGTATGACCCTGTCTTGCTTCGACAAGTAGCGTCTGCTAATTGATTGAATAGCATCCGGAGCAGGGGCTTATTAGCCTAGGAGTTATATCTGAAGTGGCTACCATGGGCAAGCGTAAACGGGAGCCTGAGCTTGGTGGTCCTATCAAACGTAGTAATATCCTGCCGGGCAATCGTGAAACAGCCCCAAGAAGCTAAGGGCATATTCAGCAGCTAACCACCCAATCAATGTCTTTGACCTCATAACATTGATAACAGAGTTTATTTACCATAAACAGAGCGGTAGATATTAATTAGGTTGCGGAACATCTGGGGTATTATTTCTCTTTCTCTCTCTCTCTTCATCAGAGTCGAACTCCACAAGGTTATATCGAAAAGCCATTTTATAGAGGGTATATATAAGTGTGCGTAAAGCTGTGCATCAAAGGAGCTGAGTGTCTAGTTGTGTGAGCTGAGAACGAAGTGGAAGCCGGCGGTAGGAGGTCGGCCTCCATGTAAGTGGATGGCGCTAGTTCTGCTTACTAATCGCGGAAAATGGTGTCGCCGTCAAGTAAAGTTTTGCTGCTCCCGTCCGTTTGGCAAGTTCAACATCAAATTTCAGCGACCTGCAAGAACTTATCAGACTCATCCAGCTGCGCCAGCGACTCCGGACGTACAATATCAAACGCCGGAGGGCTACAGCATTAAATTTAACATAATATACAACAATTTATAGCCCATCACACGCTCCCTACCCGCCACAATGCCTCCACGAATACGTCTCCAATCTCTTGCCCGGAGGACGAGAACACCACATACCCTGCTCCAGCATGAGCTACAATCCATCACAGCATCTCTATCTGCCCTTACCAGGTTACGATCAATGGCATCTGTTGCCCCAGCAGCCACTGCGACCTCAATGTCACCCGAAACCCTCCAGCCGCTCTCTCACCGAAGACCAGAATACCGCAAATCCCAACTGCACCGACAATACGCCTCGATTCTACGCACAATGCCATTGATCATTTACTTCCAACATAACAACCTCCAATCAACCGAGTGGGCCAACATCCGGCGCGAGCTGACCAAGGCTTTGCGTAAAGTTGACGAAAACAACGCTGCAATGGGCAGATCCGAGCCGGCGATTGCAGATGCCATCAAGCTACAGATCATTCAGACATCTATATACGAGGCTGCCATGAGGGTGGTGGATTTTTACCGACCTGATACTGCGGCTGTTAGTGGACAGGGCCCGATACTGGATAAGGAGGATCCTCGATTAACACATGATTTGTCGTATTCGGCGTATCGAGCTGTGCTGCCAAAGCGTGGACAACATGACTTTTCCACCCTGCTTGTGGGACCGATAGCTACGCTTTCGTTCCCGTCTGTGTCTCCGGATCATCTACGTGCTGCGTTCTCTATTTTGGCTCCCACGGGGAAGACCGGCTTGTTCCCTCCACCTCCACGCAAGGCGAACCCGGGACTGTACGATCTGACTACGCAGGCTGGGTTGCAGAAGTTGATGTTGTTGGGGGCCAGGGTGGAAGGAAAAGTGTTTGATGCTGATGAGACGAAGTGGGTGGGTAGTATTGAAGGTGGACTTGGTGGATTACGGGCTCAGTTGGTTGGTATGCTGCAAGGTGTCAGTTCTGGATTGGCTAGGACATTGGAGAGTGCAGGAAACAATCTATATCTCACGCTTGAGAGCAGGAGAAGTGTTCTGGAAGAGGAGCAGAATGGTGGCAAGAAGGAAGAGCAGGCCGAGCAGAAGTAGTGATGATACGTGGAAGCTTGTGTTTCCGTGGCTAGACTTGTATAATATATGTGACAGTATATGTAACAGATGTTTGAATACCTATTTACTTCCTCCCCCGGTTAATCCCTCCTCATTATCATACCATCTATCACCGGTACCGTTCCGTCCGTCCGTTCCAGCCAGCCACCTATTCCAGCCACCAAAGGAAAACAAGAAAACAAAAGGAAAGAAACAGAAAGAAATCGTACAAGCATTAGCTAGCTATCAGAGTCGCTGGTCTATTTTTCCAACTTGGCGTTCATACCGACGATGCACCTGACTAGGTCCCAGTCTCCTTCTTTGCCTACCCAGTCACTGACAATGATACCGGTTGACCAGTCGCCTTTGTCCGACTTGTGACTGCGGCAGATATAATCGACAGTAGCAGGATTGAGCTTGGCCGCAATCTTCTCAGGCCAAGTCTGAACTTTCCAGAAGTTGCTGGCACTCAGGAAGTTGACAAAGTATGGACAGTGGTCACCATCCGGCTTGTGGGTGCCCAGGGGATAGCAGCACTCAGAGGATCGACCGAGCTGGGCGTGAACAAACCCAATCTTCTTTTCAATGTTTTCTGTCTCGAGGACCTCGTAAAAATCCTGGATACATAGTGTCCCGCTGGAACAGACGGCGTGATCCGTATTATCAGCCCAGTCTGTGGCATCAATACCCCAGCCACGGCCATCATGTTCCTTCTTGAGATGGTCCGGGATATCAAAGCGACGGACAAGCACTATTTTACCTCTCACCTGGCCCAGGGTGGGGACTTTGGTGTCAGTGTACCAACGTGATGGGTTTGCGTTGGTATAATGCGTTTTGAGGATATTGGCCAGCTGGTGGTCGTGATGCTCTCCGGGACCCTCACGCTTGAGGGACATTATCAGAGTTTCGGACGGGTTACGGTCAAGGAATTCCTCGATTTGACCAAGCATATCCCTAAATGTCTTTTGGCCAGTGAGGGAGATGGGAAAGACGCTATGGGCGAGTATGAGCCCGTCCTTGGCTGGATCATTCGGCCACTGAGGGTGAGCACGAATATCGAAGAAACGGACACCGTTATCAAGCTGTTCGCGAGGACTAACAGCCTGACAGCGTACGGATGGAGGAGCAACGTGGCAAGTGGGGGAGTTGTGAGTGCCTGGTATGGAGAGAGCAGAGGTCAAGGTATCATCCTTCAGCTCACGCATCCAGCAGTTGAGATTGGCGGAAGAAAATAAGGCAAGATGGGCGTGCTCCGGGTTGAAGATACCCGTGAATTGGAAGCGTGGATTCGGAGAGAGGCACTTCATGACAATGGTCTCCTTGGTAGGCACTGGGACCTGTATCTGGTATCGGTCCCCTTCAACCTCGAAGGTGAGACGTGTGCGTTCCTTGTCCGATTTATCGAAGGACCTGACATCACTGCTTGCTTCCGTGAAAGGTTCTACTCGAATATCAACATCTTGATGAGCAAAGGGCTGGGCCCCTTCCTGGATGGCAGCGATCTCAGCTGGGGTGCCTGTGATGTTGTTTACCATGGTGGTGAAGGTGCTGGCAAGCGTCTTAGGCCCATCGGGGGGGTTGAAACGCTCCACCAGCTTGAGGACGACCGGCGTCCGGGTCAGGTTGCGTACGGTGAGGTGTTCGGCGACCATGGCTCTATGTCTATCTCTGCCGTCTCAATTAGTGTTCTTGCGAGAAGATGACGATGACGATGACTGAGGTTGGAGGTCTGTATGAAGTCAGAGCCGCGAGACGCAGCCAGGACGAGGGGCTGGAGAGTCAGCTAAGAGGAGTTGCATCATCATTGCCATATCAGGCTAGCCTCACCGCCGCTACACGAGGATCTGATAAACCGATGAGATTAACAGCGTTTCATCTCGTTGATCGGTCCCAGCCGTCACTCGCCATACTTTAAGCACTACTCTCATGCTCCATACTCTGTCGTACCAGTAGCGAATATGTAGATATCAGCCACCCTCCGCCTGTCCGCGAGGCGTCAAGCGGGCCCTGGGCCTACTTAAAATAAGGCTAAACCTGAGCCGCGGAATCGGCATGCAGGAACAAAAAATGACCGGGGGAGGGTTGTGATGACGTAAGCAATTGAGCCCTAAGCCCTAAGTCTTCTGCTTTCGGCGGTCGGCCGTCGCTGCCGTCGCCCGATCGGGACAGACGTGGGGCTTAGGGCTTTCCCACGCCCGTGACTTGGCGGCTATCTTCGGCTTTACCTGCCCTCTTCCCGCCGCGTCGCTTTCTTCCTCCTTGCTTTCTGTCTTTCGCTCGCTCTGCCCGACCAGACCAAACATCTCGATATCCAGACAAAGACATCTGGCCACTTATATAGAGTGAGATACATCTGCAATTGAGATGTCTGCCGTGAGATCGCTGGTTCACAGGGCGTCCCTGTCGCGAGGACTGCTCTCCTCGACCCCCGTTTGCTTGCCTGCCACATACACCTCCCGCTTCCGACGGCGGTTCCATAGCTCCCCCGTCCCCTGGGGCATCAGGTCGCAGATTCTCAAGGATGTCGGCGAGGGTACTTTGGCCTGCTACCCCTTGTTGTGCACGGCAATGGCGAAGCTAACGGCTCTCTAGGAATCACCGAAGTCCAGGTCATACAGTGGTACGTCGAGGAGGGTGCCCGGATCGAGGAATGGAAGCCTTTATGCCAGTACCAGTCAGACAAGGCTATTGACGATGTACGTATAAGAAGAATAGGATGGAGGCGTATGGAAAGGTGGAGTGCTGACGGTTGCAGATAACGTCGCGCTACGAGGGTGTCATCAAGAAACTGCACTTCCAGCCAGACGATACAATCCCTACCGGTGCTGCGCTTTGTGATATTGAGGTCGATGACGCCAAGTACCCTGATTCCACCCCAGCTCCGGCTCCAGCTCCAGAAGCAGCAGCTCCGGCAGAGACCACCGCTGCAGACGTGGCCGCAGAGTCCTCCGCAGCAGATGTTACACAGGTAGCAGAGACGGTTGAAGCTCCACCAAAGGGTAAATACGCTACCTTCGCAACTCCCGCGGTCCGAGGAATGCTCAAGCAACACAACATTGATATCTCACTCATCAATGGCACCGGTGCCCATGGCCGAGTCCTCAAGGAAGATGTGCAGAGGTACCTCGAGGGAGGCCAGACCCCCACCCCTGCCGCAGCTCCTTCAGCCACGGCTACAGCTCCAGCTCCGGGCCTTGACACCCCACAGGTTGAGACCGCTCAGGCCCTAACCCCCATCCAGTCCCAGATGTTCAAGACCATGACCAAGTCCCTCACGATCCCCCACTTCCTCTACTCAGACGAGCTCAATATTGCTGCTCTATCCCGTGTCCGCTCCCATCTCAATTCCACCGCCCCCAAGGACGGCTCCCAGCCTAAACTCTCTTACCTCCCCTTCATCATCAAGGCGGTCTCTCTCGCCCTGAACCAGTTCCCCATCCTCAACGCGCGGGTAGACACCACCTCAAACCCTGCCAAGCCATCCCTCGTCATGCGCGCAAGCCATAACATTGGCGTTGCAATGGATACCCCCACGGGCCTACTAGTTCCCAACATCAAGAATGTCCAGGCTCGCTCTATCATTGATATCGCAACTGAGCTTAACCGGCTTAGCGAAGTTGCCAGAGCAGGCAAACTTACACCCGCGGATCTCTCTGGAGGCACTATCACAGTCTCCAACATCGGCACTATTGGCGGAACCGTTGTTGCCCCTGTCCTTGTACCCACCGAGGTCGCGATTCTCGGCATTGGCAAGATCAGAAAGGTGCCAGTCTTCGACGCCGAAGGAAAAGTTGCTGCCGGCCAAATGATGAACTTCAGCTGGAGTGCAGACCACCGCGTCATCGATGGCGCTACCATGGCTAGAATGGCGGCGCTTGTTAGTCGTATGGTCGAGAACCCAGATGCAATGATGCTTAACATGCGATAAATCATCCTCTGTCCTGACTGTACGAGAAGATTTTTTTTTTTTCCTTGGTTGTTCCCTATTGTTTGGCGAAAGAAATTGTACATAGACTTATATTATACCGATCTACAGATACAGGTCGGGCAGCGCAAGAGATAAAGAATAAGAATAGCAATAAACAATATAGCCGAACCAGTTCAGTCTGCAAATATATATATTATAGGGAGAAATAGAAAGGAAAAGAGCAAGAAAGAAGCAACAGCAACCTCGACGCAACGTAATTAAAAACTCCCAGCTAACTATTTCATATCGAGTCGTAAACACCATAATATCCCATATCGTCATCACAGACGGCCCGTGCATTCATCGGATCTTATCTTATCATTTTATCCCGCGTGACATTATTACATCACGAAAAGTAAGTTTGTATCTGTGGACCATGTCAGCACACACTTATCTCAACCAGGGTTCAAACGAAAGCTGGACAGTAACTTACCCAGCGGATGGCTGCAGCTCAACTGCGGTTTCTGCGAATACTTCCCACTCAGCTCAGCGCGTATGCTGTTTAGAAGCTGGATATAGCTTTGCTTCGGGTTCTTCCTCAACGCCTCTTGGAATGCCCAGCTCATTGCGCCCTGCGCAGAGCCGCCTTCAACCGTGTCCGCACTAATAAATTATGTCAGACGGGATGTGTTTCAAGCAGGAGGAATGTACAAATATACGTACGATGTCTGCGTATCCTTTGAGCCGGAAAGCATGACCACGTCTGCAGGTGAGGTCTTGGTTCTAAGTGTTTTCTGCCGAGCTGAGTCGCCAATGGTAAGTTTCTTGAATAAGCCGATGGTGGTGTTGGCGACCCCACGGATGTCGCCGCTCTCGTAGCTTTTGAAGGCACTCAGGAGATCCAAGGCTGTTTCTTTAGCGAGATTCGGCTCTTTCAGGACACCCTGTGTGAAAGTTAGTAAATTGATTTTGAGTTAAAGCTTAATAATACATACCTGTGTAGAGTATACGAAAGGGAGATCCAAGGCAGTGCCCGAGTGGCAAGAGTCGAAGATGGCAGTAAGTCGGACTCCAGGTTGTAGGGGACGGACCCTAGGAAAAGAGATGTCAGTTGGCCTTACGGTCTAGACTCGAGGAGTACTAACATGATAGCGTGCATATCATCGTCAACTATATGGCCAGCAGTTTGGAAGTCGACGGGGTAAATCACTTCATCAAAACCTAGAACAAACACTTGTTAAACCCTGACCTTCTCAAACTCCGGGATAACGTAGCGCCAAACTCACCATCGTCTTCATCACCGTCTAGATCGCGGGTACGGCCGCCGTGACCTAAAGTTCACCAATCAGCATGGATACATCCAACCAAGGATCACAGCCGGATACAGCCGGGACAGGAACTGGGCAATGATTGATGGGTACCTGAAAAGTGGAAAAACAGCGAATCATTTGGTTGTGCGCCCGAAACCAACCACTGCATGGCACGGATCATATTTGCCTTTGTTGGATAGCTCATTGGATTCGCTTGGTCATCTGTAAGAATCACCATGTCCTCGCGCCGGTAGCCATAGCGCTGGTTCAAAAATGTAGACATGCGTGCGACATCATTAATACACCCTTTTAACGGCCTGCCTTGGCCAAAGTAGTTAATGCCGACGAGAAGAGCTCTCCGTCGGCCAGAGCAGTTCGAGTATTTAAAGCGGTAGGAGGATGGTGCACCATGACCGAAGCTCTGACTGCTCTGTGGTGGTGGTGGAGGGGTGGGACGGTTGTTCCCACTGGTTCCGTTGTTCGCGGGGTAAGGTGACGGCGGTGCCCGCGGCGGCTCTTGGGGATAGTAGGGTGGTTGCTGGGACGGAGGACGTGGAGATAGAGGTGGTGGTTGGTTGTAGCTAGGCGTTGGAGAGGGTGCGCTGGGACAAACGGTCAGTTCAGTGGAATAGAGGCTGAGGTTATGCTCTAGAATAACTTACGGATTCGGGTACTGGGGCTGCGGTGTGAGATTCTGGGGGTATGGCGGTTGCTGGTAAGGTGGTTGCTGGTAGGGCAGCTGCTGGTACGGTGGCTGTTGATACGGCTGTTGATATGGAGGTTGTTGGTATGGTTGCTGGTATTGCGGCTGGGGGGGCTGTTGATGGTAATAGCCGCCAGCTCCCTCGTTAAAGGGCGATGTATTTTGCCAGTAAGACATGGATCTGGGGCGGTCACTCGGTCAAATCCTGCGACCGATTCTCTCGTCTCCTCAGCGGCCTGCTTAGACGTAAGATGTTATTGGCGACAACGATGGGATGAGTTCCTGTCAAGCACTTGAATCATGCTGTTTATACGAATAAAAAGGCGCGGCTGTTGTCACGTGACACGGCTGTAGGGCTGGCCGAAGAGCCGCTCTTTCAGCCTTGATGTCGATATCCCAGCAGAGACCCCACTTCATGG